AAGCCCGTCACGGGGAATAATAATAGCATCAAGTGGAGGAATCCGTCTGGAATAGTCCAGTGCGTGTCTCAGCCCAGCCCTTCGCTCAACCTTGGTTGTGGTGTGCGTGGGCCGAACAACCTCTCGTGCGTCGGGGTAAACCACCCTCTAAGAAACCGCCCATGCCTGCCGACTTATAGCCACGGGGGAGTATAAACTTCTCTCTCCGAGTGCACGGGGCACCCCTGTAATCTGGTATTCTCCCCGTTATCTCGCAAGTCCCAATCCGTGGTCGCGGAAGGATTTTTTACACCTTACACCTAAAGTAAGTTCAAGATCCTCTTGGCTGTACGGGGAAAGTGACTAGTACTAGACCTAGATCGACTGACATGGCAGGTATTTAAGGGGCTCTCGTGGGTGACCTTGGAATTAAAAAAGGTATCGAAGCAAATGGATTAAGGGGAATTTATCCAATATTGCTCCTTTTTCCTTCCCTGCAAGTCGTCAAACTCTTCACTGACATAATGACATTCCCAGCTGTTTGTGCGTGAGCGGGTCGTGTGTTGATCCCATGTTTCATACACATCCTATGATGATTGGGACAGCGGTGATCTCCTCCAATACTAGTGGCGATCTTATTATGTCCGTGGCTCCAGCTGGTAGAGTTGGCCCCGGTCATTACCTATCACACTTACGGCGCTAGACCATCTACGTCGTAGCTGGTTCAAGAAAGGGGGGGACAGTGAGCGGGTGGGAAGAACCCAGGAAATAAATGGCGAGCGCAGGCAGTGGGATGAGAAAATGGAAAAGAGACGGGAGAGACAAAGAGCCATGATCACAGGCCAAAGGCAAAATAAAATGAAAGAAACCACAATACCATCACAATCAGGAGACAGGGCTTGGACGGCCAGGAGAGCTTCGACAAAGATCAACCCTACATGCAGCGTGCTCAACTTTAGGTGTGACCCGGTAGATAGGTAGGGTAAGATGGGCGGTTAGGAGGCTGATCAACTGTAAGCCTTCGAAGCTCTGATACATGGGACACACGAGACAGGGTTACATGCCCGTACATCCTGCCGGCCGAGGTATTTGAGATACCCCGTGTGTATGGACGTTGTATTTCTTCATGGTTCACTAAAGTAAGCGTTGAACGAACTCCTTTTACTCCGTACTTCCCGTCCGCGTGGCTGATCTCACGGGTTCCCTTCCCAGCTAGCGATGGAGATGTCCCAAACAACAGGTTCTTCGAACGTATTCCACCCGCCGTTTCTGGTAGGACTGTGGCTCCATCGATGAACATCACCGGTGGGGATAAGGGATTGCAGAGAATCAGCTCCGTCGGGAAGGTGTACGGAGGCTGTACGGAGTACGGCGACTCGATACGAGTTACGCGCACGGTACCAGCGGTTTACAGCTTCCCTTCTTCCAGTTTAGACTGTTTAGTCCAGGCCTAACGGTCGCGTGCGGTGTCGAGAGGATCCTCCGCCATCCAATGAGACCCGGCGTTTCAGGGCAGGCCCCGCCCAGCCATTCCTCTTTGGTGGCACAACCTCCATCGAGGTTTAAAAGGCGGTTGAGGCGCATGGAAAGCGTTGGCGGGATTTGGGAGCTGCTCCGGTTAGTTGGCCTCCAGCGTGCAACTTTGCAGGTCGCGTTTCTTGATTCTGGTACATCGGGAAGTGCGCCTCTCGCTCCGCTGATTCGCCCTGCCCGTAGTAACATTGATCTATCCCTAACTTGGTCCGTTGTGTAAGGGAGCTAGCCTGACGAGACTAAGGTAGACGGGCACTAACGTATCGGGACTTATAATGTCCACGAGATTGTACGGGGTCGCGGATGAGAAATCAGAACCGTCGCTTCAGTTCCTGGTATCCTCGACGAGGTATCAGAAGATGCCATTTCCTTGGCGTGGAGGCGCCGGATCTCTAGTCCTGACTCTGTCATTCCGACTGCTTGCATAAATCCATTGCATAGCCGGATGACTAACGCCCGGTGTATGTTCATTGTTCTCTCAAGTCCAACCCCGATGAGATACGGCTCATGTTGGTAAGCCGCATAAACCCCAGGTCCTGCCTGTCCACCTTCATGCTTGGCGGATAGATTGTTGCAGACGACGCCCGTATACGACTGGCTGGAATTTCTTCATCGCCGCCATCTGCAGGCTAGCACCTACCTGATGACCTGGGTTGCTTCACCGATGCGTTTGACATCGGGCCCGGGGCCGGGGATGCCCTGATTCGAGCCGGAGGTTGCGGTGCTGGCCAGGATTAGGTTACAGACCGGGTTCTATTTCATTCAGGACTAGTTATGCTTGACCTGTCTGCATCTGAGCCGTCTGTCTCCCATGTAGCGTACGCGTCCCTGTTTGCCGCGGGATATCTATGCCTATCCTGGTGGTGAGAGATATATACCTACACAGCGTCCGTGATGCCGTTTGCTACTACGATGGCGAAACTTGTCATCGCGCAGGCATGACGACTCAAGCGAGTGAGATTGAAATGGTCTCTTGATCATCCGGAAATCATGGGAATGGAGGAACGGCGATGTCCAATCAGCTGAGAGGGGCAGTATAGATCATGCATATGAAGATAGCGAGTGCATTAGATAATACGAGTGGGAGGCGGTATTGAGTGAGAACCCTAAAGAGGTTAGAATATTATGCTACCACAAGATGTACCTCCGACTGCAGATGAGAGAGGTATGACATAAGAGATGGAGGAGAGGGCAAAGCAGGAAAATTGAAGCAACGAGAAGGTATATCAGACCGGGATGGCGGGGTAGCAACCGCCAAGTCACGGGATGGCGGTTCTGGTCCCTGCCGCCCGCCGTAATTTAGCATCGAAAGAGTCACAATTCGGAAAGTGGGCAGTATCTGTTCGATAATCAACGCCCCAACCCCCCTCCGTCTCCCCTGCACGTCTACTTCTCGTTCCTGCCGTCGATTCTCTGTGGCCTTTCGACTGCAGCCATGGCGACCGATATGACGAATCCCGTGTTGGGCGCCCTGTCCGCGTCCGATGCGCCCATTCTCTCCAACGAAGCCTTCCCCTCCACCCCCTCCGTGACTATCAAAAGTGCGCTTGACCGCCTTGCCTCCCGCCAGATGGTCGAATATGACACCGTGGAACGAGAAATCGCTGCCCTGACGAAGGAGGGTGAGGAGATCGCCAACAATGGCAGTCACGAGGCCAAGGTCTTCGAGGCGGTTGTGGCTGCTCTGGACGGCCTGAAGATCGGCGACCTGCCCGGGATTGTTGGCAAGGACAACGCCAAGGTCGGCCAGGGCAATGCCTTCAAGCGAGGCTGGATCAAGAAGGACGGCGTCCTGCTGCGGGCAAACACCGAAACCATTGTCGACGAGACCCGCGAGCAACTGCTGACCGTTCAGCGCACTCAGACCCTGGCGGACCAGAAGGCGCTGTCGGACCTGAAGCGACGGAAATTGGTCTCCTTCCAGAAGGTGATCACCTTCAAGGTCTCCAAGGGTCCCAAATATGCCACGGAATTCGTCAAGGAGGAGACCGACCTCACGGCCGAGATGCTCACGAATGGCTCGTGGAAGACGGCCAAGCTAAAGCCCTACAACTTCAAGGCCAAGGGTGCTCCCACCCCGGCCGGTGCCTTCCACCCTCTGAACAAGGTGCGACAGGAGTTCCGCAGTATATTCTTCGAGATGGGATTCGAGGAGATGCCCACCAACCGCTTCGTGGAGACCGGCTTCTGGAACTTCGACGCCCTCTTCGTGCCCCAGCAACACCCCGCCCGTGACCTCCAAGATACTTTCTACATCTCCGACCCTGCGAAGGCCGACCCTCCCCGCGAGGACCCCGAGAACGACCCCCACCGTCCGAAATACGTCCAGCCCGCCTCTTCCTCCGCCGAGCAGAAGCCCCTCGACTACAAGCAGTACTGGGAGGACGTGCGTGAGGTCCACGAGAACGGCAAGTACGGATCGGTCGGGTACCGCTACCCCTGGAACGCCGACGAATCGTTACGGCTGGTTCTCCGCACACACACGACGTCGGTATCGACATACGTCCTGCACAAGCTCGCGGCCAACCCGCGCCCCGCGCGGTACTTCAGTATCGACCGAGTGTTCCGTAACGAAGCGGTCGATGCCACTCACTTGGCCGAGTTCCACCAAATCGAGGGTGTCATTGCCGACTTCGGACTCACCCTGGGTGGCCTGATCGGCTTCATGGAGGTCTTCTTCGCCAAGATGGGCATCCACCAGCTGCGCTTCAAGCCCGCCTACAACCCCTACACTGAGCCTAGTATGGAGATCTTCGGCTACCACGAGGGTCTGGGCAAGTGGGTAGAGATCGGAAACAGCGGCATGTTCCGACCGGAGATGCTGGAGCCCATGGGTCTTCCCAAGAACATGCAAGTGTACGGATTCGGTCTGAGTCTGGAGAGACCGACCATGATCAAGTAAGTTGCATATCCTTCCCCCAAGGGCCGTACCAAATACTAACCCATCATCTTTAGATACGCCGTGAGCAACATCCGAGAACTTCTCGGCCACAAGGTCGACCTCAACTTCATCGAGAGCAACCCGGCCGTTAGACTGGAGAAGGACTAGACTAGAGTAGAGAAGATGTTGATGTGACGTTGATATGGAGACACGGATGGGATGAATGAATCGGGAGAGACAAAAATAAAACTTTTTTGCAATCTTTTCATCGTTATACATGATCTATGAAGTCAATCGGAATGCGATAGATGTTATTCGAAAAGAAAACCGGTGCTATTATATTGCAATGGATTACCACCTTACGAAGACTACGAGATCCATACAATATCCATCTATCTTCCAATGCCAGAAAGTGAACCCCTCTCTTTTCACCCACCCACCCACACACCTACTTACCCACCAAAGACCAGAGCCTTTAAAAAAAAAGGCCCATCAGAAAACAAACCCAAAGCCACAACCCACAAAAGAAAAAGAAAATAAAAGAATGAAGAGAATGTCCCGCCCGTATCTGTGCCCCAGCGCACAACTCTGCAGAAGTGGCTCTTCAGTAGGCGGATCAAGAATCAATCTTCGGCGTATGGGTAAGGGCAAGTAATGCTTTACTTTGTCTTACTTTTATCTACCACCTCGCTCATTGGGGACGCGGACACCTCGGATGAATATCATGAAGAAGTTCAATCCGAGGAGGGCGTCGGGTGAGGCGGGTTTGATGGGCCGATTTGGGGAGGAAAAAAGAGGAAAAGAGAGGAAAGGAAAGACAATGAGGGGATGTACAGGGGGGATTACAATAGATTTTGGGCATGGGCACGGGGACATGGAGGAAAAAATTGACGACGAAAGGAAAACCAAGATGGATTTGATTAATTGACTGTATGAAATTCTTTTCATTCATGGGCTTTTTTTTTAAGGAAATTCTTAATCATATCGGCCGATGTTATTAACCCCACAAACACGGTATAAAAACATCATTGATCCTGTAGACATCAATCCGTTAGCCTTCTCTTGTTGCGACCAAGTACACATGTCGGACATCTGCTCCAGAGCAGAATACCCCAGGAGAAGAATGGCTTACCATCGTGGTTAACCCCCACCATCAAAATCCGCCCCAGAAATTCTCACACCCGTAAATTCATCATGATTTACCGCTGGCGGTTGGCGGACCAGACGTTCTTGAGGTAACCGTCACGCTGGGTCAGGCGGTTGAAGGAGTCATCGCTCTCACCGCGAGCACGGATGAAACCGCAGAGGGCGTAGGTGTTGTTCTCGCCGGTGTAGCGGCCGTTCTCGTCAACCTTGCCAACGGAGAGCTGGACGGAGGCGTGGTCGTTGGCCTTGATGATGCGGTTGGTGGCGCTGCACTTGCGGGGGACGTAGCTGTTGAGGAATGGATGTTAGCGTTTGGTCTTGTTGTGTTGAGTTGCCTTTTTTTTTTCTTGGTCCAGATCGCATTGATTCCGAAGCTGGGGTTCCCTTTCGCCCTTCCTTGTCTGGTCTTTCTGTTCATGGAATCATAGCATGCGGATTGGGAATTGGGAACCCCTCGCTGGCTGCGACGGGTTTGAATATGTCTCGATCTTGCCTCGCCCCCGCCTGGTCTTTGCGAATCAACCATACAAAATGAATTTGGACGACGACATGGCTGTTCCTGAACTTTCTTCCTCCATTCCTTCGCAATCACAGAGCCAAGTCGCAAGGCAAACCAAGACGAGTGAGGAGACACGATGACATTTTCATTCCCTAGTCGCCGGAAATTCGATCGGACCAATTCCCCCCTCTCTGGCCAGGAGGGGAACATGGAATTTTTTTTTAAAAAAATAAAGGTGACAACATACAGATCGACAATCTCTCCCTTTTCGTTCTCCATTTTGGCGGTTGGTGTGTGAGGTTGACGACGGTGAGAATTCGGAGGGTGCGCTGGCGGGTTAAACTGGCGGACGGTCGTGAAAATCCGCGACTCTTTTGGGGCGATTCCGGTCGACGGTTGTGTGGGTCATGTGATCTTTTGTCGAGGGTTACGGTCGTGCTCCCATTGGGGGAGCGGCCGTGGCGGTAAGCAGTGCCCTAGTCGGCCTCCCGTGGCTGTACGCCTACCCGGCGGGATCTACATCTATGGGACCCGGTCGTGATTTGGGTGACTTCTTCGGTGTCTAGGGTATATACATGACTGGTGTAACGTCTGGATGTCTTAGAGATGTGATTTATCTCCCCCCTCGCCCGAGAGCACCTCCCTCTTCAACCGCACTTCCAGCTGACGAGCGGTTCCTTTCGAGAACCGTACCAACACAACTCGGTCGGACTCGCCTCGTCTATCGCTGTCTTTCAATTCCGGTCCAGGATGATCCAGGGCCAGGACTGTGCGGTTGTCGGATGTCATTTTGAGCATTTTAGGAGATATGCACTTTTCGGTCCATGGGGGAGTACCCGAATGTGCGAACTCGACCAGTTGAGTCCGTCGCTGCTTCAAATCGTCTATGGAGGTTCCTGTACGAGGCTCTTTGTCTAGGAATTGCGACACCAGATGCAAAAGGAGAAACTGGGGCGGGAAAAGCATGATCTCGCCCTGCTTAGCCATGCTAAGCCATTCCGAAGCCGGCAAGAATCTGGCCTCGGTGACTTCAATGCCGCCATCGCTCGTAGGCACTTGGATTTCCTCTCGCTCTCCTTCCGCAGGAATCTCATTCAAGAGTGATTTGTCGGATTCGAGAGGCAGAGGTAAGAAATAAAGGTACATCTGCGTGGAGTATCGCCTGGGCACATTCGTCGGGGTGATCCATCGCGTGAACGGGATCAGCCGCTCTTCATATATCCAATCAGTCAAACGGACAGACCGGTGCTTTTGGCATGTGCAGGAGAGAGGAATATCGAACCTGTATCGGGGACAGCTGCAGGATCTAACCCCTTCAGCCAGTCCGAGAAAGTGACCTCTTGCTGATGAATAGACCGTCTGCCCTTTTCTCGTGTCTCCTCCGGGACAGTCAGCATGTCGCCGGAGGTCTGGTTCTTAGCCAAGAGGATTCCACTTTCTTCGAACAGCTCCCTGAGTGCGGCCTGCCGGTACCAGGGACCATCGTCGTGCCTTTTCAGGTCCTCGACGGGCGGACATGGTCCATCCTGAACCGACAGGTTTCCGCCGGGGAAGACGTGAGCCGAGGCAAATGACGTGGATGTCTTGACGCGATGAAGCAGGAGAATCTCATTCTTTGGAGAGACCAGAATGACACTAGCAATTGTTAGCTATCAGAACTAAGACGAATCATCTCCCATTCATTTTGCTAGTTCCCTCCTTTCTTCATATTATCTAGACTGGGTTGAAAGTAAGCTCGGCTAACCTTGAACTCGGCCTAGGCGCCGATGGCTTCGGTTTCGGCTTTTGATTGCCGCTCTGCGATGACATACTGCGCGATGAAAAGACCCCCTTGGTATGAGCGATAGGTGAGGTCTTTCTGACAATAGATTGACCTAGATGGAAGCACCTTGTAGTAGGTCGTGAAGGTGAAGTCGAAGAACCTGCCGCGACGGAGCGTCGGGTAAGTCCTTGCCGGCTGATGTATAGCGACCTGGAGATTATAGATGTGCTTCGAGGCACATGTGCGGGGGTGATCATGTCCTTCTATGAAGAGCAACCGAGGCGCGAATTCTCCTTTCTAAAACCGATAAGGAAAGGGCAAGGAGAATTAATGGACGGGGAAAGAAGGCATGCTAGAAACCTAGGTACTTCGGAGAAGGTAACGTTGGCAATGGCTGGGAGAAGACAGGCTGACTGTTCCCCCGCGGGTAACGTCGGCTCGGTTTAGACCGCCTGAGCTACGGTGATTTACGCACGTTTACGGACAAGGTCAAAGAGATTGAGAAAAAAGGTATAGGTCTAATTTCAGTTCGAAATTTCAATTGGCATAATCATGATAAGCATGAAATGCTGTAGCAACCAAGAAAGAAAACAAATGCCCGCACATATCCACAGATCTGAACTCCTAACCATCATGCCAGTGAACTTTTTTAATTTTCGTATCACCACGTATCATCGTGTAAATCGATCTTTGAAAGCAAAGTTCCGAGTAAAAAAAAAAAAAAAAGAAAACAGCCCAAGCACATTGTCTAGATCATTTAAGAGTAGAGCTTCTTGTCGTAGCTGTGCAGACCGTGGACGTTACCCTCGGTCTGGGCGCTAGCGCTTCTCATTTCAAAGCGGACAAGACCCTTGTTAACACCGTCGTGCAGAGCCTCGAGGCTGGGCACACCGATGTCCTGAAGAGAGTGCTGAACACCCGCAACGAGGTAAGGGATGAACTTGGTGACGGAACCACGGTCCAGAACGGAGCCGGCAACACCCTGAGCGACCAGAACGTTGTCCTTCTCCGAGAAGTAGCGGGCGGTACCGGCGTTGCCAGCCTTGCCAGCCTTGCCGGTCTTCTTGTCCTCCATGACGGCGATACTGCCCATGCCACGGTAGGCCTTGACGAGCTGGCCTTCGTTGCTGACGAAGTACTCACCGGGAGACTCGGTGGTACCGGCGAGAAGACCACCCATCATGACGGTGGAGGCACCCATGGCAAGACCCTTGACGATGTGACCAACGTTCTGGACACCACCGTCGGCAATGCAAGGAACACCGAAGCGAGCAGCGAAAGAAGAGACGCTGCGCACGGAGGCGGCCTGAGGACGGCCGACAGCCATGACCTCCTGGGTAATACAAGCACTACCGCTGCCCATGCCAATTCTCAGGCCATCGACACCGGCGGCAATCAAAGCCGCGGCTTGCTCCCGAGTCACGACGTTTCCGCCAATGACATCAATTTCGGGGAAGGTCTTCTTGACCCATTTGATCATTTCAATCTGGTACAAGCTGTTACCCTGGCTGCTGTCCAGGATAACAATGTCGAGGCCGGCCTCAACGAGCTGCGCGAGGCGCTCCTTGTCGGCGTCACGGGTACCGATGGTAGCGGCACAGATCAGCTGCTTCGACTCGGGAAGCTTGGAGGCCAGGGGGTAGTGAAGGTTCTTCATCAAGTCACTGCGCGAGAGCAGAGAGACAAGGTTTCCGCTCTCATCAACGATGGGGAGCTTGCCCTTCTTGGAGCTACGGAGAACCTCGTTGGCCTCGGCCAAAGTGGTGCCAGCAGGGGCCGTGACAAGGTCGGTGGCCATGATGGCGGTGACGGGGTCGTCAAGTTTGTGGTGGAACTGAATGTCCCGGCTGGTGACCATTCCGACGAGCTTAGAGCGGAGGGTGCCGTTCTCTGTCCAAGATAACAAGATTAGTCATAGATTCTTGGAGTCCAAGTGTGGAATGAAAAATATCATAATGCAGGATACATGGATCAGATATAATCTGTTTCTCTACAGTGCAACTCTCGCTGCTCCAGTGGAACGAAAGTTATATGAAGAAAGATGGAAATCATCACAGAAGTCTCTTGGGACTGGGCAAAGGGGCAGGGAAAAGTATATTGGAAGAAAATGATAACTTACCAGTCACGGGGAAACCACCGAATCCCCACTTGGTCTTCAGGTCCTTGGCCTCTCCGACAGTAGCACTGGGAGAGAGCACAACGGGGTCCAAGATGAAGCCGTTCTCGTATCTCTTCACCTTGCGGACCATCTCGGCCTGATCCTCGGCGGAGCAGTTGTGGTGAATGACACCCAGACCACCGAGCAAAGCCATGTGGATGGCCATGTTGTGTTCGGTGACAGTGTCCATGGGAGAGGACAGAAGAGGAGCCTTCAAGCCGATGCGCTTCGTGACAGGAGTATCCAGGCTGACATCGGAAGCGGGGAAGCCTGCCATTAAGGTATGAATAACTAGGCATCAAACGACTGGAGAAAAAATTTCATCGTCGTCTTACCGATATAACCGGGCAAGATGAGGAAGTCATTGTAGGTCAATGCTCCGTGCTTGTCCGAATCGAGCAGAGTATCAACGTCAAGGCCGTCTCTGGAGGGGTATTCCTTCTCCAGGACTTCCAGGGCCTTGGTGTGATCCTGGATCTCGGCCTTCATGGCCCTGCCAAGAGCGTCGCCGTTGGAGATAGGCATTGTGGAAGAATAAGAGATTCTAGAGTTTTCTATCGTAACTCGTAGAGATCAAAGGTCAAAGAGATAAGAAGTAATCAACAGATCGACGATAGAAACGTTCTGTTGATGGAGAAAGTCTTCCTTTCCCAAAGAAAGGAAAGAAAGAAAAAGAAGAAAAATCGGAGGAGAAAAAAATTGGCTTTTGAGTCTTGCGACGCACGCGCTAACGATTTTTGCAGCGTCTAGGCCGGACTTGGTTAGGCGCCAGGTTGAGCTGTGCGGTGTCGGCGCTCATTGGCCACTAAACGAAACCGGCCTCAGGCGGTAAATGCGAGGGGCAGAGGGGCAGCGGCTGACGTAATCCGGGTTTCCCCCACATTCCACATCCTTGTCTTTCGCTGCTTTCATTCTACTCCGGAGTGCGGCATCATCGCTGGCTCGGTTGACGAGCGATGTCGAGAATCGTATCTAGATTTCCTCATATATGCAGCAATTGACTCTTTCTGAATTGAATCCACGCAGAATTGTCCAGATGTCCGCTCAATCAGCCATAGGGCTGTCGGTTAGACAGCCCCTGACAAAGACTTCGCAGTGTTTCAGAGACTACATAAGCTTCTGTCTCACCCCAGACGACAATACCCGGAAATATTATCCTAGATGTGCGATGGCTACTCTCAACGAATGCGTTGTTTTGATTCGCTGATAGTGTTGGACCAGACCAATGCATTCCTTGCCGAGACCTTGAAGGAGCACCTGCATACAACTGGGGCACCCTTTTATCCTGGGCGACGTAAATCGGCTCCCCTTGCCAAAAATGTAAGGATGGGTAGCTTGTACGAGCCCTGTTTTTCCCTTGACATCATCACCTAGCACAACATGTGGGACAGGCCAACTATAAATGTAGCGCCGGGACCAAATCACTATTTGAACATTTGCCGTACTGATCTCTCCTTGTTTGTGCTCTACCATCGTCCTTCGTGGGCCTGGTCAATTCTACTATTCGCCGTCGGGATACCACATGAGTGGGGAAAGCAAAATTGTCCTTGTTACTGGCGCCAATGGCTACATCGCCTCCTGTACAATACATGGCCTCCTGCAGGCCGGTTACGCGGTCCGCGGAACAGTACGCTCACCACATTTGGCCGACAGACTGAAGAAGAAACTACAAACATGGTGTGACGATGGCCTGTTGGAGATTGTACATGTCCCTGATATTAGTATCCCAGGGGCTTTTGATGATGCGGTCCAAGGTAGGCGAGTTGCTACCTTATAGCCAAGAAATGACAGACACAAAAAAGTTGACTATCCGAGCATCAAGGAGCGACAGCTGTCGCCCACATCGCGGCCCCAATATCTTCGGCCTTCGAGAATCCTGACCCAGTTCTCGCCACGGCGGTTCGGAGTACGACATGCCTCTTAGATTCTTGCATGAATGCTGCAGGACCCCAATTCAGATCTTTCATCTTGATGTCTTCGGCTGCTACGATGATTCCGAAACAGCCCCAGTCACACCCAATCACCGAGTCGGTTTGGGAAGACTGGGCCGAAGAGGAGATTGCCGCCTTGGGACCACGAGCATCCGCATCGTCGATCTATGTTGCGAGCAAAACTGCTTCCGAAAGATCCATGTGGACATATCAGAATGAACACCGGCCACGTTTTTCCGTGACATCTATAAACCCGGGGTGAGTTCAGAAGGCCGTACTTTGTATATGAAACTTCCTCATGTGCTCGCCAGTTTTGTGTGTGGCCCGCCAATATTGCTCCCTGACGACCCTAGTCAGCTATCGGAGACAGCTAAAAATAGTCTGAGATGTTTTCCGTGGCCAGAAAGTGAACCCTGTCTTTGAGGGTATTTGGCCATATGTCGGTGTACGGGATGTTGCTCGCCTGGTTGTCTGGGCTGTTAATCACCCAGCCCAGTCGGACAAGGGGCGATACCTGGCGGTTTCCACCGAGGCTAGTCTCTTGAATATCGCAAATACCTTACTCCGAGGCTATCCAGGCCGACAACATATTATCCTAGGCCCGTGGTCCGGGGCGAATCTTTCGCCGGAGAAACCAGTTTTAGAACGCACTGCGGCATTTGATCCCTCCAAAGCAGTCGAGGCGACGGGCGAGACATGGATCCCGTTTGATCGGACTGTGCTTGATGCTGCAAAGAAATTCGAGGCATACGTTTAAAAGGCTTCTAGTGACTCAGGTAGTGAACTTAATGAGCACAGAGGGTATATTTGATGACGATCAAATTTTGAGGCCTAACAGATTCCACACTGCTGCTAGCACAGAGCCCCACGCCCATCGCCACTATGCGCTGTGGATGCGAAGTATGTTGTCGGGATATGTGGCAGAATAATCAGAACCTTGTGTGCGATGCGTGACACATTGGACCTCAGCATCCTTAGAATCATCTGCACGGAAGATTATTTGGAATCATGCTGGGACAAGGTTGGTGGCTCAAAGCAACACATGCAGCTGCCAGTTTGCGAAGTCGGCTTACAAACTCAAAGACCACTTTTTGTTACCCAAAATGCTGATTTGCAGATTGAACTGACATCATGACAATTACAGGAAAACGGGGCTTTGAAGCTTGCAAATCCTTATCCATATAGGGTTTACATGACATGTTCTCGAAGCCCCTTACATTCTAGCGCCCCTCGGAGGATCCGTGTTTGCCTTTTCATTGACACCAATCACACAGAGTCCTCCGTCATCCACCCTGTGTAGATTCGCCTTCAACAAAACAAGTTTCTTACCCGCATGCTTCAGGCTGCACACGAGCCGCACCTCGCTACCCACCGGGACAGGCCGCAAGTAAGTGGTGTGCAGGTGGCGGCTGACACCTCCCAGCGAATAAAGTCCTGGCTTGGATAGTGCAGCCACAAAAAGGGTGCTGAGCGTATCGATAACCGTGGACACGCATCCGCCATGAAGGTGACGGGTATAGTTGCACATATCCTCCGTCACGGTGAAGCGAAAGGTGACTGAGGGGGGAGATCCAGCTCCCGTGGAGACTGATTCGATTCGCGCGTTGTAATTCTCTGGATTGAAGTCCCAACCCTGAGTTGAATGATCCATTAGTCATGACTGAATGGCATACGGGAGATATGGGCGACGCACCCGGCCCTTGGAATCTTGCTTGTGTCGCTCAAAGAAGCCCGACATCCTTTGTTCGAAATCAGGCGGTGCAAAAGTACTCCAGTCATGGTTAGGACAGGAAACGCGCGGCGGATGTATGCAGGTAGACGGAAAGATAAGACCGATGATGGTTTTATGCAACAATCATCAAATGCGTTAAACAGACGCAATTGTGAAAGGCCAACCGGTATGCGAAATTGCGCACGTTTCCTTATATAGACTGTTGCCGATCGAGGGAATCATATATTCTGATATGATATCATCTTCAGCTGACGCCGCTGGCCCAGTTGCAATAAGTATAACTATGGGGGATCCCCAATGCAAGTCGGCCGGATCATCGAGAAGATCAACGTCAAGCCGCCTATGCTTGAACTTACGAGAGCCAACATGACAGGTGACGAGTCCTCGCAAAACTTCAGCTCCAAAAGAGTGGCCATCATTGGTTGTGGAAACCTCGGCCGTCGAATTGCTCTGGCCTGGTCCAGTGGTGGATTCACTGTCCGGATATTTGACTCTCAACCGGAAAACGCTGTCGAAGCTTTGCACTGGGTGCAAGTGGCTTTGGAAGACTCCACATCCAAATCCAAAGAGAACGCTGGACATGTGGAGATTGCATCCAAACTGTCCGACGCGGTGCTAGGGGCGTGGATGGTGATCGAGTCGGTCCCCGAACAGATCTCCCTGAAGACGCATGTCTTGGGCGAGATTGACAAGCTCGCGCATCCGATGACAACCATAGCTACGAATTCCTCGTCGATCCGAAGCAGCAAGCTGGTCTCCAAACTGAGTGACGAAAGGCAAGGCCGGTTTCTCAACACTCATTACTACCGTCCACCTGAGCAGCGAATTGTGGAGCTCATGACATGCGGCCGGACGAAAGCAGCAGTCATTAACGAGACGGCTTCCCGGATGGAGTCTATCGGACTAGAGCCCATGATCGTCGGACGGGAATCGACAGGCTTTGTGGGAAACCGGATCTGGGCAGCGATTAAGCGCGAGGTCATGTCCATGCTGGCCGAGAGGGTGAGCAGCGCAGAAGACATTGATCGCGTGTTCAAGGACAACCTGCACACTGAGTGGGGGCCTTGCGAGCTCATGGATCAGGTCGGTCTGCAGACAGTGTGCGATATCGAAGACGTCTACATTAAAGAGCGCAACATGCCCACCTCCGGCGTCGACTTTATCCGCCAGAACTACGTGGCAAGAGGGCACCTAGGCCAGAGTACCGGGCGAGGGTTAAGGGAGTATCCTCTAAAGTCCCAACCCGCCTCCATTCGCGACCAATTGCTCGGGAGTTGGGAGCTGATAGAATGGGCCACAGTGGGCCCCGACGGACACAAACATCACCCAAATGGAAGAAGCGCCCAAGGCAGACTCCTGTACTCCCCTGATGGCTACGTCTCCGCAACTCTGCAATTGCCCGGGCAGGAACCCTTTGGAGGACAGGACCCGCGCACCGGAACAGACCGCGAGCTAGCAGAAGCGTCAAGACGGTTCCTCAGCTATACGGGGACTTTCTCCACGGAGGAAAACCCCTCTGCGCCAGCGGTGGTTCATCGACCGCAATGCTGCAACTTTCCAACATACCGAGGGCAGGCTATACGGCGATTCGTGGGACTCGAGACCATGGGCGGCGACAGACTGCTGACCCTTACCTGCGACGAAGCATCGCCGCACATGCAAGGGGGACGAGATGTTTTACGGTGGCGCAAGGCGACTCGGAGGGGCCATAAGATTTGAACTATTTCTCAGCAGATGCTTTTTGTGGAATTGACTTGATGTCACCGAATCTACTTATCGCCCGGGTTTAAAGTGGCTGAAACAATGCCACAAGGTTCCCATAAAGTTTGAATTGCCCACGCGATGCAGGGAAGTTGCGACATGACATCAAAGAGGGTCTGAGTCTAATTCTGTATATAGAGTGTGATCCATCTGAACAAGGTTGATGCGCCGATCATCCAGAATACGAGGGGCCAAGCAACGACAGAAAATAATACCAACATTCTTGAAAGAAAAAGAGTCCCATAAGATAAGGGCCGAATAGAAACCGACCAACCATGCACGATGGTCTCCACGGACAGCAGCCCAACAACCCTAGTTCCATCTCTATCAGACTCAGGCCGGCAAACTATAGGTATCGCCTTCTCAAATCACCCGCTGCGTTCTGAACTCCGCCGATGCCATAAGCTGAGCTGGCAGTCTTGGCCACATCTCCGCCTGAATCGGGAAAAAAGAAAACGTCGTGACGTATCCCAAGGCTGAGACCGCCGTTTTGTCTGACAAAGAACGGTGTATTTTTAGGTCCACGGGCGAGTTGATGGTTACGGTGGTATCAGCCAGGCTTTGTTTCATCCTTGCATGTGTAAGTACTGGTTTCATGATGCCCGGGATATATACATCGCCATACATACTTATAAGTAGTAGATAATATGTCCGGCCTGAGGATGTAGGATTATCTGCACATACAACTGAAGCTCTCCCAGATTGATACTCCCTGACCTCATTTGCATCCCTCTCGAGAATCAATGTCAAAATGGCACCGCCGGCGTTCCTCAGCACAATGCCACCATGGGCCTACCATCCATCCGCGTTGAAATCCTTCTCAATCGAAGAAGGCATCGTGCTATCAGTCCTCCACAACAATACCGCAATCCCTACCCTCCAGCTTTTCACCTACTGCTTCCTCGCCTACATCGTCTACAAACTCCTCATCTACCCTCAATTCCTGAGCCCGTTGCGCTCTCTCCCTCAACCAAAGGTACTCCATCCTCCTCCATCCATTCTCCTTTAACCCACCATTCATCCACCATCTACTCTTCCCAATCAAAACCCTTAACCCAACTAACACCACAAAAAATAAAAGGGAGGCTACCCCCTTCTCGGTCACGCCCTCTCTCGCTTCCAACAACCGCTCGGAAAAACCTACCTCCACTTCATGAACACCGTCCCGAACCAGGGACTGATCCTCTTCCGGGACCTCTTCCACACCGACCACCTCCTGCTCACCTCCCCCGAAGCCCTGGCGGAGATCCTAATCCGCAAACCCTACCACTTCGAAAAACCGCCCGAGATCCGGCTCTTCACGAGCCGCATCCTCGGCGGGGGGCTCCTCACTACTACTGGAGCGGTCCATAAGATGCAGCGCCGCAATGTGATGCCGAATTTCACGCTGCGGAATACGAGGCGGTTGGCGCCGTTGTTCTGGGAGCGGAGTTGTGATTTGGTTACTGGGGTGAGGAGGGAGCTTGACCTTCTGGGTCTGGACAGGGACGGGGTGGTGGATATGAACGTCTGGGCGACGAAGATCACGCTGGATATCTTCGGGGAGGCGGCGCTGGGACTTCAGCTGGGGTTGTTGAGGGGAGGGGAGCATCCGATTGAGAGGGCGTATGAGGGCGCGTTTCGGTCGACGCCGAGGAAGGATTTGTTATTCGTGGCGCTGTCGTGTGGGTTGCGGTGGGTGGTCGAGAATGTGCCGTGGAAGATGGATCGCGAGTTTGATGATTCGACCGAGTATTTGAGGGGGTTTTGTCGGGGGGCGATTCAGCAGAGTAGAAGGAGACAGGAGGAGGAGCAGCAGGAGAAGGAGAAGGGTTTAGGGCAGGGTTTCGAAGAAGAGCAGTCGGATCTACTGTCGAAGATGCTGGCGTCGGGCAAGTTCACGGACGAGGAGCTGGTCGATCAGTTCTTGACGTTTCTGGCAGCTGGGTATGTCCTCTCTCTCTCTCTCTCTCTCTTGCACCATCAATCCTGTCTTGATATACATCTACTAACCGCTATAAACGCAGACACGAAACCGTCGCCGCAACATTCGGCTGGACGATCCACCTACTCGCCCGCCACCCAGACATCCAGAGTCGACTGCGCTCAGAACTGCGTCTCCACGCCTCCCTCTGCGGCACCCAGATCAGCGAATCCCTCGAATCGCTCCCCCTACTGCACGGGGTCTGCAACGAGGCCATCCGCATGTACCCGTCCATCCCTGTCACACCACGCATCGCGACCCGCGAGACCTCGATCCTGAACTACACGGTGCCGAAAGACACGCGGATCATGATCGCGCCGTGTGCGATCAACCGGGCGCCGCATCTGTGGGGACCCTCGGCGAATGAATTTATGCCGGAGCGCTGGATCGACGCGGATGGAGGCATGAACAAGACGGGGGGCGCGGAGAGCGTGTTTGCGAATCTGACGTTCCTGCACGGGGCGCATGGGTGCATCGGGGCGGACTATGCGCGCGCGGAGCTGCGGGCTATGGTGGCGGCGTTGGTGGGCGCGTTTGAGATGGAGATTGGGGCGGAGGAGTGCGAGAGGGTGGTTGTGAGGGGGAGATTGGCTACGAGGCCCGGGGATGAGGAGGGGAGGCTGTTGGTGAGGTTGAGGCCTGTTCCGGAGTAGTATATAGATATGGCAGAGGGATGGGTAGGTTTTATGATAATTTCTAGATACACCGTATCGCAAGACAGAAGATATTTGACAGGATGGTCTCTCGGGTCTGCCACCGAAATAAAAGAATATCCTTCAAGATAAGGGTGAGCCTCTTTGTACCCAGATCGATCATTTCAGACACAGATTTCCAGCCATGTTATGGGTAGATATGCCTCTCTAAACTATACTTAGCTTAAAAACTGGACTTGAGTAGACCTTCGCACTCGCCGTCCAAATTGTAAAAACATCTTTTCTACCAATTTAAACTGGTCGCCTCGACCCTCCTTTTCTTGAATTCGAAAAACATCCCACGCCATTTTGCCTAGTTTTCTTTCTCCTCCGACAAATAGTGCTGCTTGGCAAAAATGACTGATATCTTTTCTTCGATTTGCCCATTAGGGCTCGTCGTTCTTGCCAATGACACGGTAAAGCGAGAAAAAAGGATGACCTTCAAGAAAAGGTTGAGGTGAGTATCCTTGTACTCATATCAATCATTTCGGACACTCAAAACGCAGGTTTCCGGCCATGTTTGAGCAGGCGATGTCCGGGATATCGCAGTGCTAATTTCAGTTTGTATATTAATCCATTATGCACCATGGATTTATGGAGAGCGACTTCCGTATTGACGACGGCCGATTGAGCCAGTCATAATGCGACCGACTGTGTTCCAATAGCAAGATCTCCAGCACTTCAGGGCCTCCAGATGGACATGAAGGCCGCATTTCACTGTCTATATTCGAAGTCAGTTTCCATGTCTAAGTTTTCAAAGCCATCCATTCGTTTGAAGCTAGAACTCACCGAGCACAAGACTGCCTCCGGGGTAACGAAGACTCGCCATATGCCACAAAGTGTCATAGGATAGGCACTTCAGTCCTTACCATGTTCAAGGCTTAGGGAATTGCGCGCGCTTGAATCAATAGCATTACCGCCGCTCTTTTCGCCAAATGTAAAAATAAGATCTTCTTTGGCTGCTGCCAGTTCATTGGCGACAAAAACTGCCCAACTGGTGCAAACCCCAGTCTTGCAGCCCACAGTGGGCGGAGGCTTTTCTCTTCTGGCTTATGGATGGTCGATACCTCTTTCTTGCGTGCAAAAACGAACATCCTCCAAGATAAAGTCGGGGTGAATATCCTTGTACCCAGATCTATCATTCTGGACACTCAAAGCGCCCCTCATGGGCCCAACCCCGGCACCTGGGTTCGGGCACCGGGCCCGCCGGCCTTCTAGAAAGGTCGTCAGCCCTTATCCAAACACAGTCTCGATTCGATTCGACTCCATCTTGATCAGGAGGGGAGGGTGTCCGGGCCCTCGGACTTCTTTTGGGGGATAAGGGGGCGAGCGGACAATCTCCTCGTCTGCAGATTCAACGGAGGAGGAGGCAGCAGGGGAGGCAGGTTTCCCGCCATGTCGGAGCAGGCGATGTCCGGAATATCGCAGTACGTGTTAATAGTGCTTTTAAAGTCACCAAAGGAGGGACTAGGAGCAACGATTGACTCTTCTTTCCAGTGTCATGGGATGGCGGATCCTTTGTAGAAGAATACGAATCACCACGAAATGGGGTTGTTGCCCTTTTCGTTTCCGGGAATCTGCCGATAGTGGAAGGTTCTTTTAACCTTAGGACAAGTAACCGATCGACTGATCTTTCAGCCATTTTCATAGATCCCACCAGTAGCAAAATCGCTATAGATGCCTTGGCATTCGTCCTCTGCGACAGGACAAAGAGATAGAAAATCTTCAAAAGACTATATCTCCTTTCAAAAGCCCTAACTGGTGCAAACGCGGGTGTTACAAGCCCAAAGTGGGCGCAGGCTTTCGTCACTTGCCTCGTTGATAGCAGATGTGAGGCTTTGTGAAAGATGGATATGCATTGTGCTAGAATCCACTAGCATTATGAGTGGAGTAAACATGAACTCGGGCCATGATTCTTTACAAAGCGCATACGCGCTCTCGATTCGAAATTTTAGTCGTTCATTTTATTCGCTTGCCGCAGTAGAGGAAGGTAAGAGGGAGATTCGGTGTTCCCGCGTAGGTATCCGAGTAGTAGGTCGGGATTGATTGCCTCAGTACCTTAGTATAGTCGTAGTGTAAGGTACCTAGTAAGTAGGTATTATCTGTGATCGTAGTGTATCTGTTTTCGGAGGCTCGAGGTCTGATCGGTTCTGGTAGTAGGCATGGTTAGAATATGCAGTCAATCAGATGGGGTTGGATATCAGGAACTACACTATACTTCGATCGATCATATCGCATTTTTGATTCGATGTCCTAGTTATCCTAGTTGTTCTGAAGGGAGGAACGGAAGAAGAAGCCGGAGGAGAAGGAATTCTCTTCCATTTTGCGATAGCAGCAGAGTGAATTGGATGGATGAAGCGATGAATCTACAGCAGGTAGTGACTACTTCCTTCGGTGAATGTACCTGCCACTGATCTATATTCATCGAGAAAGAAGGAGTCACAGTCTCAACCGGCTCATGGGATACGAGATTGCCTGGGTGATTATCTTTGTTTCTTAAGATTTACTAAACTGGAGAGAACCTGCCAATTCTGCTGCGAATGTTGCACACTAAGGAGGCTTTAGAGTGGATAAAAGAATACTGTATGCCTTGAAATCAACAGCGTAATCGCAGAATTATACTAGTCTATTTACATTCAAATGTTTGGGTTTAGCTCACAGATCCTGGATAATCCCGTAAACCATCCTTAATCCATCCAGGTCACCGACTTTGTCCACAGGAACTCATCCAGCATGTCCGATCCGAACCGCCCGAATCCACTGTTCTTGACTCCGCCGTGAGGCAGCACCGACTCGTTATGCACCGTCATCGAGTTGATATGCACGGCCCTACATCAGTTAGTATTAGTCCAGTCCTAAGCTAGAGGGGGTGATAGACATACCCCGAATCAATCCCCTTGGCCACCTTCAACGCCCGGCCCAGATTCTCCGTATACACGGCCGCACTGAGACCGTACTCGGTATCGTTCGCCAGCGCCACAGCCTCGTCGTCGCTGTCCACGACGAACAGCGACACCGTCGGCCCGAACGACTCCTCCGCGTAGATGTCCATATCGCGCGTGACGCCCTCGACCACGATCGGCGCCAGGCGCGTGTCCGAGGCTGTCGGTGCGTCCACGTCGCCGGCAATCACCTTTCCGCCCTTGGACACGGCGTCACGCACCAGGTTCCGGTTCTTGGTCACCGCCGCGGCGTTGATCACCACGACTTCGCCGCTGCCGCCGCCGGCGATGTGCTTGATGGTGGCGTTGAGGACGGGTCGGAATTGATCGACGATGGAGCGGTGCACGATGATTCGTTCCGTGCACATGCAAACTTGGCCGGACTGTTTTATTTCATTAGCTCAGGGACTCCCACAACGCAACTCAAAAGCAAGAGGAAGGAGGGGGAATACATGAATAAACGACCCCAACACGGCCCCCAGCGCCGCCTTCTCCAGATTCGCATCCTCCAGCACAATCGTCGGCGCCTTGCCACCCAACTCCAGAATCACCGGCTTGATGTGCTGCGCGGCAATCACGCCGATCTTGCGCCCGACGGCTGTGCTGCCCGTGAAGCTGAGCTTGCGCAGTGCCGGGTGCGCAATCAGCGCCGTCGTCACCTCCACGGCGTCCTGCGGCCGCGAGTAGATCACGTTCAGCGCGCCGTCGGGCAGTCCCGCCTGGCGGAAGGCGTCGCCGATGGCCCAGAAGCACTTGGGCGAGAGCTCGGAGCCCTTCAGCACGGTGGTGTTGCCGGCCGCCAGGGCGAGGGCGACCGACCGCGTGCCGAGGATGTAGGGCGCGTTCCACGGTGCAATGCCCAGGATGACGCCGTACGGCTGCTTGTAGATGATGGCGCTCTCGCCTTCGCCGGCAATCGTGGGCACCGTGCCCACGATGCTTGAGATCTTGCCGGCCGCGTCGCGCAGCAGGTTCACGCCCAGCTGGAAGATGAACTCGTTGTACATCTGCTCCGCCGCCGTCTCCTCGACCATGTACCGCAGGAACTCCTCCTTGCGCTCGACGAAGACGTCCGCGGTGCGCAGCAAGATGTCGCGTCGGACGTCGGGCTTGGTGCGGGACCACGCCGGGAATGCGGCCTGCGCGGCCTCGACGGCGTCAGTGGCATCCTTAGCGGACGCGGAGCTACATTGGTGCTCGACTTGGCCGGTGCCGGGGTTTGTGACGTCGAATTGGGTGTCTGTGAAGATGTTTTTGTTGTTGATGATGAGGGGGACGGGGGAGCCGGGAGGGACGTAGGTGGAGGACATTTTAGGGTATTCTGGGGGTGAATAAGATAATGAAAAAGCGAAGCAAAAGAGAGGAGAGGGAGAATCAACTGACAAAAATCAGAAAAAAAGGACACGACCCCACGGCCACAATCCCCCCTTTTTATCCAAGCAGCGTCCATTCCCACTCCAGTTTCATAACGCAAAGAACTTAGTCCGGCGTAGTCTCTGGGTGAGCCGCGACACGTCGAGATTCGGATCCACCGCAGCCACGGATCGCCCGTTGCGATGTCCAGTCGTGGATGATAAGACCAAAGACTCAGGAGAATCCCGAGCAGCGAACCCCACCAACTACCGAATGGCCATTCCGGTGAGCGAACCCACTTCATTTTTAGGTCTGCGATCGGCGGACAGATCCATCATTTGTCATGATTCATAACTTTTGAACGCATTAACCTCTGAGATCCCTTGGCCCGGAATGCGGGGTGGCGGAGATCTGCGGCGTTCCGACTGCCGATTTTCTCTTCCGATGCACGATGCCAGACATGCAGGGATCTTTCCCCGCGGGGTGTCCGATCCGGGGTTTGTTCCCAGTGCTCAGACACGGAGACATCGATATGATCGAATGTGGTCATGAGCTCTTGGTTAACCTTGTACCCCGCGTGGCAAAGCCGATGACGATGCCGCCGGATGGAGAGTGCGGTACTTTGACGCGCTATATGTAGAGCCTATCCTGTTGATAAACGGTCAATTGACATTGCATACTCACATCACATACACACATACCTTCTTTTAGATATCCACATCATGTCCATCACCACGTCGGCACTCGTATCCCACGAGCTCAACAAACCCCTCGTCCTCGAGGACGTAGTGCTCGACGAAATGCGGCCCGACGAGGCCATCGTGGAGATCGAGGCCAGTGGCGTCTGCCATACCGATCTGTATGCGCGCTAATGCACCCCCTTGCCATGCTGATCCAGCCAATCTAACCGACCGAGTAGATCCTGCATGGACGGGACGATTCCCGCCGGATTCCCGAATGTATTCGGCCACGAAGGTTAGCTCCATCCCTATCCTCATCAATTACCTAGTATGTAACCTAACAAACGTCCCAGGCGCCGGAACCGTGCTCCAAACCGGCTCCGCCATCACGCACGTCCAGCCGGGCGACAAAGTGCTCCTCTCATTCAACCACTGCGGCGACTGCGAGCACTGCAACGACTCGCACCCCGCGTACTGCACGTCTTGGGTGCCGCTGAACTTCTCCGGAAAGCGGCTGGACGGGACGCACACGCTGCGCACAGCACAGGGGCAGGCCATGCACGGGACGTTCTTCGGGCAGAGCTCGTTCATGCGACACGCGCTGGTCTCGGCGTCCAGCATGGTCAAGGTGGATGCGGCGACGGACCTGGGACTGTTCGCGGCGCTAGGGTGCGGGTTCCAGACGGGGGCAGGGTGCGTGCTGAACACGCTGCGAGTGCGTCGAGGCAGCTCGCTGGTGGTGTTTGGGGTTGGGGCGGTGGGGATGGCGGGCGTCATGGGGGGAGTGATTGCCGGGGCGAAGACGATCGTGGCGGTGGATTTGAACGAGGAGAGGCTGAGGATGGCGAGGGAGTTGGGTGCGACGCATGTGGTGGACGGGAAGAGCCAGGACGTGGAGGGGCAGATCCGAAAGATCTGTGAGCCTGGGAATGGGGCGCAGTTTGCGATGGATGGAACGGGGGTGCCGAAGGTGATTGAGACGATGGTCAAGTGTTTGGGCACGAAGGGGAGGGCCGCCACGGTGGGGGCGCCCAAGCCGGGGTCGACGGTCGCGATTGATATCTTTCAGCATTTGATTCTGGGCAGGGAGTATGTGGGGAGTACGGAGGGGGATGTCGATGCGAAGACGGTGAGTTTTTTGTGCCTTTGTTTTATGGACAAGGAGATATATGCTGACGATTTAGTTCATTCCCTTCTTGATCGAGGAACATGCAAAGGGTCGGTTCCCCATCGACAAGCTGATCAGTTATTATGATATCAAGGATTATCAAACGGCCTTCCAGGATATGAAGGCGACAAAGATCATCAAGCCGGTGCTGCGGTGGAAGTGAGCTTACATCTACAGTATACCCATAGATCAATGTATCAAATATAAATATTCATTAAATCCGAAGCCATTTATTTACCTAATCTATCCCAAACCCGAGATAAATTCCCATCCACATAATATATACATCGAAATGTTAAACCCCCTTAAGCCCACTTTCCAAGCAAGGCCATCAACAACGCTCCCAGACAGAGCAGGCCGAACGCTGCCAGAACGTGCTGGATGGGCGCCTTCTTCATCGACGTGCTGAACATGAATTCGTGCGCCATGAGTTCCACAAGCGCCGTGTAGATGAGAATACCGGCGGAAATCGAGTCGAACACGCCGTTGACAATCAGAGTCGTCCGTCCCTCCGGGGGATAGGCGTTGCGCACTCCCAGTCCGATGGCAATGGCAATAGGGGTGGACAGCCCGAACCCGATGCCCAAGAGGTACGGCGTGATGCGCTTCGAACGGGGCCACGGGACTTCGGCCAGTCGGGATCCCAGACCCAGGCCTTCGAAGGTCTGGTGGAAGACCAGAACAATGTACAACGTGACGAACTCCTCGCCGGACACCGCCAGGGTCAGACCGATGAAGACGGAGTGGAAGATGATGCCGAACTCCAGGATGAAGATAGACGTCAGCTGCGCCATGTACTCTTCCAGGGCGGCCGTTTTCGCGGCCTCGAGGTCCTTGTGTTCGCGCGAGTGGCCGAGGTGATCTTCCCCGGGCATGTGGCCCTTGGAATCGGCGACCTCCGCGCTGTGCTGGACGGATTCCCCGCTGTGGCTGTGGCTGTGGTCGAATTCATCGTGCGAGTGATTTTGGCCAAATCGAGCATAGCGCATAACCATCAATTCGACAAAGAACAATACCACAATGGTCATGAGAATGATACCCTCGACCCAAGAGTATTCCGTGATTGGACCGGTCAAACATTCGTTGGTGAGAGCCTCCTCGGCGGGGCCCAGCAGGTGAACAAAGGCCGTGGCGATGATGACACCGGAACCGAAGTACTTGGCGATGAAAAAGGCCCATCCGAACATCTTGGACTGGCGATAGCTGCCGGCAAGGACCGGGAAGACGGCACCGAACATCGAACCAACCATAATGACGAAGATCGAAGAGATACGCAGACCCATGCGACCGTCGTACTCGTTGCCCGTTTCACAGGCCGGAGCAGCACCCGAGTCCCCATCTCGGGCGAGGAGCGAATGAAGAAGTGACATTGTGTGCCTCAGGATTCAATTGGTCCTCGGAAAAAGTGTACACACACAAGAAAGACGAAATCGAACCGATTCAAGCACGGACCCGCGTTTGACGTGTATGACAGATGCCGCCGGATTCAGGAGCCTCGTGGGAGAAAGCCAGATAGCCCAATGGAATTGAAAAGAGGTGTGGGACAAGGAATGCAGGATCGTCCAAAAGGTCGGCAAGAGCGAGCAAATTGGCGGAGAGAAAGGCCCAGGAATGCAGTCAGCCGAATGCTTGATGCGTCTTGGTATTTCTTGGTTTTTCTTGGTGTTCTTGGTGTTTTCTTGTCGCGTGCTTTTATATCGCTTCCTGTTGTGCGACCAGGGCGACAGGCAAGATTTGACCGTCCTCAAGGTCCCTGGCGGTCCACTTTAGACGTCTGCTTAGTGTCGCTCGAGACCGGCCAAGCGAGGCACCAACAGGGATTGAGATGACAGATGAGGACCTTGGGGTGTAGTGGCAGTCGGATATCTCCGTGGTTTACGTGCAGGCGGTTCGAGCCTCTCGGTGTAGGTGGGTAGGAGGTCGCGATTGGATACGGAATGAAGCCGACGGAGACAGACACCGGACAGGCGACGGACAGCTACCCACGAGACAGAAGACGAGGACCCCGGGAGGAAATTGGCGAGGAATGGGAGAGGAGGGAGGGAGGGAGACGACGGAGGGGCGACATGACGGAAATGTCTCCCACTTTGGGTTGGGTTGCAGAACCGGGGGACCTTGGAGGAAAAGCGGGTGCCATCCTCGACGTCAAAGAAGACTTTTCGTCCATTTTTGAGGACCTTGCGAGCATCTGCCGGGGATGCTGATTGGTTGTCATGGTGTAAAGTGGGTCAGAGGGGCTGGTCACGTGGGCCTCTCGTCCGATATCAGGCCGGTTCACAGTGATCCATGAATGCATCGACATGATGCATCGACAGGTATCTCAGGCGGAAATATCATTTGAATTCCAGGTACCGCACCATACAAAAGCTAAATTCTCACGACACAATCCATGATTCATGGACCCAGGACCTGGAGCGCTGGTTTGGGAAAGCGGTGGCCGGGTTGGACGGATGTTGCTTATGTAATGGAGAGCATCAGATGGGAGATCCTCTCTCGACGGAGTATCGTGCTTAGGGCTAGTCATTGATCTGTATAATCCGTGTTCTCTCATTCGCTCTGGACTCTCGATCAAATGGTCTATGCACATATCGGGCCTTCGGATGCCGCTCGGAGTACCTTGTATGCTAGTACAAATAACAAGCAGTGGTCTGGTCACTGTGGGTTCAGGACGAGGCCATGAGCAAGTTTCTCGCATTAACTTAAATGGGTATATCCTCCATTGACTCAATTAACTCAGTCCTTGACCGAAGGCTACATTGGGGGCAATTGTGAACCTTGGTGGTTTACTTGACTAAGATCCAAATATATATCGATTGAGTGTTTCAGCTGAAAACACTCATTTGTCATGCTTCAGGGATATAATATATTCAGCCATGAATGGCAACCTATTGAAAGCAGCATTGCCTACTATAATCATGCCAGTCCTGTAGGCTCAAATTCTCACGTTATGTTAGTCCCTGTAGATAAGCCAAAAGGCTTGGCAGACCGGCAGGCCGAGATATGTCATCATCGACCAACCATCTGTCTCGACCCCCGTTTGCCATCAACACCTACTACCTAGCTACCTAGCTACACCACACCATCGACCCATCCCTACCTCCTCTCTAATCCGCCTTACGAACCCCAGAAACTGACCCTCCTCACCCTCAACATGGCGCCTATCCGGCGCTACCTCCGCATCAGCAAATACACCATCCTCGAATGCCGCATCTACCTCGACAACCCGTCCGACACGCGCTGGCTCCTCGACTCCCGAGATCCCGTGCTCCCTCGCATTTTCGCCGCCATCCGGCCCCTGGTCCTACCGAAGCTGCGCGAGGAGAACGAGCGCCTGTTTGCCCGCAAGAAGGGCCATCCCGTCAAGGATGTGATCGCGGAAGGTGGGTACATCATCTGCGCGCAACAGTACACTGTTCAGACATCAAGTCTCGCGGATCGAATATGGATATGTTAAAGGATAAGGTGGCTGATTACGTGCATCTGCAGATGAGTTCGAAGTTGCGTTGTTCCTCCGCGAGTCCCGGACGCGTCATTCGCTTCTGACGCGGCACAAGGAGTTCGAGGATCAGGGTCATGGGACCGGGGTGGGTAGGAATAAGGGCAAGAATCCTGAGGCAGGGACGCAGGCCGACACGGGGATCCTGGTCGAGAGCGAGAGCGAGGACGAGTCGGGACTGCGGAACATCCCCCAGGCGGGCACGGACGAGGACGAAGACGGTGGTGAGACGTCAGGGAAGCGGAGGCGAGCGACGGCGGGTTCGTCGGGTGACGACGTGCGTGTGTCGAAACGGCAGAAAGACCAGGACTGGGGGGACGACGACGGCGAGGACAAGAAGATGCGCTTCCGGACCAACTACGAGGGGTTCAACATCTACGGCTGGACGCTGTGTCTGCTGGTCACGCGGAAGGGAGGCAGGGCGCGGCCTGCAGCGACGCCGTCGGAGCCTTCGCGGCAGGCTCTCATGGAGGAATGGATGTCTACGCAGCAGGGTGATGTGGATGAAGAATAAGCCGAGAAACTCTATTAAGGGGTGAAATCCTGGTATCACCCTTTCGGTTCATCACAAGCATTCGACGCCCCCCCTGTAGGTGTTCGTGATCAGAACCTGGTCAGGTGGCGGTGGCGATTATCGACCAATCCGGGGTTCTGCCTTAAGAATCAAGACAGGCTCATCATCAGACAGACCAGACCAGACCGCGACGGCTGGAAACGAGGAAATGGCATTCCAGAGATTCCGATCTGCAGACCGAGTGTTGCACGATGGCATGGACGCGGACCATATAGATGAACATGGGGTAAGGGTAAGGCAGCTGGAATTCGTGCGCCCATAATCTCGAACGGTCACGGTTCACAAACCACACGACGCTGCAGACTGCATCTGCAACCTGCATCCAACCAATCAACCAACCAACCAACCCATATTTGAAATTTCCGAACGGTCGCACGAAATCAAGCCATAATCTACGCCTTGTTTCACAGGCGCAGTGCAGATAATCAAGTGCGAACTTATTTTCTCGCGCGAAACGGATCGCTGCATAGGATAATTGGCCATTCCGAAGACAGCGCAACGAACCCCTGCCTTTTTTATTTTTCTTCGACCTAACTCGCATCGCGGTTTGAAAAAAACCATCCGAAACACCGCCGGAATTTAGGTCCTGCTCAGCAAGGGGCAACCGCTCGCTTCTCGTCCGTCCTTAACATGAAACACATGGTTCTCCTGGATCGGTTGTTTTATTATTATCGCCCTGTCTGGCACGCTGTGTAACATCCGCGATCAGGTCAGGTCAGGTCGAGGGTCCTGACTCTAATTAATGAAAAGAAAACCGCTCAGCTTGATCCAGAAGAATCTGCGGTATGCACGAGGCGCTGGATCAGGGTGGTCAGTTGACTGAGTACGCCGTATGCAGAGTAGAGTATGTACATATGTCGGGCACTTACCAGTTACCACGCCACATGCACATCAGCAATGTGTACAGCGCATGCACGAACCTCCAGAATCATACGAGTGCCGCCTCCGAGTAGGTAAGACGGCAGATGGTAGTCGTACGGAATGGGATGATCACATATACTCCATCCATGGATGCATGGAGTAGCAGATAGGGAAATCAGGGATCGTAGCAGGACACGGCACGGTCCAACTGTACCCGGCAAAGGGAAAAAGAAAAATAAAAGATCAGCATTGCGCTTCTCGGCTCGCTGCATGATTATTAAATTAGCCGCGGCACAGATATGCAAGTCATACTTCGTAAGTTGTGATCGTGGTGTCTACGCCGGATCTGGAAGTATGGGCTGAGTGCAGTACGAGGTATATACCGTGTTACGACACTGGTGATATATATTTAGAATGGAAGGGAATTATGAAACGAGAATGCAAATACGGTTCTTCATCTAAACCCTACCGAACACAACATAAGTACTACCTATTAGGCAGGCAAGGAAGCAAGGTAGTACCATGTATATATCACGAGGTGTGGTATCGTGTCGTGTCTGACTGCAACCCGCATGGACCGAGATTCCTCACGGAGCGTCCGTCGAGAATCCATCCAGCTGGCCTGGAACACGGCAGAGCATAGCCCAGCGCAGCCAGCCCAGGCAGACTCCTCCTGCAATGCAATGCAATGCAAACGGACCAAAAGAGACATCTCGCCACAGCGGCGTCGCGTCAATAATCAAACGGATCCAGATTTCAGATAGCCGTTACGCCCGTAGTTGCCGACGCGCGGGAGTGCATATTAAAACGGCCTCGCCACATTAATCTCCCGCAGACGGGCTCGTTAACATGAGACGTGGAATTTTCCATCGCGCTCCGTGTTACACGTCCCCCCTCTCCCTTGCCTGGAGTAGTCCACCGGGTAATCTAGTCTCATGAGACATTCTACCCCGTGAGGTTGACTGCAGCGTACTCGGAGCCTGCATATGGGCTATGGAGTAGGTTAATATCGAACGGGAGAGCAATTTCCATCGAACTTCGTAATATGGAGGAAAGCGACCCATTTCAACCCATCTAACCCATCTATCCCGTGCTCCCGTGAAAGGCTAAATCGATCGGCCGGAGCATTTGTTGGAAGTGATTGACACCTGGGTTGGCTGGGAGTGGGAGGAGAAATTACGATCCAATTAATCCGTAGATCGTTAAGCGATCAATAACCAAACAAGCAAACGCCAGAAAAATAGATTGGCGAAGGAATTGGCCCCCATAGCTTACGGGATGAGGAGGGCATGATTGATTGCTCCGTAAGTGTACGGGGTATGGCGGGCAGAGGAGTCGCGAGTCAGGGGACGACGCTATTTGCCCTCATCGAATTTCCCACTTCCCATTTCCCAGCTCCGTAGGCGCGGTACCTGGGGGCTGGTGCAGGTAGTCTGACTACCGAAGGTCGCATCATCTCCCAGGAGAGTTAGAGGCGCAGAGCACGGTGCCACTCTGGCCCCCAACCCAACCCCAAAATATTGGGACGCTTCCACGCCCATCGACCATCCTGAACCTTATGTGGGCATGTAGGCCACGCTGGGAGATGAGAAGCTATGAAACCGATATATCTCCGCCCGCAGGAGGAAGGAGGGCGTTTCGCAGCACGAACTCCGAGGACGAGCCGACTCCGACTCTCCGTACCGAAGCCCGACGGACTTGGGGCTCCGGGCTGAAAATGGAAACATGCAACGGATGGTTCTGCTCGTCCGTTTTAGGAAATATGAAAGAGGGCGGAAAAGAATGGGAACTGTGGAGTTGGGATTCGGGGTCTGAATGAACTTCCTTCAGCCTGCTCTGCTGAGCCACTATTTTTGAACGGAGTCCCGTTAAAGCATAAGCTCCTCCCAAGACTGAAGAGTGAAGACTACGGAGTAGGAGCGATCGGAGATGGAAACAGGTCATGACATCATGAATACCCCGAAATATCTCCCAAAGAAGCGGATTTTCCGGGTTCCTGGCGCGGCTGTGCTTTAAATCGGTTAGAATTTAGCAGTAAACGCTCGGCGAGCGAAAGAGAGGAGAGAGAGAATGATAGTGTGAGACAATGTCTCCCCAACCTCCGGGGACCCAAAGTTGGACCTTTTTGAGTGCAAAAAGGGATTTGTGGATCGTTGGATCTCCCACGGAGAATTTTCATTCGGTAGCCATCTGAAACAAACCAGCCCAGGCGACTAAAAAATGTAGATTGGACGGTTCACGCGCTTGTAGGCAACGGACTCAGGTCCTGGAGGGGGAGACCCTCTCTCCCCACCGTGACCGCACGAACTCAATTAGCGACTGTTAGGCTAGCCAGACTAGCCCTGGTTTTGGTTTTGGTAAAATTTCTCGTTCTCCAAATGGAAAGAAGCTGCCTAGGCTAGTTATGGAGATGCTGAGGAGCGGTGAACCATGGTTGAGAAAGTTTCTGGAAGGAAGCTATCTTTTTCTTCGCAGTGGAGCAGATCCGGTTGATCCTTATTTTGCCTCTGGTGGAGAGAATTGGTCAGTATGGAGCAAGAAAGTGTCCGACAAGAGACAGAGAGTCAAGACTCAAGAGGCAGACAGGAACGCAAGGGCTAAACTCCTCGGGAAACAGGGTGGGATCGCAGATTCTGCGCCTCAGGAAATTGACAAGTAGCCTCAAAGGCTAGCTACAGACCGTTGATCCCGCCGTGTATCATCGATGCACGTGAAGTCACTAGGCCCAATCTTCCGAGGATGATTTGACTGCTGACAAGGCGACTTGGCATGGCGGTATCACACAAATCATTCTGACTCCGAAGGATGCCATGGGACATCAGACACAGCCTTGCCGGATTGTTATGGCGCAGCAGTGATTGGACGGCTTCTCCGCCGGATCCAATTCCAATCTCTTTCCATGGTTAGCACTGGCACTTGGCTCCGGAGTAGCAGACTAGCAGTCAAGAACAGAGCCGTCATCCGCAGCGTTGAGCACCTACGGTGTAGGGCAGGTAGAGGCAGAGAGGCAGAAAACAAGCTACCGGTCTACCCCCAGCAATTCCCACCATGGTCATTGGCAATCGTACTCCGCGATGCTACCGACTAATTCCTTTACCGAGTGTAGTCGCTCACCAAGAGCAACCAACAGTGGAGATCTCATTTCACGGAGAGCCCCACCCGCCAGATTTTTTTTTTTCGGTCTCCTTCCATCTTGCCATGTGTTGTTTTCCACCGATTTGCGACGGAAACCAATCCAGGGCATGTGATAGGACCACCAAAGTTTCTCGGTACTCCATAAACCGTCGAGTATCCGTCGCCATCCAGGAACCATCCCATGATTTCACCGTCTTTCTCGAGGTAACGTGGTGATGTCAGGCCTCCGTCACGTCCGTCGCTCTAGTATGGCCCGTACCTGCATCTCGAAAAGTGCCGGTCACAGGCACTAACAAGGACCGGTGGAATTCCTGGCGCTCCGAGGAAGTTGGCGGCGGCAAGACTAACGCGGCGGGTGGCAAATCGGTTTAATGAATTCTGGGAGCGACGAGATTGAAAGCGCACATCAATGGATCTACGGAAAGACGGATACTCGATGAGTTGATGCAGTCGGCTAGTGACGTGCAGGATCAACCTTCGTCTTTTCCCGTTTCCCCCTCCCTCGCGGCCACTTTTCATCTGCAGAAGATCCATCCGTCTTGTACGCCGGACCACAGTCACACGGCGGGTACGCTGGCAGGGTTCCTGAGCAATGAACATTCAGGGCGGCAGCCAGGATACTCGGGACCGAACGAGTCCACGGAAGAAATGGAGGGAGTGTTGCATTGCATTATGCAGAGACGCCTTGACAGGGGGGATGAAAAGGTGAAAAAACTTGTAGGGTTCCTAGTAGTATGCCCCCGGTCAGAATGAGGGCGTTTATACTGTGTACGGAGTAGAGAAAAGCGTAATTCGCGTATTTCGTACGAAGACTCCGTACTCCGTAGATACCTAGCTGAACTGTGGAGTGAATCAAGGCTACTACTCCGGAGTAAGTAAGGGATGTCAGCAACGATCAGAAGGAGAATACTGCTACTCCGTAATCGCAAGAACCGGTCGAGCGTGAATTAGGATGACAGGTCAACTCGGAACCGATTGACAGAATCCGGAGAAACCTTCTCAAACGCCAACCGAACCAAGAAGCCGATAGCTGAAAGGCCGTCCGGAGAACGGATGGCGGAAGGCTCAAAATCCCAAATATAAACCCGAACAATGAGGATAAAGAATGGCGAATAATAGCAGCATGGAATAAAGGCCGGGTAGATTGGTCGAATCAGACGGGTCGCAGAGGAAGGGGGGATCAGCTGCAAGGAGACGGCGGCATCTGGTTGGATGGCCCAATCGCCGAGATACCGTGGATTTCGAGGCCGTACAAGGCACCGTACGAACTGCGCGCTCTGCCTCGATCGGTTGGTCGGCCCCTGAAACTGGCCGGTAAGATACGGTTTCCGCTGGGAAGCTGAAACGACCTGTCATACCCTCCCGTCTGACACAACTTTACCCCTGACGCTCAACTGGACTTGACTTCTGGGCGCATTTGCCCCCTCCTTTTTCTTTTCTTTTCTTCTTTTCTTTTTTTCCCTGGTGTGCGTACTGCCTGTGAGTGTGTGCGTGTCTCTTCCTTCCAACCACCCTCCTCCCCCCTTCCAACCCTTCCCTCCCTCCTTTCCGGCTTTCCCTGCCTTGGAACCTCGCGGATGTGGTGGCTTGGATCAGGTCCCGACATTCTGGCTGAGACTAGGATCTCCTTCCTGCGACGTGATGAATCACCTCCCGATCCTCAGCGTTTCAGGCAACCAGCCCCAACCGTTTTGAGCCGTCGCGAAATCGATAGAATCCCCAAGAAGACGGGAAAAAGAAATGTGCCAGCTTGGATCATCCCTTAGCATTTCCGATTCGATTCCTTCTTCCCCTCCTTTCCTGCCTCAAGGATCTACGAACTGGCACGTGTCTGCATGAATTCGCTAGTCTTTCAGCCCGTAAGCCTATGAGACGTGCCCGATGTCTCGCCGTCCGACCTATAGCATGCCGACGCATAAGATTCACCCATCAGATTGAGTCATCGTCGAGACGGCCTTCCCATGCGTCACCAGAGTTGGTATCGCCGTATTTACGTAATGCCGAGTAAGATTCCACGTTGTTGAAAGATACGGGGGGACGGGACACTGCTCCGAGCTACCTGCATCAGAGGGAAAAAAAGGAAAATAAGAAAAATAAAAATAAAAATACGGAGTAATAATTAAAAAAAAGAAGAATGGAAAACAAAGAAAAGGGTAAATTAAACACCGATAGACGGGTGGGTCAGATTCCTACGGAGCAGTTTTTTTTTTTTTTGGTCTTCGTCTATTTTCCTCTTTCATCCTCCCTCCTGGCTTTCCATGCCTTGGCCCTTTGGTTTTCCATGGAATTAACCATAATCTCCCGGTATTAAATCTGGTGGAACTTCTCCGTCGACGACAAATAAGGGGCAGAGACACCCAACCCTCCCCAGAGACAAGGCAGCGGAGTGGGACGGGAGGAGCTTCTAGAAATTTTCCTTGGAATTTCCCGTTGGGGCAGGCCATATGCCCATATGGCAGCCCACTGGAGGCGACTAAATCCGTTAGTCGTATTATCTGACGTAGTTCGTTTCCCTCTGTCCGTTGTGGAGCTGAGCTCCTGTTCACGACAGGGGTGTGTCCTTAATTTTTTTTTCTTTTTTTTTAAATTTGATTTTTCGATTTTGATTTTTTATTTTTATTATTTTTTAAATTATCGATTTTTTTTTGTCAATCATCCTGGTCACCAGAATGACGGGAAAGAGAATAAAAATAAAAATAAAAAGGCGTGGATCAGAACATTATATATTAAGCACCGTCTGACCTCTTTTTGGGTTTCTTTCTTTCTCTCTTCCAATCTTCAAATCCAAAGACTTTGAGCACTTTCACGTTGCCTACTACTACCACCACCACCACAACATCTTCATCTATCCACCTCGCAACACTACCAAACCCAACCTACCAACCAACCAACCACACACATAAACATGCCTTCCATCGGTGGTTCTACTTCGCAATTCCCTCCCTGCCCGGGACCTCCTCCCAAGGGCCCTCTGCCTCCTCTCCCCAAGTAAATTACCCTCGAGTAATCTTGGGCTTTCTGATGAGATTGACGACCGGCGAACTCGAGCGGTTCATTGAATCGTGGCCCCAACATCGACGCAAACCGACTCGAGACGCCTCATGAGATGGAGTTGCATTCTTCAAGCATGGATACCACGATTTCGTTTTCGAAACTTTGCAATCTGCAAAGCGGCATTTGACTACTGGATTTTTTGATCGCTTTTTCTTTCTTTCTATCTGAACCACACTATATCCTTTTATTCGGCATTTTCGATCACCTTTCGGTTTTTCTCATATTCCCCTCTTCAAACCAATCATCCTGCGCAGCGACGGTTCATGCGGGTGTTTTCCCATCTTTTTCTCTTTTTCACACCATTCGATTCTCCGAACAAGCGCTGGCGCATTGTTCCCTCATTCTGCGATAACGCTTTGATCTCGCGACATCCAACCACAGCCCGACAACCCGGGACGGCCACTACACACCTCCCGCAGAGACGATCCGATGCGACGAGCATGATATCAAACAGGATCATCGCCGAATCACAGCCCGCCGTGGGAAAAGACGCCTTCCCCACTGTAGCTTGGTCCCTCTCGTCATCACTATCAGTCATCTCTCTCACGGCCGTTTTCCCAAGGATCCGGACGCGGAGCCTTGTCAGCCTCTCTTGGATTCTCAACCCCGCAAAGGAACACGGCTGTTGGGATTCACGAAAAAAGCAAAGAGACCAACCAGGGGTGTCGATTTCCTCATCCCACGAGGCTTGGATCGCGCGATCGTCGGATGTCAAAGCGTTATGGGAATATGAATTTCTTTTTCCTTTTCTTTTTCCTACGCTTATTTAATTATGGGGTTGATTTGTTTTTTTCTTGAGGGGTGTCAGGCCTGTACTATTTTCTTTCTTTTTTCTTTTTTATCTGAAGCAACGGCATGTATAATAGACTTAATATACCCAGCAGCAACAGCATACGGCATTCTTTTATCTGGACTTGGAAACCATTTGATCAAGAGTCAATTATTGAGACATTTCAGAATTCCAAATCTTCCCAGTAGCACTGCGTAGGTAGACTGATCCCGTTCCCCCGCACTTCGTAATCCCTGATTCATTCCGTGTTTTTTCTTTTTCTCATTAATTTTGTTTCATTTTATTTTAGCGAGAAAAAAAAAAGAAAAAAGAAAAGAAACGAAAAGCAAATCATCGTCATTTTTAGTAAACCAGGAATAAAATAATACTGAAAAAAAAAATGCACACAATTGTCTCAAGATGACCGCATGGTGCGCATCATGATGTGACGGCAGTGCCAGACTAAGCGCTCGGCCGATGAGAACTTGACAGGGGGGTTGCGCACTCGATAGCGTGATTATTGTTTCCCTGCTTCGCCATGGCCTGGGTATCGGGGATCCCTGAAGAAATCCACGTCGTACGTTCCTCCTACCTACCCCGTATGTCTTGCATGCCCGGGTGAGTGATTTTCTTCCTTGATTTGCGGTTCGCGATTTGCGGTGGTTTCGAGTGTGGCATGGTGCAGAGTGCATGTACATGTGCATACATGTCTACAGTCCAGTCCCTGTTGTTGATTGGGATAGTCTGTGCTGTTGGCTATGGCTATGGATCTGAGGCGATGCTTACTCCTACTGTAGGAATGGAGGTTGCGTTAACCCCTCATGGCTTAGTTGCGAGGATTTAGGGAGGCCGAGGAGCCAGGTGATTTGTCCTCCCCTGCCCTGCCCTGCGTTGCCTTGCAGGCCAGCTTACTGTGGTGGGAATATGGAGGATTGAGGATTCAATCCATGCGGTACAGCCTTAAGCTAGCTAGCTAGTTACCCGGCTATTTGATCTGTGCGTAGTATGACGAGACCGGCTGTGTGCATGGCATTTTGCATTATTGGGCGATGGGCTTTTGTGTCTACCCGTGCCTCGGGCGAGGACGTTAGTTGCCCTGTTAGTTGCGCAGTCGCTAGTGGGATAACTAGTTAGTCTAAGCGATTGACGATGACTCGGGATTGCGTCGAAAAGGTAGGCAGACAGACAGGGAAGAGATGCGGACTCCATTGTAGGCGTATGTAAGGAGTATCGTGTCGGCTGAAACGTGCATATGGGTGGGGTTGGGTATGAGGTATGATACTGTAGTTAGTGCATCATGGATGCTGACTATCAGCTCCCATCTTTCTCGTCTCTTGTTTTCCCCGCTTGTCTTTGCCTTTTTCTCTTTGCCTCTAGCTCTGTGGAAAGGGGCTGGCGAGTCGGATACTCCGTACCTCACGGAATACTGATAGCGAACGCTACTTATCTACGTGCTGACGGCTGACGGCGCATGCACCTTGCCATGCAGTGCGGTATGCACGCCACCACGGAGTACGGAGGACTCTGCTGAAGGGTTATTATTATTAGGTCCTGGCTGCAAGGAAATCAGTCAGTCGAGTAATCTCGGATACGAGCACCCGGGCCTGCGGAGGACTCAAACTAGGTCGCATCCGGACGTAGGTCGACCGTTCTACTCCGTAGACAAGGAAGAAGAGCGAATTCCAGTTACCGTGGTGCCTGTTGACCTTGATCTGGTCGAATCAGCGATCAGGACGTCGATGGGCAATCCATGGTTGTCATTGCATCCGTCGGCGGGAGTCCGATCGCAGGTCAACTGACCCGCGGCACGGGAGACTAGGGTTCTTAGACGGCCGTTAGTGCGGCGTACCTGAGCTGGTCAGCTCGGAGTCAGACCACGGCCATGTGCGGAGATGGATGGGTGCCGTTTCTTCGCCTTCTTCTGACGCTGGCTTTTCTCGCTTATGCTGGCCGATGGCTCGCGTGATTGGTCGCGGGCTGCCTGCCTGTCTGGCGGCGTAGTCACTCTCTCCGCTCGAGTCTAGTCGACTCCGTGCATTACGCTGGAGATAGCCATTGCCGCTACCCACTTCCCTCCGAGATAGGCTCCGTGCAGAAACCTGCGAAAGGAGAAACCTGACCAAGGTCCCCCGTGCAGCAGAATGTAGAATGCGGTATTTTGATCCAATTGCGCCAGGTATAGTGGCTGCCTGTTCGGGCTAATCGTGAGGCTCATCTCGTCCGAGTCGCGTCAAAGTGAGGCGATGGCGGACGCCGATAAGAACCGAGAACACGAAACTTAATCTACCTGAGATGAGGACTGGCAGGTCGAAGTGTCTTGATTCGATGCGATTGCTTCGTGCCTTGTTGCTCGTGGGAGTGGGAAACAAGATCTTGCCGGACTAGGACGGAGGAGTAGATACTAGATAATTCCCTCAGGGGGATTGGACAACGCAGACGGCGTATCATGTTTATCAATCAGACGATCAATCAAGAGCGAGAATCCCTCCGGATGACAGGGGATGACGCATGAAATCATGCGCGGTGCATTGTCGCAGCCAGCAACTAGCCTGGAGTGGCGGACCACGGCCTGGCTGCCTCAGGACGCAACAGCGCAGCACGTGACGGCGGCGGTCAACCCCAACTTTCTGGCGACGACGGGCCTCCCCCGACCAAACGCCGAAAAAATGGTTCTGGAGCTCCATGTCTGGGGCCCTGCCTTCTCGCTGCCCTCCATCGATGCGCAATGTCTCGCGACGATAGCCTATCTCTCGCAGACCGTCCCCAAGGATGCCTGGGTGCTGGTCGCAAGCAGTGATCCGACCGTGTCTCCGACCTGTATGTTTTGACCCCAACCCGGCGTATTACTCCGCGTTTTTGCATTCGATTCGTTGTCTGAGATTGATTATGTCCGGCTGCAGGTGAACTCCCCGCTCTCAAGAATGGAACGACATGGGTCAGCAAGTTCCGGAACATCGTGGATTATCTGCGCCAATACTCCCATGGCGACTGGGATCTGGACGGGGATCTGAGCGGACTGGAAAAGGCCGACAACATCGCGTGCGTCTACACACCTTCCCCATGCGGCTTCTGAAACAGCTTCCCAGTCCCTTGCAAGGAGTATTAACAGAGTAACAAGGTTCTCCTCCTTCGTCGAATCCCGCGGCCAATCCCTCGTCGACCTCTCCCTCTACGTCACTAGCCAAAACTACTACAACCACACCTCCCCCGCCTACGGCTCCATCCTCCAATGGCCCAACCAATGGATCCTCCCCCCGAAGCTGCACGACGCCGCAAAGGCCCGAACAGACCACCTGGGTCTCTCCTCGCTGGACCTGGAAGCCATCGAGGAGCAGCGCAAACGTGACCACTCGGCCGCCGTCGCCGCCGGCCAGATCCCACCGAACTTCATCCAGCGGCCGCGCGACACGGTCACGGGGCTGCTGGGCAAGACGGCGCAGCAGAACCAGTTCAAGCTGGAGGCCCTGACGGCCGAATTCTTCGACGCCCTGGAGGAGATCCTCGGCGCGAAACGCTACCTGCTGACCGAGGAGGCCGCCACCAGCCTGGACTGTCTGGCCCTGGGGTATCTGGCTCTGGCGCTGGTGCCGGACCTGACGCACTCGTGGCTCCGCGACGCCATGACTGCCAAGGCGCCGCGATTGACGGCGTACACAGAGCGACTGCGACGAGGATGCTACGGATTGGGGGCGCAAACAGCACAAGCACAAGCCCACGAGGGATCGACAGCGCCAGGGTCCGTCCTGCCGTGGCGGGCATCCGAGCGCCCCGGGCTGACCACCGTCGGCGCGACGCTATGGAATGCGCTGGCCGACGCCACGCCGATCTGGCGTGACATGCGCGCCTCGACGCGATTGCGCGAGGCGGCGGAGTCGTCGGACTCGGGGCTCTCGCAGACCGAGAGCGAGACTCTGTCGAAGGTTGCGGTCGGCCAGAGGAAGGATCTCCTCGTGTCCATGGCTGCTGTAGTGGGTGGGTTCGCAGCACTAGCGGCATATATGGTCCACGTGGGGATCATTTCGGTAGCTGGACGAGACGAGGAGGAGGAGGAGGAACTAGGCGAGGAATACGAGGCCCCGGCATTCCAGGCGGAGGATCTATTGTCGTCGCTGCAGATATGAGCTGAGTCTGGTCAATTGGCCTGGCTCCTAAGTATTAGCTACGGGTACCAGGTAGTCAATTGCATGTATTTTTAGACATGGAAGGAAGAACCGAACTATACATCTCGTACTCTGTACGGAGCACGAATCGCCATCCTTATTTGCTTTTGCTGAGACTGAATCCTGGAATCAGTCCACTAGCTGCATATGCATGCACTTCCACACTGTACTTGGGTCTCACTACTATGTAAACACTAAGGCAGCCAGCCACCTCAGCAAGCACATACCAAGGCATTCGAAACCAACCAGGATACCAATCCAGCAACATGTCTATTTTTACTATAGATAGTGACCGAGTGATCCCTGGAGCGGTAAAAATAGCCTCGGAAATAGATCCCTTCCCTGTAGGTATCTTTCGTAAGACAAGCATGCAGGCTCAAGCTGCTCTTGTCTTACTGCATTCCTCCCCGGTTTCTCACCTCATCATTCATGTATTGCAAATAACCCGCTGACTTTATAGATAGAGAGATAGATACATTGGCCCTATCAACCCCTGTTCGTGAATGGATCGTATGCATGTCATACACACCAGCGCATGAACACCTACCTAGCCACCTACCTTGCCCAAATTGTATTAAGAAACCACAACCGGACTACTTGACCAGCTACGCACTGATCAGGTAGCGATTACCCCCAGCCCTGGAGGAACAGAAACAGCCCCAATTCAGATACATTCCGGCCCCACGAACTATTGATATCCAAGACATACCTGGGATGATCATCTGGTTCATAATCCCGGGTTATGCTTTGAGAGAGTACGGAGTAAGAATCAAGGAACTAGCGAGCGGGCTAGGATTGGAACCACGGCTGGCTGTGTTGATGGTAGATCAGTCTGGATGGATAGAGGGATTGGCAGATACGAGGATGCATATAGATACCTAATTGATATGTAGAGAATGAACACGAGATTATGCGCCAATGGAGAAGTCTCTAGACCAGATCGGCGTCTGTCGGTGTCTGAATGTCTAGGTTATAGTTTTTAGGAAAATTGGGTTTCTTGACTTCGGCATATCGATCTATCTGCCGTCTATCGATCTTGATCTACACGCCTGTATACGCAATGGACACGTATACGCACAGAAGGTATGGAAGATGAGCTGTAGTAGCAATTGCAATTCCAAATAGAATAGAAAGGTAATAGATCGACGGAGACTACCTGTATGATCTATTGGTTTAGTAGTGTTAGACGATATCTACATCTACTTTTTCATAAGCGAGGCTACTAGTTACCTACGGAGAGACAGTAGTTAGTATATGACGAGCAATAAGCAAGTAAGCACAGATCGAGAGAATTGCAACTGAGTGTAGTTACTCTAACAGATGAGACATCCCCCAAACTAGGTGGAATTACAATAACCCAAAAAACTCCACACCCGACTACCCATTCAGCAACAACCAGCAAAGACAAGGATCCGTCCAATTCATCTAATTAAATCTCCCCATTTATAGGTAGCCAGTCCATTGCCACTCCCCCTCGCTCGTATACCATATTATTCTAAGACATGCATACACACATACACACATCCCATCCCATCGAATATACGAAGAACGTACGGCGTCCCTCAACAAAGAGAACGAACAACGTAGCTAAATATAGCTAGATTAGCTCCTGAATCCTCGGCCCCTCGGGCCGGCACAAATACCAAGGAAAAATATTTATAGCCGTGGTTGATTGACTCGGGTGTTCCTGGTCTAATTTTTAGGGCCCTCGTGGAATGGCGTGTTTCAGGGGGTGATAGTTGTTTTTTTAACTTTGGGGGGTTTGGTTCGGTTAGTACATACCAACGGAGTACGGTGGTAGGTAAGGTAGGTATTATTCAGACTGGAGGGGTTAGTTTCATTCAATTGGGCTTGGTTATTTGTTTAGTTTTCTGGGCGCGATTGAGGAGTGGCGTGGTGTGATCTTTGGGTCTTGTTGCTATGGTGCTGGTGATTGATTGATGGGTTGATGTTTTATGTAGAAGTGAATTGGGGAGTGGAAGTGCATAAAGGAAGCTTTGTTGGATGAATATCAACCCCTGTCTATTTCTTTGAAGAGTCGTGACTACGAAGAGGAAATCATAAAACACTCGTTGAGACTAATATTATGTACATATCCGTAAATCCTGTGGATTGGACTAGATGGTTGCCGCTGTAACAAAACCCTGGTCTGGTCTGGCATTGCACCTGCGAGGGTGATAAATGAGATGACAGCATTTGCAGGTAGTTTGGCATGTACTCTGTATGTGCAAATGTAGATGCATGTTTATGTTCTCCAGAATCAGATCAAAGCATCCTTTGTTTTAGAGCTCGTTACGCCAACTCCCTTCCAATCTCTTGACCAATTTTTATGTTTCAAGAGTCAAAGAAATGAGAAAATGAAAGCGATAAAATCAAATACAATATAAGACTCAAAAGAAATATTTATTTCAAAATGTAATAAAGAAAAAACTGGAAATAGGTATAAAGAAAAAAAAAAGTATCAAAAGAAATGAAAAGACGTTTGGGAAAACGTTTACTCGTCAAAGTCAATGGTGACGTGCAGACGAACACCGTCGTTGCCCTTGTAGTTACCACCAATGCCGTCAACACCCTCCTCGGCAGCGGTGTAGGCGTTGACCACGTTCTTGGCCAGGTTGCTGATGCTGGAGCAGCCGCGGTCGGAGTGCTGGCAGATCTTCATACCCTGGACATCCTGGTTGGCGTTCTGGGCCTGGATGGCGGAAACGTCCCAGCCGGACCAGGTGTGGCCGTCGGGAAGATCACGGCTGTTCTTGCTGTTGCCGAAGTCGAATTCACCCCAGGTGCAGGAGTATCCGCCCATGTTGTCGGTGGGGAGCTTGGTACCCTTGGCGGCACCCCAGCTACCCTGGGAGTCGCTGTCGAAGGCAACGTACTTGGTCTCGCCGGCGTCAACGGTCAGGGTGATGGCGGAGTTGCCGCTGTACCATCCGTTGATGCCACCGTCGGGACCGATCTTGTTCCAGAAGACGATGGTCCAGGGGTCCTTCTCGCTACCGTGAACGGCAATCACGTAGCGGTAGTTGCAAGCGTTGGACTCGGACACCTCCTTGATGTTGCTGCCCCAGGGGCTGCCGACGTTGCCCTTGTAGAAGACGTAGTCCTGGTCGTTGTCGATGGTGCTGGAGCCGAAGCCGTCGCGCGAGAACTCGCCGGAGGGGTTGTCGTACCAGTTCTGGCAGCTGCCGTCGGCGGGAGCAGAAGAGGGAGAGGACGACTGGCTAGGAGAAGAAGACTGGCTGGCGGTGGGGACGGCAGCGACGGTCACGACCTGGGTGGCACCGCCCTCGGCCTGGAAGGCCGGGGTGGGAGCAGACTCGGCGGCGGGGGTAGCGGCAGCACCGGACCACTCGTTGGTCCAGGAGACCATCTTGCCGTCCATCTCGATCTTGACGATGTCACCGACATCGCGCTTCTCGACGGGGTGAGCATGGCGACGCTCGTGGCCGTGCAGACGGGCAGCGGCAGTGCCGGCGGACAGAGCCGAGAGGAGGAGAATCGAATCCTTGAGCTGCATTGTGGATGGAGAAGGATGGGATATTTGTATCAGATAGAAACGTCAAAGGCGGGGGTATCACGCGGTGTATTGAAGAAAGATCAACAGGAAACGACCCTCGGGAACGCGAGAATAAAATCAAGCAATGAATGTCTTGTTGCAGAGTTGAATGAATGACTTGAGCAGGAAGATGCTCCGCAATTGAATGAGAGAAGTGCGAACCCTGAGGGAAAGTAGGGAAGGATGCAGGAGAGAAAGAGGAAGAGAGGGAGAAGAAAAGGGCAGCGAGAAGGGCCGGGGGGAACAGCGGCGTAATAATAGGGACTTCTCCGTGCGAGACTTGCGGACACTCGCATCCAACGAACGGCCCGTAAAGAAAGCTCATTTAAATGAAAAGGGGGCCGATCAGGGGAACCGCATGGCGTTGGCTGTCCTGATTGGAGGGTGGAGGGAAACGGTTCCTGAGCTTACCGCTAGTGGGGTGGGGTCGCAGTGTGATTGGTCTGGGCCCGAGTGTTGGCCCCATCGCAGGCAGCGGTCGAGACTTTCTGGCGCCCCGAGGTGTGGACGCCATCCAATGGAACGTCCCCGCGCCTTGGGTTGGTTCCGTGGTACCGTACCGTATACTACCGTACCTTACAGTCCTGGCGGTACCTCGTTTATGTAGCGGTACCTGACCCCCTTTCGCCTCGACACGCCCAGAAGTAAGGCAGTTCCTCAGGAATCTGGGCATCACTACATAGGACGGTACTTCCGGAACATGCAGAGCCAGAGATGAGGGGGTCTGCTGCGTTGGATCCCTCCGAGTCGATCCATTCCGATGATCGAGATTAGATGGTTGGATTGGAATGCTGCCCGATAGGAATTCACCGGAGATATGTGCCAGACATCCAGATCTGGACGTTTATCCTGTTGAATGGACTGATCGGTGGATCGCTGATACGTCACAGCCAGCATTGTGATTGCGGTGTGTTGGACTGCCATGCCTTCGGAGGACTACGGACATACATCGCCAGCCAGTGCACACAGACAACCGACGGCCACGTCAATCCGACCCACGTGAACCGGGCACCGTCGACATTAATATGTGCAGTGCAAACTGCGCTGGACGCCGTAGAACTGACAAGAAACTCCGAAGATCTTTGCAAACCGGACTCCCCTGCTGATGATTGGCATGTTTTCCTCCGTGCAAAGGTACCTGCAGTAGTCCTGCCGGTACCTGCCTGGTCAATACCCGCCTGTTGGTCTCACCTGCAATACCCAAGACATACTGGTAAGTCCGGTAAGGAAACCGTCCCTTCAGGTACTCCCGAATTCCCCCTGATCGGTCCCTGAAATCCCTGCCTCAGGGTCGCCGTGGCCGCCATTCTTAGCCCTGCGACGCGATTGGAATGCCCAGGGGCCATCCTACGTAGTTGCACTCCAGGACGCCGGTATAGACAGGCCCAGCCAGTCGGCCGTGGGTCTGGACGAAAAGCCCTCAGAAGAATACCCACTATGGACCCCCTCTCGTCGCTTGCTCCCCGTGCCCCCGTCGAGTCCACTCTTGACATCGCCACCGCAGCTGGAAATGTGAATGCCTGAGGTTAATGTATTTTGTAGGACGAGGCCGAGGGTTACCCTCAGGAACCGACGTCCGGTTGAGGAGGTGCATCCATGTAAAAATCGCTCTTCTGGAACGCCTGCAGTAAGCATTCTGTAACAGTACGGCGCAGTAGACCTGTTAGCCGATGGATCGAATAAATAAACACCCGATCCTTGGGGCGGCGTGCCACGGTTATGGCCCGGCACCACTCTTCTTCAGACTCTGCACCTCCTGATTAATATTACGTCGGTTCTGAGCTTGCCGAATTTGAGGCACACCTTGTTTGTTGCTCTTCTGTGGCCATCAGGAATAGTACAAACGTCGTCGTACGATGCAGTAGATCCTAGAGTTACCAGCCGAAGGACTCGTAAGCTGTCTTGGGCGACTCGACGATCGGAGTCGATCAGGATCACGTGATGATACTCTGCTGAGTAAGTTTATGCCTCAGGTATCTACACATCTGATCGACCGGTCATCTGACCGACAGCTGACTTCTTCTGTACAGGACATTCATTCATCACTGAACCTCAGATATCAACATGACAGACCAATATCTACACCCATACCCTGCTGACTTCACTTCAGATCCACTCCCCCCTCGAACGCTTCTCCTCCGGCGTCTGCATCCACTTGAACGCTCTCGTCCAGCCCGCACACCCGGAACAGCATCTGCGGCGTCATTTCCGGCTGCAACCCGGGGATGCCGTCTCGCTTCAGCTTCAGCATCGCCTCGCGGATAGCCTCGCACGCCGGTCCCAGCGCCGCAAAGGGAAAGATGATCATGCGGAATCCCATCTCCTTGGCCTCGGCCGCCGAGATCGACGGCGTCGCCCCGTGCTCGACCATATTCAAGAGCATCGGCCACGGCGCCAGCTCCTGAACCGCCTGCCGCGCCATATCCTTGGACGTGATGCCCTCGAGGAAACCCACGTCCGCGCCGGCGTCGCGCGCCGCCCGCAGCCGCGCCATGCTCTCCTCGTACCCGTGCACCTGGAGGGCGTCGGTGCGCGCGATCACCACGATGTCGCTGCCCATGCGCTGGCGCGCCTGCACGGCCGCCCGGATCCGCGTCACGTAGGTGTCTCGGTCGACGAGGATCTTGCCGCCCAGGTGACCGCAGCGCTTCGTCTGCACTTGGTCCTCGATGTGGAAGGCGGCGACGCCCGAGCGCGAGTACTGCTCCGTCGTGCGCGCCACCATGATGGGTCCGCCGTAGCCCGTGTCGGCGTCAGCGATGACGGGGGTTTTCGGCGAGAGGTTCGAGAGCATCTCCGCGTTGGCGCGCATGTCGTTGAGCGTGCAGATGCCTAGGTCTGCCTGGCCGTGGACGGAAGCGGCTGTGCCGGCACCTGTCTGTGGAGACATCATTAGCATACGGGTAGTGATGTCAAGGTAGTTGGCTTACCATGTAGAGAGCATCGAAGCCTACGGAGAGGGCAATTCGAGCGGACAGCCCGTCATACACCCCGGGGGCGACAATGCAGGATTGGGGGTCTGCGAGGGTCTGTCGGAGACCGGTGGCTGCCGTGACGATAGGCATTGTGCGATGAAACCAACGATGCAGATTCTTTCTAGGCAAGCAGATTGAGCTTCAAGACTGAGATCCGGGAATACCGGCTGTTCTGGTCTTCGCCATAACTTTATATGGCGGATGGCAATGCCGATCCCGAAACCGGGACGCTTAGATAATCTCGGGGATAACTCGGCTGGCAGAAACAGGACGATGCGGTGGAATAGACTCGAGAGGATTGTAGAAAATTCTGTAGTTCCAATCGTTGTTGCAATTGAACACTTGATCATAATTGAAGAGGTCCAAGTTCTGCTGCGAGCTAATCCGTTAATCCCTGTCAACCGCTGACTCGGCATTTCCATTTCTTCCCGCTTTTCCTCTTTCGCCTCTTCACCTCCACTTCGACTTCGCCTTCAACTTTCACCTTCGTCTTCAACCTTCCCAACCTCCACTCTCCTCGCGGATTTCTCCCAAGCATGACATTCTAGTCCAACGAGCACACGTCTAATCCGCAAATTCCTTCTCCTCCCTCGTCCCCCTCACAACATGGCCCGCTCCGCCATTGTACAAGAATACGCCCCTCCGCCCGCCTCCTCCACGCTCAGTCTCGACCGCAAAGTCGCCTCCGAACGCCAACACAATGGCATCGCGCGGCCCAAGGGCTACCGCGTGTCCTGGCACGCCAATCCGGCCGTGGAGCTGCACCACTTCGGGCAGTCGCATCCCATGAAACCGTGGCGGCTCACGCTCACCAAGCAGCTGGTGATGGCGTACGGCATGCACCACGCCATGGACCTCTACCTCGCGCGGTCGGCCACCTACGAAGAGCTCGCGGACTTCCACAAGACCGACTACCTCGACTTCCTGCGCCAGGTGATGCCCGGCGACATGGAGAAGGCGGAGCAGAGCGAGAACGTGGCGCGGTTCAACTTCGGCGACGACTGCCCCATTTTCGACGGCCTCTACGACTACTGCTCGCTCTACGCCGGCGGCACCATCGACGCCGCCCGCAAGCTCTGCAACAACCAGTCCGAGATCGCAGTCAACTGGTCGGGCGGCCTGCACCACGCCAAAAAGGCCGAGGCCAGCGGCTTCTGCTACGTTAACGACATCGTCCTCGGCATCCTGCAGCTCCTCCGCCTCCACCCGCGCGTCATGTACATCGACATCGACGTGCACCACGGCGACGGCGTCGAGCAGGCGTTCTGGTCCACCGACCGCGTCCTCACCGTCTCCTTCCACAAGTACGACAAGGACAACTTCTTCCCGGGCACCGGCGCCCTCGACGCCACGGGCCCCACCCACCCCTTGAACCCCGGCGCCCACCACGCCGTCAACGTGCCCCTCCACGACGGCATCGACGACGACTCCTACATCCAGCTCTTCCGCGACGTCGTCGGCGCCTGCGTCGACGTCTACCGCCCCGGCGCCATCGTCCTGCAGTGCGGCGCCGACTCCCTCGGCTGTGACCGCCTCGGCTGCTTCAACCTCAACGTCGCCGCCCACGGCGCCTGCGTCGCCTTCGTCAAGACCTTCAACCTGCCGCTCCTCGTCGTCGGCGGCGGCGGCTACACGCCCCGCAACGTCTCCCGCGCCTGGGCCCACGAAACCTCCATCCTCATCGACGCCCAGGACCACATCGACCCGCACATCCCGGACGACGTCTTCTTCCGCAACCACTTCGGCCCCGACTACTCGCTCTTCCCGCCGCTCAGCGAGATGCGCAAGCTCGAGAATAAGAACCCCCGCCCCTACCTCAACCACCTCCTCGAGTCGATCCGCGAGCAGCTGCGCTACATCGAGGGCGCCCCCAGCGTGCAGATGAGCTTCATCCCGCCCGATATCCTGGGTCTGCGCGAGGACACGGAGCGCGAGATCGAGGAGGAGATCGCCCTGATGGATGAGGAGCGCGAGGAGCGCGAGGGCAGGTTTAGTCGCCGGAGGGAGTTGGAGAGGGGGATGGCGGCCAAGGGGGAGCTGTATACCTCTTCCTAGCCTCCCTCCTTCCTCTCTCTTTCTCTCTCTGAATCTCTCTTACTATCTCTCTGCGTGTCTGGTTTTATCATGAGATGATTTGGTATTAGGCCTGGTGTTGTTTTGATTTGTTTTCTCTTTACATCGTTCATAAAAGGTGTTGGTTGGTTGGGTACTTAGTTTTGGTTGGCGTTGATAGGAGTCCCTTGGATAGGAGGGATGGGGTGACATGGGTCTGATTTCTCGCATCGTTGTGAATACCTCTTTCTGTCGACTTCGTGGTCTGTGATATCCCGAATTTTGTTTGTACATTTGATCGATCTATCCGTATTATACAATACTATACTGTAGAATCAGATATAAACACTTATAACATACTCAGTCCAAGGTAAAATAATACAGATCAATATACCAATAACCTGAATTAGGTCTATTTCCATCCCTCCTAAGCACATGACTGCATCCTGACTATCCATTGTACAAACCAATATGAAGAAACATTATTGATATTTATAATTAATTCCCAAGAAAAGAAAAAAGGTTCACCTATATCACCGGTTCCCGGGTCTGCCCCCTTATGTGTTCAACCCCATGGATGATAAGTAATCGGGGTAGGTGTTGATATCAAAGTCACGAATGAAATTCAATCGGGTATCCAGTACAGGCGCTGATGGTTATGGAGGTGTGCGCAAAGCGGTCGAAAAATGTGAAAGGCTCAGCCTAAGAACATGTTGAAATCTTAGACGGAAGGGGAGACCCTGGAAATCCCCTGACGTCCAAAAGATGAATGGTTGAAAAAGGTCCGGTGTTCAGCCAAGTCAGCCTGTCTGTCAGTCAATCGTATCATTCAATCGTGGAAATGGCGACGTTGGCTGGACCTCTGCGTCGGCAAACTACGCTTTCATGACCGAGGGACCTAGCTCTACCATTCCAGTGTTTTTGTTTCTTTTCTTTTGATTCTTTTCCCTCTTCTGTCTCCCCTTTTCTATATTTTTGTTGTTCCAGCTGATATGCGGTCGACTGCAGATACCATGGACAAGCTAGTCTTCCGGGCCTGGCGCTCAGGGCTTAGGCTTATCCGTGGCGTCCACGTACTCATCGAAACCGGCCGTGCGCGAATCTTTGCGCTCCACGGGTTCTTCGTCCTTAGGGGGATTGGGCTGGGCCGTTTCCGGCGCGGCCTCAGGCTCACCCGAGGGCGCTTCGTGTTCCTCCTTCTGCTTGTGAGGCGGAATGTGAAACTGGGAGGGCTCTGTCTGACCTGGGAGAATGGGCGCGATGGACAAGATCTGCTGGTGTGCGCCTTCGGGGTTGTGCGGGTCGCTAAGATTCTAGTTAGTTGCCTCCTAGCGAGATGGGTACGAAACTGCAGACTTACACTCGGGCATTGATGATCCAGTCCAGATCTTCTTCTCCCTCGTCCGCACCACCCGGCCCTCCTTGCACGCGATGGAACAGCTTCGGCTGCCATTCCACGCCATCCTCGGCCCGCTTGGCCGCTTCCTCTCGCTGACGATCCTCGATCTTCGTCTTCTCGTCGGTGGCTAGTTCGTGGTTCATGGCGACGACCGCCTTGGCGGTACTCTGCCATAGACGCTGCGACTCGCGCTCGCCCTGTTCTTCGATCGGCCGGGCTAACGGGGGAGTATGTTTCGCGTGGGTGGCGTTGAACAGGAGATCTTTTTGGTTCGTCTATATTCGGTCAGAGGAGGTCCGCAAGAAATCCTGGAAAACAAAATACCTGAACGTTCTTGATGTGCATCTCTCCGTTCCATAGCCCAGACAGCTCGTAGTATACCTCGCCCGTCTTCTCGTTCTTGATCGTGCCGCCGATGGCGTTATAGGTACCGGAGAAGTAGCCCTTGGTTTTGAATTCCAGATCGGCCACCAGGTTGTTCTCCGGACATCTGACGTAACTGTGATCGCCGAGCTCATACTTCATCTTTCCGAACAGGATACCGCGGGCGTACATATTCGGTTGCGTCAAGATGCTATGTTCGTCAGCGCCATATTCATCACCGAGCATCGCGAAACGTACTATCGTTCGCCCTTGTCCTTATTCTCCCCGCGGTTCAAGAGTCGCAGGATCGCGATGCCCTCCATCATGCTGGCCGCGGAGTTGCCGAGAAACTTGCTGCGGGGTTTGAGAGTTCCGTCGATTCGGATGTTATGCTCGGGAGCCATGAAGAAATAACTCGACTTGGGCGGATGGTGGGAGGTCTGCTCGGCGACGTAATATCCGCGGGTACCGTCGGGATAGTCCCAGTAACAAGTGAAGGTCTCTCCGAGGACGGGGTTCAATGGTTTCTTCACACCACTGAAGAACAGAAGAAAATCAGCATGGCGGGGTCACTCTTCCGGTCCGGGCATGACGTACGGAGGTTTGATGTGCCATCCGCTCAGGTAGAATTTGACTACGGAGACGAAGCGTTCTAGCGGGTCATCGATGGTGGACATGGGAAGGAGGGTTTCCGGATGGGCCATGAAGCTAGAAAGATGGATTAGTTGCCATCCGGATTTTGTTGCGCGTCGGAGCTCACTTGGTGATCCGCTCCAGCATCGATCGCGGTTCGAGAATAAAAGTTGGCAGCACTACGCGGCTCAGGTCGGCGCCCGGTCGCAGCTGAGAGATGATGTGCGTGAGGACTGAGTCCGATTTAGCCACGAGATCGGGATCGACAGATACAGGTAGATCGGAGAGGCATACCATTTCCCTGGTCGGGTTCGACGACCTCGTCATCGCCGCTCACGGACCCGTTCTTGGGTTCATCGAGAGAGGAACGGGTGCCTGAGGAATTGAAAAACGAGCCCCAGTCAGCGGACATGATGGGGCGGAAGAGAGGGACAAGGGGGGAGATGAGGGGAGAGAGCGATGGGAGTCGAGATGTGTAGAGAGGAGGGGAGAGGGAGGACAGGCAGCAGGGAGAGAGAAGAAGGAAAATCGAAAGAGAGAGAGAGGAAGAGAGAGAAATGACGTGGGAGACGAAAGGCAGGAATGAAGAGGGGCCGCTGCCGCCCCTCATTGGCCGTCACTCACTCGCGGGACTGGCGACCGACGACCGTCGTCGAATATGCGGCACCGCAATCGAGGGCATGATCATTTCGAGAGATGCACTGGGCTGGACAGGACAGCGTAGGTGTCTGGTTCAAGAGAAAGTCGCGTTGGGAGATCGAAGCTGCAGTTGGGAATCCACGACCGAATGCGAGGGCATCACCTGATACTACTGCGTACACACTCTAGGAGACAGCAAAGGAACGGTCAGACGCGAAGGAATGTCTTTATTTATATCAATCAATACGACCAGGCAGGCAGAAGGACAGAGAAATTTGATCATCCGGTGGATTCCACGGCCCACCTATTTATATGTGGCAGTGGATTCCCCTGACACCCGGTCTCAACTGCCCGGTCTCTGCCTCAGCCTGTCGACGGTGCCAAAAAGCGGAAGATAATCCCTTCCCCTCATGTCGATCCTCCTTGGGCCTCCTCCAGGGCCCCTCCACATCGCTCCGGCATCTGGTCGCGGTCGACAGGATCTGGATGCGGCCACGGAGGGCTCGGGACACGAGGGAGTTGACACGGCAGCATCGTCAGTTCACCGATCGCTGAGCAGGAGGGGCAAAGCCGGCTTGGCAAGTGGGGAGGCGTCAGGGATGTTTCGATGGGAGACGTCGCGGTGATATCATCCGAGCTGGAGGAGGTTTCTATAGGTATGCTGCCGACTGGGCTGGGAATGGAAGAACGCAGACCGAAAGGGAATCTCAATACAGATAACGCCATACCCCTTGCTCTCGCTGTCTAACTAACTACTCTAATTGACCCCAGAAACATCACAGATTACTCCGACCCAGCCTCGCAATCAACGGCTCGTCGCCCTGCGTGATCTCCCGCAGAAATCCCGGATCGGGCTTGTACAGCATGACGTGGAAGTGCTCGACCGCCATCACCGACTTTAACGACTTCCAGTTCTTGAACCAAATCACCTGCGATCATTAGCGACTCTCCCTCTCTCCAGGATGGGATGTAGACTGACCTGATCGGACGGCACCCTCGACCGAAACATCCGGGTCACGTAGTCGTCGATTTCTCGTCGCGCGCGCGGCGTCAAGTCGTCGGTGGCCGGGTCGTCCTCCAGCTCGAACTTGGTCCACACCACCAGGTGCACGACGCCCTCTTCGATGCCGTACGGCCAGTCGTTATATAAGATCTTGATGTCCTCTATCCAATCCGTTAACCAGTCACGTCACAATCCACCACATCCAGGAGACAGAAGATGAACACGAACCATCCAGCTCGAACGGCCGCCCCTTCGGCTTCAGATCCTCGGCCGTTCCCTCGCCCCAGCGCAGTCGCTCCTTGATGATGAACCGCAGGATGGACCCGTACGAGGCCACAATGCGCTCCTTGTATTCCAGGTACTTTCTCAAGTCACTCGGCACGCGCTGGAATCGATCGATGCGATTGGTTCCTAGGACGAGGATCGTCAGCGATTGACACTATAGAGTATAGGTACTCCTCCGTAAGGCATGGACATACGTACGCACGATCTCCTTGACCAGCTCCCATGGCTGTCGGCAGTATTGCTCGTCAGGCGTCGACAGGATCTCGATGTTTTTCTGACAGATGTCGCGGAGAAAGTTGGGGCAGTGGGTGGGCCGGTCGGCGGGGGGGACGTTGACCAGCCAGTATGGGAGCGGTGCGGTTGACAGTTCAGTCCCGCGGTTCGGCGTGGAGAGTTCGGGGGCGTTGAGCATGGCGGGCAGGGAGGACTGGTTCTGGAGCTGAAGCTGGACGGGCAAAAAGGGCGGTGGTTCCTCCGTTCAAAGGGACAGGGGAGGAATTAATAACATAGCACGCCGTAAGGAAGGGATTGATTGAATGAATGGCAGCCCAAGTCGGAGGACGACCAACGCTGGTTGCGATCGTCATCAAAGGACCCGCTGCGCCAGTGACCGTTCGAGTAGCGATTGTCCTGCATTCCTGGTCGAGGCCGAAGGAAGGGGGAGTGGAGAACCGGATGGGGGATTTCTGACTGGAGCCAAACGTCGTATTGAATATATGAATCTGAATAGATTGAGTCTTTGTCTTGGGTCGAGGGTCTCCCTGCAGCATCCAAGCAATGTGGCGGCGGCTAATGCGTTAGCACCGTTATTTAGTCCTTAGCTGGACGGTAATATGAACCACCGTGATGTATCTCATTATAGAACCTATACGAGCTACCGAACAGGACACGAACCCGATTAACGAGTCAAAAACGACAGCTCCGGCCCATCCGACCGAACAATCGACACGCCCGCCGCCTTCAACTCCCTCTGCGCCGTCTCCCAGCCCGCCCCGGCATCCACGCACCGCGTCGCATCCTCGACGAAATAGCTCCGGAACCCGGCCTTCGCCGCGTCGATGGCCGTGTTCTTGACGCAGAAGTCGCCCGCCACCCCGACCGTGAACACGCGCGTTACGCCCTGCTCCGCCAGATAAGACGCTAGGTTCATGTCCACCGACTTGCCCGTCACCTCGGGGTCGGTATTGCCGAACGCGTCCGCAAACGCCGAGTACATCTCCACCTCACTGAACATGCCCTTCCGCACGTACCGGTCGATCTTGCGGGCATCGATCTCGGGGATGAGCTCGGCGCCTTTCGTCCCTTGGACGCAGTGTACGGGCCAGAGCTGCTGGGGCTTGGTTTCGTGTTCTTTGCCGGGCGCCGGGTTAGCCATGTTGATGAAGCCGTTCGTGGTGTTGGCTTCGGGGTGGTTGCTGGCGAAGGAGATGTGGTTCGGGGGGTGGTTGTCTAGGGATGCCACGCGCGTCGCAAAGCCGGGATGCGCCAGGAGGGAGTTGATGATGGGGGTGATAACGCGCGCTCCATGGACGGCGAGGGATCCATTCTGCAATTGTTAGTGAGTTGTGCTAACGGGGTTTTAGATGCTACCGGTGCGGTGGTACTTACCGGGGGACAGAAGTCCTCCTGCATGTCCACCACTATTAAGGCCGCTTTCATCTTGAGATTCTTTGTATGGCCTCGATGCAGTGTTGTCAAGGGATCGCGGGCTTTGTCAAGTCTTTGTCGAGTCTTTATCAGCGTCGCAGAGTTCCGGGTTGATGCAAGTTGGAGAAATCGTCCAGGAGCGTCGGATCATTTATGGATAGAGTCACCGTCGAGATGATGAAATGGGAGGGTTGCACTCTCATCCTCGTGATCTCGCTAGCGGATGCGGTGCAGAAAGCCACGTCATGATGCGACCAATTGGGGCAGGATCTGAGATCCAAGAAATGCGCAGAACAAGAGCACGCCCCAAATCGAAGCCGGTGAGAGGGATAGACACTAGAGGCCGGCGGACGGCGAGAGTTGCCAAGTCAGTAGTGGTCCGATAGTCGAGTCGTCGAGTACTAGTTAGTATCAGTACTAGTAGAGTAGACCAAGCCTTAGTCAGCACGCTGAGTCAGCGGCCGAACAAAAAGCCGCCGGCGAACACAAAGAAACAGCAAAACTTCTGCTTCTTTTGCTCTTCGGGCTGCGGCCCTCGTCTTCACTCTCACGCTGGCCGCTTTCTCTTCGCTAGTTCGGTCGCAGATAATGCGAGGCTCGTTCAAGGTAAGCCATTCCGTTACTCCCTCCCCCTTGCTGCCTGCTGCCCTGCCATTCTTATGATGATCTCTTTTATTGGAGCTGTCCGAGCTACATCATGCGGATAAAATTTTATATACGCTTTTCATCTTTCTGAACCCTTTGCAATGGCCTTGTTTTATTTCATCGTGTCAGATCTAGCGACGTGCAGTCTTGCTAATCTGCCCATCAGTCATCACAGGGACCTAGTAGTGAACAAAGCTTCAAGCCTCCTTGATTCTATTTTTTCTCTTAAAATAAATAACTTAAATCCTTTATCTCCCTTCCCATCTGATTTAATCTATTCTATAAACAAACCAACCCATCATGGCCTATGATCCCAGACTGTCCAGTGCCGGCACTGCGACCCCCGACCCCCCACCACCTCCCCCTCCCCCTCCAGAGCCTGCGTCCTCGACCACCAACACGTCCTCGACGATGACAACCGGGCCGCAGGAGGAGGGGAGCGAGTCGGGGTCAGGGCCGCAGAAGGGCAACACATCCCCGACGGAGTCCGACTCCTACAAACTCCGCTTCTGCACGGTCTGCGCATCCAACCAGAACCGGTCGATGGAAGCCCACCTCCGACTCTCGACGGCGCCGTCGCCCTTCCCGGTGATCTCGTTCGGGACGGGCTCGCTCGTGCGTCTCCCGGGCCCATCCATCACGCAGCCCAACGTCTACAGCTTCAACTCGACCTCGTACGCACAGATGTACGACGAGCTGCAGGGCAAAGACGAGCGCCTGTACCGCAACAACGGCCTGCTGAACATGCTGGAGCGCAACCGCAACCTGAAATGGGGCCCCGAGCGCTTCCAGGACTGGGTGCCCGGCATGCCGCGCGTCGACCACATCTCCAAGGGCGACCGCGGCGCCATCGGCACCGAGGGCGGCGTCGTCGACGTCATCATCACCTGCGAGGAACGCTGCTGGGACGCCGTCGTCGACGACCTCATGAACAAGGGCTCGTCGCTGAACCGCCCCGTGCATGTCTTCAACGTCGACATCAAGGATAACCACGAGGAGGCGCTGGTGGGTGGCAAGGCCATCCTGGAACTCGCCAATCGGCTGAACGAGGCGGCCGCGCAGGAGCGCAAGGCCAATGGCGTCGAGGGCTGGGAGAACGGCGCCGGCGACGCCCGGAAGAGCTTCGACGAGAAGGTGCCGGAGATTCTGGCCGCGTGGCAGGAGAAGTGGCCGAATCTGCCGGCGTTGTGGACGTTGGCGTGGCTGTAGCTGGAGATGTTCTGTCTACGTCTTGTTTGAATGAGCGATGAGAATCCTTATTATGCTTTAATCTAGACAACGGAATGATATAATCGTATAATCTTTGTTACTATACCATGTACTAGACTGTAGCTATCGTCCGAATTTCTATTCACTCCATTGATGGAGTACAATGAGATCAACCTTTTCACTCATCCATATTAACACCACTCCCTTCTGTTATATACGACACAAACACGACAATACCAATATTCATCTATAAACTCAATTCACTACCTACCTAGGTAGATAAGAAGTAAACACCATCCCCAATAGCCAATCTTATTTGCCAGTTTACCATTTTAACTCAGCTATATCCTATCCTAAACCAATATCCCAAATCAATTATAACACTAGGGGTATCAATCAAATCAAACTATACAAACCAACCAACCCACCAACCAACTCCAAACAAATAAGAAAAGACGAAAATGAAAACCAAACCTAACCCCCAAGAACAACCTCCCTCCTCTCGCGATACCACCTCTCCAAACAAGCGCGCCTCTGCGCCTGCGTCATGCCCTCCACCACGAGCGCAAACTCCGTCGCGCTCGGAAACCCAAACCGTCTCGCCATGCTGCAGAACTGGCGCTTCATGACATCCTCCGGCGGCCGGTGGCGGAAGCGAACTGGATGGCCGTCCTTCGTCGTCTGCGCGAAGGCAGCGGCCTGGCTTTCTTGCGAGGCGCCTCCGTCTCCGTCGTGAAAGACGTGCTCGTCGCCGGCGACGCCGCTGCTTTCGCCGGCCATCTGGGCGCGACGGCTCAGGCGCTCCTCGACTTTTGAGGAGCCGATGACTTCGTTGTTCAGGTGTGTGTATTCGACGCCGGCGCCGGTGAGGATGGCTTGGATGGGGTCGTGCTTTTGGGTGCGGGCGATGGGGTTGCTGGTGTTGGTGGTTGAGGTGGAGGTGGAGTCGGGGTCGCCGCGGATCATGGCGGCGAGTTGGGACATGACTTCGTCGTCTTGGTTTTTAGTGCGGGGTTTGGAGTCAGACAGGTCGTCTGGGTGCTGGGGGTGGTCTTCATCTGTGTCGATGTCGATGTCCATGACCTGCACGCCGGCGCGGCTTTCAGCGACGTTGGTCTTGTTGACGATGTCGCGGAGGACGATGTTGTTGTTCTGGTACTCGAAGAGGTTGGACAGGCCGAAGATCTCGCCCTTTTGGTCCTTTTTCTCCTGCACGCCTTTGAAGTAGCGGCGCTCGGAGCTGGCGTTGTAGCCGATGTTCGCCTGCTGCTGCTTGTAGATCTGGCGCGCGTACACGATCTCCTCGATGGTGCCGGCGGAGATGAGCCGGAAAACCTCGACGTCTCGCGACTGGCCAATGCGGTAGGCTCGGTCTTGCGCCTGGAGGTCGTGCGACGGGTTCCAGTTGGGGTCGACGACGACGACTTTGTTGGCGGAGGTGATGTTCAGGCCGACGCCGCCGGATCGCGTGGAGATGAGGAAGACGAACTGTCGGGGGTCCGAGTTGAATTCATCCACGGCTTTGGCCCGTTCCTCGTAGCTCATGGATCCGTCGAGGTAGCTGACGTTGTAGCTCGTGTAGTGGAACAGCATCTGCAGCATCTTCAGCAGCCGCACGCTGTGCGAGAAGACCAGGACCTTGTCGCCATTGGCGTGCCACCACTTGAGCAGACGGCGAAGCACCTTCCATTTGCCGCAGAACTCGGGGTTGGCGTAGTTGACGATCGAGTCTCGAGTGCGGTACAGCTGCTCCCACTGGTCCGGCACCGCAATCTCCAGCATGTCCCTGTCTTTGTCCTGCTTTTCGTTGGAGTCCACTCCCTGCGGAATCAGAATGGCCAGGTGATTGCTCAGTTTCTGCAGCACGGCGATCGCAGGAAACACATAGTTCTGCCAGCGGATTCCAGAAGGCAAATACTGCCGACAGCACCAGCCCGCCTTCTTGCCTGAACCGCAGTCGCACGCTTCCGAGGCGGTCTTGATGTAGTCGACCATGTCGCTGCTCAGGAGGTTGGCGTAGGCGTCCGCCTGAGTATCTGTCAGCGGACAGAAGACAACCCGATCGATTTTCTTCGGAAGCTGGCCGGCAATCAATGTCTTCATTCGCCGCAGGAAGAACTGGGGCAGCAGGTTTTCCACCAGTTTCTTTGCCGTTTTCCGAGCCCTGCTGAGCTGGTGGACCGTAGCGTCATGGGATTGTCCGATCCGCAGAGGGTCCGAGACTGTTTTCTTCCAGGCCGTTACGGGGCCCAGCCGGCCAGGATTCGTCCAGTTGAGTAACGTCCAGAGCTCCTCGTACTTGTTCTGGATGGCAGTGCCCGTCAACCCAATCCGGCAAAGGGCATTGACCACGTTCATCGCTTTCGTGGTCTCTGAGCTCCGCTCTTTAATCGTATGGCACTCATCCGCAATCACGCAGTCCCAGTCGACCATGTTCACAGCGTCCTTGTTGTGCAGGTAGGTGCCGTACGTCGTAATCAGGACCTCGAGCCGTCCAGACCGCGCGGCTTGGAGGGCCAGCTCCTTGTTTTCCCCATGATACGCCTCAAAATGCCACCAGCCCCAGCGCGAGAACTCCGCCATCCAGTTCTTGATCAGGGTGCCCGGGCACACGATCAGCGTTCGAGGATACCACACATCCTGGCCACTTCGTCGGAGCTTCCGCATGCGCTTTGCATCCCGCTCATCGCCCGTCTTGCCATACGCCGCAGTCAGGAACGCAATGACCTGCACGGTCTTCCCCAGACCCATATCGTCGCCCAGGATCCCGCCCTTCTGGTAGACAAACAGCTCATGCAGGAACGCCGCGCCGTCCACCTGATACTGACGCAGCCACTGCGCGATCGGCGCGGGAATCAGCCCGAGCGAGTACGGCAGCGTGATATCTTTATACGGGCTGCAGGGCTTGATATCCTTGAATGCCGGCTTTTCCTTCAAAAACTCCAGCCTCTCGTCGTCGGAGAATTCCACCTCGTCGTAGTCCGGCGGCAGCTTCAACCCCGACTGCTTGAGATGCTCTGTTCGGCGGTCGAATTTCTCCCGCCGTTTCTGCAGGTAGTCGGGAAGCGTATACTCCATCAGGTCATCGTCGGAGTGGAACTCCTCGCCGTATTCCCTCCAGGGCCGCGTGGGTCGCGTCTTTGCGTCTCGTCTGGGCCGTCTGCCGACGAAGGAGTTTGGGTCGGCCATTCGGGGTGTTTTGCCCTTGCGCGCGCTCGCGGAGCTGCGTTTGCGCTTGAGCGATTTGCGGTTCTTGAACTCGTTGTAGGCGGCTTCGCCATCGTTTAAGGAGATGTCGTCGCTCGAGCTAGGCGCTTCTAGGTCCACTATCGGGGTTCGTGTTTTCTTATCAGGAGAGGAGGTCTGTTTAACCGGGGTAAGGGCTTCGGTGGACGGAGGTGGCGTTGCGTTCTCTGTCAAGGATGTGCGACTGGGATCTGACCGCGTAGACGTTAGTGACCATCTCGCAGTGAATGCGGAGAAGAGATGCGTACTTCTAGCAGGCCGAGGATTGGTCGGCGCAGCGTCGAGATCGTCATCGTCGGAATCGACCGTCGTCGCGTCCGTGTCTTCGAGCTCCCATCCTGACCCCATGTCAGCTGGATGAACAGCCGTTCATTCACGTTCGTGGTCGTTGTGGTGGACGAAGGCAAACGAGCGAGAGATGCGGAGGCGGGATGAAGTAAGGCGACGGGCCCGACGGGGAAAAGAGCTGCAAAATGATTTTGTCGCCGCAACGCCGCTTTGTGTCTTCACCTCCTCTTGACTCTGTCTTCCACCACGGCGTGTTTCAATCCGCCTCAGCTCTTTACTGATTGAAAGTCAACCATCGGTTTTATTTTCACCTGCGATCGCGATCCCAGCCATCCACCTTCCGCCAGAATCTTTCTTAAAAAACTCGCCGCGCCGTGCGGGGACTCATCTCTCCTCCTTCACCTTCACCTTTCTTCAACAATTGAATTCAAATCTACGATAAAATGCCTCTCGATACATCGACCACATATCCTCTGACCAAGCTGCGCCTGGACGGCCGTCGCTGGAACGAACTCCGCCTGCTGCAGGCGCAGATCTCCACGAACCCCGCCAGCTCCGGATCCTCGTACATGGCGATGGGCAACACGGCCATCATGTGCTCGGTACACGGGCCCGCGGAGGGCCGTCGCGGCGATGCCACCGGCGGCGCTGCCGGGTCCTCAGGGGCGGTCGTCGAGGTGGACGTCAACGTGGCCGGGTTCGCGGGGGTTGATCGCCGGAGAAGGGCAGGAGGCAGCGACAAGTAAGAGGCTCTTCGGTCTTTGGAAGGGGAGGTCATGAGAAAGGGAAGTTACTGACGAATTAACTAGACAATCCTCGCGCATTGCGACAACGCTCCGGTCGGCCTTCCAATCGCATCTTCATACCTACCTGTACCCGCACAGCACGATCAGCATCCACGTCTCGGTTCTGTCCGCCGACGGCTCGCTCCTGGCGGCGGCGATCAACGCCTGCACGCTGGCGCTGGTGGACGCTGGCATCCCGATGCCGGGTCTGCTCTGTGGCTGCACGGCCGGGATGAGCGGGAGTGCGTCCACGCCGCGCGATCCGCGCAACGACTTCCTCGATCCGCTGCTGGATCTGTCGCTGCCAGAGGAGCAGGAGCTGCCGTTCCTGACGGTGGGGACCACGACGTCTGTGCCGGTGGGGGAGAACGCGATGGACGATGACGAGGATATGAAGGTGACGATGCTGAACATGGACTCGAAAGTGCACTGCACGTATGTGGAGACGATGCTGGCCGTGGGGATTGACGGGTGCAAGCAGATCCGGGAGATCTTGGAGGGGGTGATTAAGGGGTCGAACCGGCTATAGTTTTGTCTATGAAGGTCTGTTTGGGCTGGTCATCAAAAGCATTATGTTTATACCCAGAGAGTGCAATTCGGTGTTGGCTTTTCTCACTATCTCACTACTAGTATGACTAGTATTATAAGGGATATATCCTCATGGTTATGTCTTGTGGCAGTAATTACGATCGGGAGCAGTAAATACTTAAACTGATCCAAGTTAATAGGGCAGATGATCTCTTGAAGAGGTCTTCGAAAAACACGGCCGAGAATTCAAGGCTGGTATAGCTAGCAGAGCAGTTGGTGGCCCGCTTGCAGTACATTCACAATCGGTCTATAACAGTTGTCAAATTAACACCTTACTCGTGTTCTGTTGGCTCTCAGCAGTGGCGAAGCCCACAATTACTGATTGACTGCTTTTCACCACTTGCAAAGGCTCAAACTTCGCTTGTTCAGGACTTGAATAGCCTGGGTGAATTCCTCTTATACTCCGGCAAGCATGGGTCTTTACAATCTGTCACTGGGAGATGGAACTTCACAGGCTCAATGCTATGCCACCGGAATGGCTTGTTGATTGACACATTTATGCAGGCTCCACCAAACCGAGGCACATGATATAACGTCCAGTAAATTTTGAGAATAACCATTCAGCTCAACTATAATATAGATCAATCGGCTAAAAAAAAAATAAAAGGAAGACAAGCCAGTTAAAACCGCCGAATGATAGAAAGGAAAAACAAAGCAGCGACCACAGCACGATCAGAAGGCTATGTTGAATAGCATGAGTATTGCTCAACCCGAGCATGGCTTTCATCATCTCTTGCACTGTTCTTGAGCCCATTTGATCTCACCTTCGGAGACTCCCTGTGGACCCTGTGGCCTTAGAGCTACCTTTATCAGTACTTTCACTTGCCCTCCCTTTGCCCTTGGCTCTTTCCTGCGTGGCATCCATAGGCTCTTTTTCTTGATCCGATGAGTTGATCTGAGCGGTGGAAAGTGAGCGGTGCGGCAGAGTAAGCTCTATTGCTTTGCCAGCAGCAAATCCCTTCCCAGATGAATCATTGTCGGCCGAAGCAAGTGAGCCTTCCGAAAACAAACCGCGTTCACCTTGAACTCGTGCCAGATAGAGGTTAGAACTTGTTGGTTTCTCCGCGCCTTCCTTCTTGTCGGGGGCGATATAAACCCAAGTTGAGAGTGGTTCACGCCGTGATTCATTAGTTGACCAGTCTTCCGGGTTGGATGAAGCCACTTTGATCATGATGAAGAGGATGCATTGGCGCACTGAAATGCTTGCGGTGACGTCTCCATGTTGCGCTTTTGAATCATGCTTTATCGCATCAGAATAATTGAGAGTCCACTTTCCATCGCTGAATTCGCGACGAAGGACAACAGTCCATCTGTAATTAGTCATAAAAGCATACTTAAGATTCGCTGCCCACATGTCTCTTGCTATTTGCCCTGTTACTTATTAGAGATATACGAATAACTACTATGCAGCAGTCACTTACCGAGAAACCTTCGGAGATGCTTCTCCCCCTCCTTGTCCCCCTTCAGAGTTTGATTGATATTCATGCCAGGGAGAGTTCCCCAGGGATGCTTGGCTTCCCCAATTGCGCGGGCTTTGCCTTTGTCATCAACTAGGGCGTAGTCGGGAATTGATCCTCTCTCGGGTTTCGCGGGCTTTTTGCTTTGACCTTCGGTCTGTGTGATGACGCTCGGTTTGCCAGTGAATGTTTTATCCTGCTCGTTGGCTAGAGGTAAAACGGGCCATTTCAACTTATCCACAGTGACAGTCCAATCGCCGAAGTACAGAGGATATCCGAGGATATTAGCAACACCGGTAAGCGGGCTTAGAACATTCGATATAAAGCGGGCGCTGCTCGAGATTTCGGCGCCGCAAAGAAAGTGCTCGCTGTAGTAAACATCGCCTGTTTCTATATGAGCAGTTACCGGATGCTGATAATGATCCCACTCGATTTCTGCAAGAACCTGTTCAACTTCATCTCGGAAATTGTGCCAATAACGCAGTTCTCCGATAAAGTCGATCGCATGTAGACCTGTACCGGAAGAATGTTTCCCTGATCTTTCTGCGATGTCTGAGAACGAGTCTTCAACAAGCTCACGACAAGTCTGGCAAATGATCTTCATCCTTTCACCCTTTTGCTGGATACTTTATATAGATGTTTAAGGGGATGGTGTATGGCAAATGGCAAAGAAACAAGGGATGGGTCATAGAGCTCTTCAGAGCAGGATAGAGAGTTCCTTTTATACCTTAAGCTAGCTATTGGTGACTCGCTTTCTTAAGGTGATAATTTGAGATCAACAACCTGTAAGTCCGATGGACACGATATTAAGTTCTCGTATAGCCCTAAAGCCGTCCAGTCCTGCTCTCTACAAGCTTTGAGAAAATCAAAGGGGACAATAGCTAAACTATTTTGAACCGGGTGTTATACTTATGAGAATCAAGATTCTAAGCTCGAGTCTATCTCAACCTACCGAGCGACTAGTCTGTTTGTTCAAGCAGTTGTTTACGTACCTTACCAATCTTCCGTCAACAATGCTGCCTTCCAATAGCTATAAACCAATAAAACTTCAAGTCTAGCACCAATCACTAGTAATCCATGGAAAAAGTCTTCGGTGGTATTAGTTTGGCTTTAGAAAGACTGTATAAGGCACGTGCAATATATCCTTTTTATATCTTTCTTAATGTGTCTTCTCTATGTTGAAGGCAATATTGGTTGTATGGCTTAAGTGTCCATCGCCTTCTATATTAGGTCATTCTACCGTATTCTGAGACTTCTGCAGCCCATCAAAACACTCTCTATTGCGCAAAGGGGAGCCTAAGATTCCCCGCTCACCGCTTGAACTAATAAATGATTCATACAGTCTCGTTCAACATCTGATCCTCGAAATTAGGAAATCGGTCAAATCTTCTAAGCAGGTAAACTTCCACCCGTCCTCACACTCATGTGGGATCATGAGGTCATCATCAAGGTGGTTATCGGGAGACTTTTCTTCTTTTCCGTGTAGAGTCCATAGAGAGAACTCCACCAGAGGATCAAGGCCTGAGAAAGAGAGTCCAAACTCCTCAACATCTTCAAGATCAATGATATAACTGTGAAGGTTAGAACAGTTAACTGATTCAATCCAGCTGAAGGCCAGACATACCATTTTTTCGAGCATCGATCCCAGATAATATTTTGTCTGCGAGGGTCATGATGATATAACCCATGGCTGCGAAACTCCCTACCAGGTTTTCAGTCAGCTAGATAGAGCTAGTCATAGAACAATATACTACCATAATGCCCTGATAAAGGCAAGTCGGGCATCATCTCGTTGTTCTGAGGGTAAACTGTTGAAATGGCCAAGATCTTGGCCCGGGACTTTCTCCATAAGAATAAACACGAGATAACCACCTGGAAGATACATCGTAGGATCTTGATCAAAAGCGATGGCGTCGATAAGAGTAGGCGTACTTGTGCAGTGGTTTTCTGTTAGCTTTTGGAGATTTTCGATCTCGCGGTACGCTTCTGAGCTGATATCGTTACTTCCGTCATCCCATGGGGAGAGCCTATTTCAATTAGTAGCTTTATTCGTACTTCCACGGTTTGGCCCGTACTGCTGCTTGATCTTGACGATAGCTTCCTCCCAATTAGCTGAACCATTGATCTGGGTTGCTCTGCAAACGCCTGTTAACTCTTCAATAGTTCCTCTGGATTCGTCATGTGTTCGAATCTTCTCTGTAAGGATTTCGTCAATTCTCCAATATGTGTTCGTGCCGCGGAAATGGATTTTACGACCGGGCAGCCAATTCAGATGATAGCATTGAGCGAGCACTGGATCCGTGGTCATGTTTGAAGACTTAGCAGCGAGTCTTCAAGAAGGAGGTGCGCGAGACCTTTATATCTAGGGGGTGGCATAATGACCTGAGACAGAAGGCGGTAAGGCTGTAAAATCGTACCCCTTGTCTACCCATTTGGGTTTCAGTCAGTCTCACGTGACATTCGATTAGGCCGACAACAACCCTGCTGACCCCTCATTCACAAGGCTCCTTTCCCCTCCAGTAGAGACTTTCAAGTTCGCGATAGAGTCACGTCGGCTATCAACTATAATGGCGCAAGATGACTCAAACCCGGGTATTTTCAACGAGCTCCCAGACCAAGCAAAGGCAACTGTCGAGAGAATCAAAAGGATTATTGGTGAAGACACTACAAAGAAGGAAGGCAAGGCCAGCAGTGGCTGGGGATTCTCTAGTGAGGAGCTGGAGCAGGAAATCCAGAGATTATCAGCTGAGCTAAGTATCAATGGATACAAAGTGAGTTTTATTTTTGAGGAACAAATCAGCAGTCTACTTACTGACAGATCTGACGCGTGTTGCAGGCATACAACTGCAAAGTTCTCCACCTTGTGCATGGCGGAATCATCCAAAATGGAACAGGCCATCAGATCATAATCCCATTGAACGGAAAAGCGAGCTTTTTACATGACAAACCTCTCTTACCATGCCACTATACCACTCAAAAAGAAACGCTCTTGGGCGACAACATCGATCTCATAATAATGTCGCTGAAAAAAACGTGAGACTTGTGGGAAGAATCAAATATTCACATCGGGTATATATTTGAAGGATGACTGAAGGCTATGGCTTGCCAAAACGCTGAGAAGCCCTTATTGCGATTCATTTTCCATGGTACACTGTAGATCCAGTATCGACCCACTCACAGCAGTAGCTAACTGGGGTGAAGGAAGACTAAGGCCTTGTGGGGTCAAGTGCGCAGCTTGTGAATCAAAAAATTGCATCCACTCAGGGATATTGACATCAACAGAAACAGACGTTTCCATGAGCTGCACAGGCTCAGGTATCTCTGCCACCACACTTGAAGGAATATTGGGTTCAGAGGATGAAGCTTCGGGCTCGCCTAAGAGGACTGATAGCGGGATATCATGTATCCAGTCAGGATCGTTAATATCAACGTCGACTAAAACTGACGTTCCCGTTGGTAGGGACGGGAAAGACGCAGAACTCGAGGTATCGATAGCTGACAGAGATACAGGATACCTTGATGCATGGTCATTGGAATCAGCAGGTCGTGTCACATTTTCGATGGTCGGATAAGCCGTCACATCAAGATTTCCTGACTTGACAGACTTGTGTCGTTTGTTCTCTCCTTGAGACATTCCCTCCGGTGTTCGACATCTCTTACGACTGCGCTCTCTGCTTGTTCCATCAGGTTCTGAAATTATCTGACCGGTTTCGAAAGAAGAACTACTAAGCGACGTGTTTATTCCCGTTAAGGATACACCTGCTTCTGAAAGATGCTCGGGAGACCCGGCAACGTTCACATGGTCGATAGACGAGATAGCTATATCTTCATCAGCCTCGACATGGTCACTGAGATAACCAGCAACCTCGACCGTATGAGAAGGGTCCCTTCTGGTGACCTCAGTTTTGTAGTCTTTTTGGCGGTCAGTAATCCATTGGTGTGTGTTCCGAGCCAACAGTCTCCAATAATCAGTCATAACAAGCTCGTGCGCAAGTGCTGGAATATCTTTCAGACGGCAGCGGTCCATGAGACTCCAAGCAAAGAATGTTGGCCAGACAAATGCGAGAGGTGTGCATTTGCGAATCGCTGTCTCAAGCTCCAGTTGCTGATTATCAAGGCATTCTCGAACCCGCCATTCGAGATACTTCAGCTTCATTCCGCATCGGATACAACTTCGCGCTTGATCCTGATTGCTGAAACGCTTGCAAGATCGTACGTATTCCAAGTACTCAGGCCTTTGCCTCTTTGCACCGTCGACCATGCTGCGTAACTTTGAGGGAAGATCTTCCTTATCTGCCCAGTCCTCGAAATCGTCTGCAAGCGAAAGTGCACCAAGCCCAGCTCGAAAGAAGTCGCCTTGGGTTCGCTTCCCATTCGCTGTTATGATGTCAATCACACGAGGATCTTCTATTGACGAAATGGTTGGCAAGGGGACTTTTTTAGTCGTTTTCGTGAATTCCAGGGTGCTTTCATAGTTGAGGTATGACAAGATCCTCGTTACCGTATCAGGTACTTTCTTGACTGGTGAAGTAAGTGCAGCTTGATCTGATGGTTTTTGTGAGAAGACGGAGGAATGGAGGAGTGAGTGCAAGATCTGAAAAACTGATTCAATCTCATCCTTGTGGTTGACCAATGTATTTTTGTCGACTTTGTGTATATTTTTTATCGCGGACAGGGCTCCCAGAATCTCCTGAAGGGACTCCATTGTAAACGATGTGAGTTGCAAGATAGAGAGAAGGAGGGGAATAGAGTTGAATACCCATAAAATCTGATTAAGGGGTCTGAAACAGACACCCCAGCTTCTTGCTTTTACACACCTAGCTAATTGTATACAATTAGCTAGACAGGGATCTTGCCGCCGGTGGCGCTGGCTGTGCTTGTTTTGGGCGACCAAATTTGACAATGGGCATATTACATACTGAAAACCTATGATGAGTAGAGACACGTTCAGATATGAACTTGTTAAAAACAAGTAGGTCTTTTTGAAGTCCTCAATTGCCATATTGGAAGACGAAAAGTCATGATCGCAGTCCACCCTCGAGGAACAAAAGTAACCACCTCATAACATTAAGAGGATAAGAATGTCCTCGAAGATTCTGCATTTCTTCAAGAAAACCTTTCCCTTCAGGAAAGATGACAACTGCCTATCCATCATGTGTTCCTCAATAGTGAATGCCATCGAAGACCCACTACTTATTATGACGCCTGGTACAAGTGACACTTTCCGACCAGAAGCTTTCAGTCATTTGTGCTCCATTACAGCATGCCATGGGATAAGGTATAGAGAGGCAGACGAACCATTCTTGCTGATAGTCGGCGATTATGGTGCCACAATCGGACCCAAGTCTACGCTCTGGCCACGCTCATTCTTTAACACCTGCGCCTTGCCTCGAAGCCTGCTGACCCGACTGGTACCCAACGATGAGCAAAAATACCTGGAGGGAAAGTATGGCTTCAATTGGTCTAGGGTGTCAGTCGAGGCGAGACTTATTTCAGTGCCTACGTGCAAGGCACACTGGACTATGACGCTCGCTGAAAATAGAAAGAGCATCAATATTTCTCCCGAGAATCAGGAACTTCGATACTATGACGACTCTTCATATATGAACGTTCACACTCTGGTAATTTTGAGGCTAAAGAATGCTCGGTACAACACTTATCTGCAAATGTGTGGTTTCCGAGTCATTTGAAGCAGAGTGAAACCTGTCGTTGTGTTTATTGGATGTGAGTTGATCCTGTTCATCGAGACGTGCTCTTATTGATAGATGATAGCTACCTTAATTTCTGGAATTTTGGTAGGAATGGCTTTCTTGATCTAGGTGACGGGCGTGGCAACGATCTTTTCACCTTCTTACAGGAGAAGCGTTACGAGGCTATTATCTCTGCAGGAAGCTATGTTTGATGTTAATTCGAGCTCTGTCTCATATAAAGCCGTCTGCTCCTGCTTTTTCACAATTTGTAACTAGATTCCGAGGATATCTTTGCTCTCATGGCCGCATCGTCAGGTTTGCTAAAAAGTCAATTCAACAGCCTTGAACTTATGAGATTCAATAAGCAACTCCTATCAATCACCATTGAACGAAAACAGGATAATGACCAGAATTGTTTATTTTGGTTTTTATTTGTTCACTTGGAGGACTGTACCTTATCTGCCTCTCCGGAATTCACACTAAACCGCTCGTCTATCAATTGGAAGCTAGAAGAGTCCTACAACTTGAATAGTCAATGTGTAGCATTTTATGCTACATGGTATTGCCCCCCTTTTGCCGATGTTAGCGCCGCTATCTATACACAGAGACATATTGAGGTGCCAGAGTCAGACGATTTTATCTCTTGGGCGTGAGTATCCATGAAACAGTTATACGCACAGTACCAGCTAACATTACCAGCTTTAAAGTGGTCAACTTTATGCTAGCACGGGGATGGGTGTCTGGTGACCTGGATCGATTGAAGTCGATATGGGAACGCGAGACATAGCATCTTTTCAACATGATCGAGATTTCTTGGACAGGGATTCGCGAGAGGAAACGGAGGAAGACCGGGCCTTCTTACAAACGTGGGTGTACTGATCGCTTAGTTCTGGTATTGCCTGAAGTTCTTCTTCCGAAATCCATTCAAGTCTTCAGACCAGAAACTCCTTCTCACCATTTATCCCTTCTCTGGAGACGAATACAGCACGAATGATAGCACCTGTCGAATGGCAACTGAGATCGTTAGACATGCATCCGTAAGGCTCGACAGCTTCAAGTAGCTCGATATGGATGTTGTCTGTAGTAGGAGTTTTGTTGCCATGGTTTTCTTCATCAACATGCTCGGCTGTCTGGAATTGGGGAGATAACTTAGAGCCGTAGGGCGGTGGGTTATAGGAATCAAATCGGTACTGGCCGTGTCATTGAACATAGGCTCAGAGGTGGAATGACCGCTCGATGCTAGACACCACCGAAAATGTTAGGTTATACCTGCCTTGCTCTATCATAGGTAGGTCACCTTTCAGGGAGTCTTCTGTGGAAGGAGCCATCCTGTAGCTTGTAATATTTTTGAGTAGAAGATTAAGATACCAGGAGTCCTGAACCGCGGCTCCATTTATATAAAGTGTAGTCCGTGATTTTTCAAGCACAGATACTACCATTTGACTTATTTCTGTCTTGGTGTGATGTCTGCTAAATTTGGGACGATATAAAAATCCTTCAATAGTGTGTTCGGATGCCACCTTTCGCAGGCGCTGATGTCTAGTCGATAGACTCTTCAAAAAGAGTACAAAGCCCACTCACAGGCCTCGGTTTCTACAGATGCATATGGGGTCGAAGTTCCCTAAATGTAAGAACCCTTACTAGTTGGAGGTAAAACATCTACTGACCTGAAACAGACTAAAGCCATGATGAATGATTTACCAGAAAATGCTTTGAATACGTTCTTAGGCGAGTTGTCAGGGCGGAAAGGTGGCGAGGTACAGCCCGAGAGGATCTGTCAGAGTAGGAAACGCTGATCTCCAGTTTCCACGCACCAGATCGCTAAAGGGCAAGGCCGCAAGAAGGCGCTGTGCCGAAGTAATTCGCTGTCACCGCAGAATACAAAGTACCTATTTCTCAACAACACCCCAAGAACCAAACCAAACCAAATCAAACAGATTCCAGACAAATAAAAAACAACCCCAACCTCAGAAAAACAGACCCCTACCAAGCACCCGAAGAGGGTAAAGTCGGACGAGAAATGTGCTCAATTCCGCTCGCAGCAGCCGCCGTCGATTGGCCAATGCATCTTAGTCTGGCAGCGGAGTCTCTCGTGTCTGGTTCTTTAGTTCGGAGTGAGTAACAATCACGACCTAATAGGCAGGAGATTCTCAGCGAGTGATCGGACTGTGATACACCGTTTGCTCCTGCAGACTCAGGTACCGCGTTTAGTTCCTTGTCGTGAGGCCATTCGAGCATAATTTCGGCGACGTATGATCCATGCGTTGAGATAGCTAGCTACTTAAAAGGTAGATTGTTCTTTTCGTCTGTTTCTCTTCTTGTTTTGATGGTGTCTGTGTCTGGGCCATACTATTTATATGCCTTTCACACATTCAATCGTCTGATTCATCCTTCGACCCTGAATAAACCCAGACAACAAAATGAACCACATGGACCACACAATGAGCATGTCCATGAGCATGAGCTCGACAGGGACTGCCACGGCTCCCATGAGCACAGGTACATCAATGGACATGGACATGGACATGGGCGGCATGGACCACGATATGGGAGGGAGCTGTCAGATATCAGTAAGTCATCACTTACCTTTCTATACCATGACCATGTATATATTTCCTTTCCCCCTACAGACCAGACAGACACGAGATAGCAAAGTATACCCGTCAGTGCTAACCAACCCTCAAATCTAGATGCTCTGGAACTGGAACACCATCGACGCATGTACGTCCCTCTTACCATTACCTTCTATACCACCTCCCTCCTCCCTCCTTCACACTAACACCAACCCCCAAAACAGGCTTCCTCTCCTCCTCCTGGCACATCACATCAAAAGGCATGTTCGCAGGCTCCTGCATCGGCGTCATCGTACTCGTCATGGCCCTCGAGTTTCTCCGCCGACTAGGTCGCGAATACGACGCCTTCATCATCAACCGCGCAAGACTCCGCGCGAAATACCTCGATCTTGACCCCGCCACACTCACAAGTACAAAGCCAGGTGCTGGACCTGCGGAGGAAACGTGCTGTTCATCCAGCTCCAACAACAATGATAACGATAACGATAACGATGCTGGACCTTCGAAAACCCCAGCACCAGTATCAGTACCAACATCAGCACTAGCAACAGGTTTCAAAGGAGGAAGAGGAGAAGGGAAGAGAGGCATCCGCCCCACGCCCATCGAACAGACGATCCGGGCCCTGTTGCATATGGTGCAGTTCGCGGTGGCCTACTTCGTGATGCTGCTGGCGATGTATTTCAACGGGTACATCATCATATGTATTTTCATCGGGGCGTTTCTGGGGGCGATGATGTTTTCGTGGGAGGAGATTGGGGGGAATGGGTTTGAGTATGTCCCTTTTACTTCATCTTCTGTCTTTGGGTTGGAAAGTGGTGGGCTAACTGAGGTGACTGGTCTAGGAATGATGCGACGGCGGTGACGAAGTGTTGTGGGTGATTAGCTCTAAGACGGGGCTGGGTTGGCTGAGGGTTGTAGGGTTGTGTTTAATAGTTTACTCTGTCTGTATTGTACATGCGTCAAGATGTCACTCATACTCTTACGGCTACGACATCATAGACCCACACGGTTACCTCGGGCATTCTCATCATTACAATGTCCAAGTACAACATCAAATTCGTTTGATCAAGGTAGACACTCTAAAGTTACACCACACGCGAGAAGAAGAATGAACACGAGAAGACCACCGTCACCTCACCCAGGCTCCTCCCTTTCGAGAGAACCACAGGCGAGGTCCGTCCAGGGCACACATCTTTTCCACTTTATCGAACATGGTGCTTTTTGTGTTTTTTCTTTTCCTCAAACTTACAACTCACCGGAGTCGACGATGGTGGGCTTGATGTTGGAGCGGACGGCACCGGTGTTGCTGCCGAGAGCCTCGATCTCCTTGACGATCTTGAAGGACTCCTCGTCAGCGACCTCACCGAAGACGACGTGCTTGCCGTCGAGCCAAGAGGTCACAACGGTGGTGATGAAGAACTGGGAGCCGTTGCTGCAGAATGGTTAATACGATGTCTCTCATGCGCTTAGTGGGGAAACTTACGTGTTGGGACCAGCGTTGGCCATGGAGAGGATACCGGGCTTGGTGTGCTTGAAGATGAAGTTCTCATCGGCGAACTTCTCGCCGTAGATGGAGCGACCACCGGTACCCTATTCACCATTAGCTACTGTTCAACGAGACACGAGACCCAGAAAACTTACGTTGCCGCGGGTGAAGTCACCACCCTGGAGCATGAAGTTGGGGATGATACGGTGGAAGCTGGAGCCCTTGTAACCCTGGCCCTGAGGAGCCTTGCAGAGCTCACGGAAGTTCTTCGCGGTCTTGGGGACGTCCTGCTCGTACAGGTTGAAGACGACACGGGACGTCTTGGCTAGAGAGCGAAGCCATTGTCAGTGATAGTTCAAGGGATCAGATCGATGGCTATCATCCGACAAGTCGATGGCCATTCGAGGGGAGACCCGGGTAGAAGGAGAGGAAACGAAACCCCTCCCCTCCCAAGAATTACCCCTCCTCCAGCCATCGCAACTCGAAAGGCAGCACGCAGAAAAAGAGAAAGGGAATACATACGGGCAGAGCTGCCCACAGGGGCGTACTGGATGTCGAAGAAGGCCTTGGTGTTTCCAGACATGGCTGCGGTCGTTTGATGGAAAGAACGGAGAGAGAGGAAAGAAGGATTGCAATTGAGAGAGGAGAAGAGGGGACGAGAAGAGAAGGACGAGCAAAGTGGGGTTGTTGTTGACCTCAGGCTTCGGGAGAACATTGTTGCTGGAGGGGCACCGGCGGTCACGGGGTCTGGGGGTGTTACGTCAGCCGCTTGCTGCCTCGGGCGCACCGCTGGCTCGGGGCGCCTGCCTCAGGCCGCCAGCTGGTTGGCTGGAGCTGCGCCGCTGAGGAAGAAAAAAAGGGGGGCCGGTGGAAGAACGTGGAATTCTGACGGCCCTTGACTGGATTCCCCGCAGTCCGTGGAGAGGTCATGGCCTCGTCCCGAATTGCGTGATGCAGCAGGGATGCCGGTTTCTGACTTACCTCGAGAGTTTGGGTGGGAGGCGTGGGTTGCAGATGTCTGGATCGCCGGAAAACGCTGGGTTGCTGCGAGTCTTTGCGGATGAGGCCGGAATCGCAATCAATTTAAGACCAAGAGGAGCTCCCGAACGGGTCTAGTCTGGCAGAGCTCTAGCTTATATAATACACCGCTTCCTAGGTAACTGAGTGGACTAGTCCAAGTGCAGAGGTTGAGAGGTTGGAGGCAATTGACCAAAAAATAATAATACACGAGTCTATTCGGAAGAGACTGAGGAAAGCTGGCCTCAGGAATGCGCTGCGGGTTTTGTAGCTCCTGCAGTCCACGTGACAACCCCATGATAGCTCTTCTAATTGCGGTGTATAGTAATCTCTAGAATAGTAGAATAGACCTACACAAAACAAATGTATTTCTGGGAGATACTACTAGCGTACAACTTTTCTCATCCTGCGGATCTTCAGAGATACTACACATCCATTCCAGATAGACCTTTGCACTGGATTGTTTCATGACGATGTTGTAGATATTGCCAGCTCCCGTGACTTTCTTTCTGGCTGTCTGATAGAGATCTTCCTCTGGTCAACATAGTTCATAGCCGAATATCCCTTCTTTTGACGCCCAAATACGGGTGTTCACCATCCTAGACAGCCCCTTCAAAAATGCATGATGGGGATATTACTTTGAACACCACCCAGGACCTGGTTTCTGGACAACATTGGGCCCTGTGAACAAGCCAATCACATAGTGTTCACTCCACCAAGTTCGGATGTGATGAAGCATCTCGTAGTGCCCATATACAAGCCTTAACCATCCTACCCTAGGCCAAAATCCGGCGGCCTTATTGACATAGAGAAACTTCATCCAGCGGCCCACATAGCCCGATCTAGTTTGTCTTCCGAATAACCGTCACAGCAGCATGCGATATCTCGATAGACTTCATCCATCGAAGTGTACCTACCATCCCAGCAACCAGAAACAACGTCCCCGTAGACCAGGCCCTTCAGAGACGGAAACTGCTGCTGAGAGAACAACCCCTCGACAACCGTCACCAACGCCCCCATTTCCATCGTCCCCTCAAGCTCATGGTAGGGGACATTACCCGTTTCCAGCTCGAACAGCATCGACCCAAAAGCAAAGATATCCGTGCCGGTACCGATCTCCATGCCAGGCCGGAAGCTACACCACTCGTAGCAGACCAGGGGCGCTTCGCCGTCGATGCCGGAGCCAGCGAAGTCAATGAACTTGACATGGTTGGCATGATCCACGATGATATTGTGACAGCCCACGTCGGCATGGATCACGCCCCGGCTGTGGATATATGCGAGACCTTCGGCGGCTTCCCGTGCCCACTGAAGCTTCATCGCCTGAGGAATGGTAGACGAGCGGGCACTCTGGAGCATCTTTCGAAGACAGGTTCCACGTTCCAACAGGAGCCCTTCCTCGACCACTTCGTAGGATGCGATGCGTTCATGGTATCCAAGTCGCTCGTACGAGCGGATTTCAACGACGTAAGCTCGGCGTTCGAAGTCCCCAGATGAGGGACGGGTTTTGATGACTCTATTTTCGTCAACAGCATAGACTACCGAGACCGTACCGGCCGCAACGAATGATTTGGCATGGCTCGCGCTTGAAAACGAGCCCATTTGTAGGGCACCAAGCTGAGATTTTAAGGGAGAATGCCCAAGGGGGAGAGAATGCTAAGTTGCGGACAGTTTGTTTGCCCACCAAAATAACTAACAAGGGGTGGACTTAGTCACGTGCTGGTATAAGGTCACAAGTAGGCCTCATCAAAACCACCCAGAATATCGAAAACAGTCATACTCAAATACTTACTGTAACGACCACATAAGCCTAGTCAATGGGCCAGATAGGAAAGCCCCATGCCGGGAAAAGTCCGGAGTAAACAAACAGCTCAAACCCAACTCTATCGAATTGACCCGACAGCCCAAGGACAGCCAGCCTCCCAAACTATATCCAATCTAATGCAGTTGATCAACAGATGCGAGGAAACCCGACCAGACAAGTCCCACACTTGCAAACATGGAGAAAGAAAGTACACGGTCAGAAAAAAGATATCAAACGCTAATAAAAACCATCGAAGAGAAAGCAAACATAAAAGTAATCCACAAGAAGGCAAAGACGGTAAGAATACAAATCCCGTGCGAGATTAAGATAAATCCACAAATAGAAGTAAAAGTAAAAGTAAAGTGAGGGGGAAAAATCAAAGTAGAATCATAAGCTCCACCAAGTTCAACATGTCATTTCACATGGTTGCTCATTGTCATGCATGATTACTGCCAACCGGCAGCTGGATAGTATGGTCCAGTTAAATCAGTGTGCTCGAATCTCAATGGCCTCTACAGCCATGGGAATTAAAAGGTAAAAAGTTCCAGTGAACAGAAATAGAAAAAGAAGACGACAAAATGTCGTGTCATGAGGCATAGAGCACAAGAGACAACTCCTTTATCGGAAATCATCCTCGGTGTCGTCCTCGTGCCCCGGATCTAGCCGCTGCACAAGCTCTTTGGTCACTCGGGCGACCTCAAAAGCAATGGGCGGAAGTTTGTTCGTGACGGTATTGAAGACCTCGTCGTATGAGAGGCCTTCGCCCTCGGCCGCGGCCTTCAGCAGTCGGCTTCGGTGATAATCCAGTGTTTCGATGGCGGACCCGGCTCGGTCCATAAGCACCGGACTAGTCCCCGGTTTGTGGATGTAATGCTCCGTGGACGAGACAACATTCGTCACGACCGACGAGATCGCCGATACATGGGTGCGGATGGTAGTTAGACCATCTTCTCCACGAATGCTGGCAACAAGGGCTTGGATGGATTGAACAAGGCCGTCGGTTTGATCTTCTACGTAAAGCTGCACGGGGTTAGACCATTTCACTTGACTCAAATCTAGATGACGTACCTTAAGTTCCTGAAGTTCATGATCTTCAGGCTGCAATCCGTAGTTGACGTTCATGTTGTTGTTCAAGCCATTGGGGATGCTCTCCGATGTCGGATTCCGCGAGTGATTAGACGGAGGGCTCATCGCGCTGTAGATCGATCCGTTGTTGCTCATTCTTCGCTGGCTGGGAGCCACGCTGAAGTAGTCCGGCGATTGCAGTTGAGTGAGCTGCTCCTCATCGACCTCATCCAAGTCATCCGCCGGGCTAGCCTGGATCTTGACCAGCCGAAGGAGCTCGATGATGGCGGTCGAGAGATGCGAGGCAGCGGCATCTAGGAGAGACACCGGGGAAAGACCGCTGGAGCTGGCGAAATTCTTAGACGCGGTGATCAAATTGTTCGCCGTCGCCGACACTTTGCGCGTAGCCTTCGTGCGCAACTGAGACGATCCATCGCCCAGATCCGGAGACACTTCAACATCCTGCAGCACATGGCGGACCGCAATCACCACTGGCTTGATCTGTTGCATGACAAGCTGGTGGTCATCAAACCGCGCCACGCGCAGAAGCTCGTCGATGGAGATCTGGAATTTGGTCACATGGACATCCTTGATCAAACCATTCTCGTGCAGTAGCTCGTTATCTCTGGCAACGGTGCTGGCATCGGGGAGCGCCTCGGGGATGCCGGAAGTTGAGGCTCGGAGGTGTCGTAGTTGAGACTTTGCCTTGGCATACCGGCTCTTCCACTGTTTGATTTCCTCTTCCAGCCGGTGAACATCGCCAGACAGCCGCTCTTCATGCTCCCATCTCGAGTGACTTTGCTCCGACAGTGCCCTCATTTCCATCAGGAAACCGGCGGCCTCCCGCCTGACTTCCTCCGTCACCTGCTGCTGCTCCTGCAGCTCGTCCTGCAAACCCCGATGCTTGATCTCGAGATCGGCAAACCGAGCCTGCAGCTCAGGATCCCCACCACCTTGTCGGGAGGATTCGTCCATCTGAGTCCGAAGGTCGCGTTCCATCGCATCATGCTCCATTCGAACCTTATCAAGCTCCATCTGCAATGAGCTATTCAAATCTTCCGCCTTGGAAATTTTGCTCTCCAGCTCCATTTTTATGTCCTCCCATTCCTGCCGTTCAAACGTACTGATCTATTGGAATTGTTAGCGAGAAAGCACAGCCAATTGGTGTCGCAGCCAGGTAACCTACCTGAGACTTATCCTGTTCCTCCCGATATCGATCAATCTCTTCGTCTTTCGATTTGATGAGATCTTCCAGCTTGTCCACCTTGCCCTGATCCTCCTGGTGTTTGGCGATCTCCTCGTCCTTCGACTTGAGCATCTCCTCGAGTTTATTCACTTTGTCCTGCAGCGTCGAAACTTGAGACTGCGTGTCCGCCAGCAACCTGCGATCCCCGTCTCCTAGAGTCGTGGTCGTCCCGCGCCGACTCTGCAGAACCACATCCAGAGCAAAGGCATCGCTCCGCGCATCGTAGTCATCGTCCATGCCGGCCATGTCATCGTCGTCCTCGACCATAGTACTCTTGTTGGGAACAATTGTATTGCTCTGGAAGGATTTCGCTGTCGGGCCGTCTCCGTTAACGGAGGGCGCTCCGCCCAGAGACCCGTGCCGAGGCGGAAAAGGACTGCCCGGAGGCCCCCCGGACGGATATCCTCCTCTCCCACGCGGCGGACCGCGTGATTGCGAGCGTCGACTCCCCGGCGGCGGGGGGTACCCCGGACCGGGACCATATGGACCGGGCGAGTAGCCATTGGAAGGGCGGCCCCGGAAACTGGGGGCGGGACTCGCCCGGCGGGATTCGCGGGCGGGAAACTGGGGGAACCGGCGCTCCAGCTCGCAATAGACATCGGTGGCGAGATCTCGAAATCGCTGATGCTGCAGCGACGCCAGCTTCTGGCGCGCCTGGTTGCGCTTTTCATGGAAGTCCTCGCGGGGAGGCAGGAAGGGCGGAACGTCGGGGCGAGGCGGCCGCGAGGGCGACGGCGCGGCCTGCTGCCGGCGCAGCAGTTCGTCGTAGACGTCGGTACTCAGCTCGTGGAACTGAGTGGCCGACAGTCGCAGCAGCTTGTCCCGGGCCTTGCTCTGCTTACCATTCCGGGGATCGTCCCGGTAGCCCATGTGCAGGAAGCGTCTCAGGGACACATAGTGCTGGCCCAGGAGTTCCTCCATCTTCTTGTGGCGGGCGCTCTTCTTGTCGGCCAGCGTGCCATCGCTGGATCGGGCGGCCACGGAGCTGGGAGGCGACGGGTTCCCCGAGTCGCTCACCTGGCTGGAGGCGCTTCCATTTCGCACGCCGTTGGTGCCGCTGGGGACGCCGGAGGTGGGAGGCGTGGCGAGATTGCCGCGGTTCGAGAAGGTCGGGGAGAAGGGCGGATCGGACTTCTGGTACTGATTGATTCCCGACCAGTCACTGCCGTCCACGGAGACCGGCGACATGGTCCCTGAATGACCATTCATAGGGGGCCGCGGTGTCGGCGGTCACGTAGCACCCGGAGCCGCTAATTCGGGGGGAGGGCAACGACGCTGGACCTGCAGGATGAAGAAACGGGCGGGCGACTAGGCATTCGAGAGCTCGACGGGTTTAAAACGGAGGCGACGAAAAGGTGGATATAAAAAGAAGAATGAAAATGGAAAATGAATGCGACGCGGAGACCGACAGGGGTGGATCAACAAAATCCGGGAGGGACGGAGGTAAGATGGTTAATTTCGATCGTGGCTGACGGTAAGGAGCGACGGGGCCGGTCGTGCACTGAGGCTGGCCGGAGATTATTTATTATACGCAGTCCCAGGCGGAGGAATGGCAATGATGCAAGAAACGAAACGTAAGGGAGGGAAAGCCAAAGGAGTGAACGGATGGGGAAGAGAGAGAGAAGAAAAAAAGCAGCCAGCCGGAGATGAGAAGAGGTCGAGCTGCCGAAGACGGGGAAGACCAAAAGGAAGAAACACGAGAGGGAACGAGAAGAGCGCCAGATCGGCCCAACAGCAGCAGCGTTAGTGAATTTGGTCGCCAGTTAGTCGGATTTCGAGGAGTAGCCAGACCCAAACAGCCACAGCAGAGTCAAAGGAGTGGAGGACGATGGAGCCGGGGACGGGCGGGATACTTGGGAGTACGGAGTATTGTACTGACACTAGGTGTGGTTTACTGTACTTTCCGGTACCTTTGTGCTGACGGTTGAATACCTCCCATCGGTGGTAAGCCTGAAGGCCTGGACGGAGTAAGGACAGAAATCCTTACTTCTGCAGACTCGAAACCCCGGATTGAATCGACTCTGAAGCATTCCATTTGTCTGAGGACTGCAGGTACACGTAATGTACCGATGGACGTGCAGAAGTACCAGTACTTGCGCCGTGCAGTATCGTCCGCGTAATACGCACGGTACCGCAGTATTGTATCGTAAGGTTCCACAGCGATCGGGCGCAGCCAATGAGTGGCGCGGAATAGTCGCTGTGGCGGTGCCGTTCCTTTGCTCGATTCTTTATCGGCACAACAATGGATTCACTCGTCTTTATTCAACCATTCATTCACTCTCTACTCCTTACCTAGAGAGTTCTCCATAACCTTAATGTCAAGTCAATCATCTGAACCCTGACACTCTACACAGTATGCATAGTGCATACACCCAAATAGGCGAATGCAAAGCGATCATCCGGGGCCATTCCCCTAACGAGCATATAAGCCAACCTGAGGCTGGGCGGTCCACATCGCTCTCCTTAGCTCAGGAGGCGAACTCAATGCGAGTCTGGACCGTTTCGCCCCCAACGAGCGATCGTGCCGTAAGGCCGTCGGGACTTTCTCACACCTGGAATATCCTTTGCTGAAGTACTAACGACTGAGTTCGTCCGTTCCTCCATATAGATCGATTCCCGGAGTAATGCGCTGCCAAATTAACCAGATGCCGATCGACGAATGGACCACTCTTGGACCCGGACTCGAGCTTGCCCATCGAGTAGGTATTATTAGATAGGTACTATCTCGTCCGGGAAATGAATGCCCACGGCGTATATCCCCCGAAGGATGCCACGGCCCTGTCTGCCCGATATTAATTTCTATTTCAATCCCATAGGCAGATATATTCAGCCTCTGCGCCTGGTAGTCTCGACCGCCCTAAATCATGCCACAATATAAACCCCAACCCTAGTCCTTGCGACGTCGTAGTCGTACACCGTGTCCCGGCTCTAAAACGCCGCGTCGGTTTCAGAGTCGAACATTCCGCACGTCAACCAGCCCCTGTTCAGCTGGCTCCATTTCGGCTAGGACTAGTTTGCTGACAGGAGGCTCAATTTAGACCTACCTGGTATTTGGACTGGAGTTGAGATCGAGATCAGGATACTATGTGTACGGAGTAGGTGGAAGTAGATACATCATTAGGGCTGGATATCACATCATCTACCGAGAGTAGACATATGTAATAGGTACCCCGCTCGCATCTCCAACTCCTCTACCTCAGTCACAGACATACTATCTATCGATCAGAGCACCAACTTAACAACCTAAACCATCTACACTAAACGCCGAAAATCAAAATGTCCACCCCCGTGCACTTCGACCACGTCCTCATCCAACTCTCCACCCCAGACTTCCACGCCCCGCCGCCATGGCTGACGGAGAATTTCACCATCCTCGAGGGTGGCACGCACGCGGGTATGTATGCCTCTATATATAGAATTAATCTCCATTCCTTGGAATACACATCCCGCCTGATATATACACTATATACTATACTATATATATCTACACCAAAAATACCACCCACAAATCCATCCCTAGCCAACTACTGAACCCAAACCCAACAGGCGGCGTCACACGCAATAACCTCATCCCCCTCCCCGACGGCACATACATCGAACTCCTAAATTTCGTGACCCCGCCGGCTTCCCGCGCGGACTGGGCCTCCAAGTACCCGGGGGACTTTGCGCTGACGACGCTGCCCCCCGTCACCGCGACGGAGAATTATAACCGGTTGGTGAGCGCGCTGGAACCCTCACCCAATGAGCCAGGGCCAGAGCCAGGGCCCAGAGCAGGAGACGGTGGTCTAGGCGTGACCTACAAGAAGCCCATCCCGGGGGGACGACAGCTCTCGACCGGCGAGGATGTCAAGTGGGAGATTGTAGGGCCGGAGTATAAGAGCGAAGATGGAGGGGCGAGGGGTCCGACAGACGTGCCGTTTTTCTGCCACGACGTGACGGAGCGAAGGGTACGGGTTCCGCGTGTGCCTGAGACGGGTCATCCGTCTGGGGCGGTGGGGGTGAAGGCGATTGAGGTGTTGGTGGGGAGGGAGAGGGTCGGGGATTATGTGCAATTGTATACGTCTGTGTTGGGGGTGGAAGGGGAGGCGAGGAAGGATGGGGACGGGGAGTGGGAGTTTCCGCTGAGGGCACCGGGGGCGGAGGATGTGACGGGGGTGGTGAGGTTGAGGGGGTCGCGGACGGAGGAGGATGAGAGGTATTTGAGAGAACGGGGAGTTGGGGTGAGTGCGTTGGTGATTGGGGTGAAGGGGGGTGGCGAGTTGAGACTGCCGATTGCAGAGTATTATCTTGAGGGACGGTAGACTCAGAGAGATAACTGACAAAACATGTTCATATTCGTTCTATGGAATTATACATAGGTTGTAAATGTTCATTTCCCATCCGGTCCATGCGATCACCAACGGTTCATCCCCTTCGTTAAAATAAGCAATTCCTTTCTGTTCGCTTGGTGATGGCATGACCTTGCTTCTATCATGTCCAAGTTCTGAGCGCATCCTGCGCCGATAAACGTTTCAGTACTCCGGGACTCCAGGTACTGATCCCGACACAAGTATGATTCTCATTCAGGATCAGTATCCTCATACAGAGAACAATGTACCAAAAGCAAAGAAAAAAAGAAGAAAAAATACAAGAGATCCAAGGATCCAAAGAAATTGACACGACGAGACTCTCCAAAAGAGTGCTTTGGTAGTGGCCGTGAAACCAGGGGGTATCGTGATGAATGCCCAATTTGGGAGAACGGCCGAGCCAAGGGGTAGAAAAGAGGGAGCCCCTTTAGATAGTAACCACCGACAATAGCAGCACGTTTCTCCAGAAAAGAGTGATAAGAGTGCGTTGTCCACTAGGCTTGACTTCGCAATCATTTGGAACTGGTCATGGCCAGACCCCGAGTCGCCCCGACAGCCGCCGAAACAGGCGTGGCCGATCGAGTGGGAGCTGCGCTACGGTTGTGGGCCATGTGAGCCCGGACGAGATGGCCGGCGGCCAATGCGGAACACAGACTCAGTTCACCGGCCAGAACAGCGGCACCGACGATGCGCGCAAGTTGACGAGCGTTATCTCCCGGGTTGGTGGGGTGGGCGCCACGAACGCCGAGCAGATCCAGCATGGCAGCTTGTCCCTCCAGGATAGTACCGCCACCGATGGTGCCGACTTCGATAGAAGGCATGGACACGGCGATTTGAAGGTTACCATTAGTGCTGAAGAAAACCCTTCGTTAGTATATATGGTCGGGTGCACCGGGAATGGGGATGGATAACAACTTACTTTTTCATCGTCGTGATACAGCTGCTACTTTCCACGTTCTGCGCGGGATCCTGACCAGTGGCGAGGAAGATCGCCGTGACCATGTTGGCAGCGTGTGCGTTGAAGCCACCCAAGCTTCCAGCCATCGCACTACCGATCAAGTTCTTGCTGGTGTTCAGTTCAACCAGAGCGTCGACGTCACTCTTCAGAACGCTGCGAACGACCTCGCCCGGAATGATGGCCTCGGCCACCACGGCCTTACCACGGCCGTCAATCCAGTTGAGCGCAGCGGACTTCTTATCCGTGCAGAAGTTTCCGGAAACCGAGATGGTGGCCATGTCATCAAAGCCACATTCGGTGGACATGACACTCAGCGCCTTCTCCACACCCTTCGAGATCATGTTCATACCCATGGCATCACCGGTGGTGGTCTTGAATCGAATGTACAGATAGGTACCGGCAAGCGCGGTCTTGAGAGACTGGAGACGGGCAAATCGACTGGTGGAGTTGAACGCGGCAGTCAGGATGCTCGTACCCTCTTCGGAATCAATCCAGACCTTGGCAGCGGCAGCTCGGGCAAGAGTAGGGAAACCAACGCAAGGGCCGCGGGTCATGCCATCACCCGTGAGAACGGTAACGGCACCGCCGCCGGCATTGATGGCCTTCGCACCGCGACTGGCGCTGGCAACCAAGACACCTTCGGTAGTAGCCATGGGAATAAAGTAGCTTTGACCGTCAATAGTAAGAGGACCGGCGACACCGAGAGGCAAAGGCAGATAACCAATGACATTCTCGCAGCAGGCACCGTGGACGAGACCATAGTTGTAGTCCTTGTACGGAAGCTTGGACTTCTCCAAAGAGCTCGTCACAGCCGCAGTAGCCTTGGTTCGGGAGACAACACCTCTGCGGATCTTGACTGCTCTGGTGAAGGCGTCGACTCGACTCATGAGGTCCTCGTTTTCCATCGTCTTTTCGAGAGCGTATCCAGGGATCTTGCCGCGCACGGAGAGGTCAATCAGCTCCTCGTCCGTCATGTACGCAGCGCGCTTTTCCTTGAGCATGACCTCACACTCCTCGGGAGTTCTCGTGGGGCCTTCGGGGCTGTTCAGATCGATCTTGGGGTAAACCTTCGGCTCGGCGGGAGCCACCTTGGGAGCCACTGGAGCAGCCTCGGGTTCCCGGATGCTCCACCGGGCGGCGTTGAAGAGGTACCCGTTCAGGATGATGCTCAGTGTCAAGGCAGCGATGATCCACTTGCTGATGATCGGGTCCTCGACGCTTTTCAGGAGGCTTTCGATGACTCGTCCACCAACCGCGTCCAGGAATTGGTCGGTGTATTCAATGTCGAAAGACTGACCGTCCTCAGGGACGGCGTAATGCACCGAGGGGTATTCCAGCTTGTACTTGACAGGGGGGATGACAGTCACAACGGTTTCCATCATTTGGCTTTTGGCGGAGACGTAGATGGAGTCGAGTCCATTTTCGGCGACCTTGAAGGGGTCGATGGGCGTCGGTGCCAGAACGTTGGAAACCCGGGAGATGATGGGAATGTTCGAGTTGTGGGTGGAGTTGCGGAACGGGATGGCGGACAGGTTGACCACATTGACCAGGACGAAGCCTCCCACCATGAGGATCTTGAAGCGACGGACGTTGCTGGACTTGATCTTTCTTCCGAAGATGCTGGTGTCGCCATCGCTGTCCGAGCTAGACTGGAGCCAGTCGTTGTCGGACGCGACGTTCTCGGCCACCCGCTGGGTGATTCCATCCTCTTCCAAAGCCTTGCGGGTCGCCACATGGTGCTTAATCCGGGTGATCTCAAGCTTGATGCAAAGGATTGTGGTGTAGAAAGTAAAGAGGAGCACGCAGTCGAAGAAGAGGATCCAGGCGGCAAGGAAACAGAACTGTCTCAATCCACCCTGAACACCAGACGCCGCACCGGCGACCAAGATGGCGATCTCAATACAATAGTCACGAACAATCTCAAATCCTTGCTCCTTGACCGCGGTCTGAATCGATTCCTGGATGGATCTGGGAGCCGGCTGGTTGGGGGTAGCCCCCGGGGCACCCTGACGTTTCCGGTCCACCGACGCGTGAAGAACGGCGCGAGTAAGAATGATCGGTTTTTCGAATCCAATGGTAACGACCAGGAAGGGAAGACCCTCGGACAGAAGCAGCACGTTGATCGGCACACCGAGCTTGGTGGTCACGAGGAGACCGAACAGGAAAGCAAACACGCCGGAGAGAAGGACGGTGAATGCCAACCAGGACCGCGAGCCAAGACGACGCATGGAGAAGAAAAGGGAGACGAAGCTGAGATGCATGGAAAGATAACCCAGAGTCATGATGACAATATCGATCGTTTCGGCATGCTGACGGGGGCGTTAGCGACCAATGCACCTAAACAATCAACCAGACAAAAGAGACGGTACCTTAATCAAGTCCACGAAGGAGCTCCAGGCGTCGGTCAACCACAACTGCAGCGACCGGGTCGAGCCAGACGCCGGACCCCGAGCCGCACGCATGATCCATTTTTTCTGCTCGCCAACATCCTCGTCGGCGGAAGGGTCAGGAATCTCCTGCACCGCCTTCAGGAATTCAGGGACCTGGTCGAAGGGAAGAGTATAGGCGAGCGACGAGTCCTGGGAGAAGGGCGAGAACAGATTCGGGGTGTGAGGAACGACCGTGGCGGAGGCGTTGGAGGGAACGGGTACTTCATCCGCAACGGGGGCAGTGGAAGCCGATCGCGACAGGGAATCCGGGAAAATGAAGGTGGCCAATGCCAGATGCTGGGCGACCTGCCGCAAGAAAATCCACGCGGTTAGAATGGCACGAGCAATAAGCTTATCTATTTATTTGTTTGTGGCTTCAATTGCAAACTTACCTCGACCTCATTGTGTGTCAACGCGTCATCCACCTGCCACTTCCACGAGGTACTCTCGCCTAATCGGAGGTTCCTGCTGCCCTGGAGAAGGGTGTCGACATCCACTTGGCCGGCGACATTCCGGGGGTTTCGGATCGGATCGAAAATGCTGCCCTCGATCAGACCGACGTAGGTAGTGCTGGCGAGCAGTGCGACGACGACAATGGTGTGAATGGGATGGAGACAAGCACGACGGGAAATAGTTTGCAGGACATTGGTGACTTGACGCTTCAACCACCCCGGTTCGGCCTCCTCGCCGTCGGCCGGGCGAAACTTCCGCGGAATCAGAGTCGCAGCCATGTTGGATGGTCGGGAGGGAGGAGGAGGGGGAGGAGGAGAGGAGAGGAAGAGGGAAAAGAAGGGAGGGAAGCGGTGTGGGCCGCGAGATTTAAAAGAAAGATAGTCCGCTTGATACTATCGACGGCCCGCAGGGGGGTTTGTCTCCCTATCGGAACGACCGCCACAGAGGGTTTGCTTTCGCCTGTCGTCTTTTCTCTTTTTTCAGCAGACGAGACCGACGGGTGTAACTGCAAAGGTCCGGTCCCACCGTGACATGGACGGGAGAAGCCAATAAATAAATACAAGTCAATCGTCAGGGCTGGGGAAGGAGAGATTTGTCGGAGGCGGAGCTGTAAGAAAAAGGTTCACGATGGTCCCGTCAGCATCACGTACGAACTCCTCCATCCGTGGAATCCCCCAGACAGAAGAAAGCTTACCAGGGTTGAATCCGGTCGAGCTCGTGTTGAAAAATCCAAGGAGTTGGAGGTCAGACCGACAGAGTCCAATGGCCACCAGAGCAGGACCAGCTGTTCGTATACTTCGTGGACTTTTTTTTTTTTTTTTTTTTTTTTTTTTTAATTCAATAGAAAAAAACCCAAAAATACGCGATACCGGGACCCCTTGAAAGCGCAAAACGGCAAAGGCTTGTGCCACGGGGGACGCCGGCTTTTCTGTTGTTCCGTCGAATTCTGCCGCCTGGCTCAGCCACGGTCCTGCCAGCCAATCACAGTCTGGCCTGCTGGGCAATTAGGTAAGGCGGTAGGTCGGTGCGGGGACTAGCCTCAGGCTGCACTGGCGTTGGGTCCGGCTGGTATCACCGAACAGAATCAAATAATAATGGGTGGGAAGTACTGGTCAAAATTCCCATCAAGTCAAGTCGATATGAAGAATGAAGAAGGAAACAAAAAAAAGTTGGGATGGCGGGGGGTTAAAGCCATAAGTAAGCCGTCAGCCGTCAGCCCTGGGCAAAGCCAGAATATTTTTCACCCTGGATTATTCTTGTCTACCGAATTTTCTTATTCTGAAAAAGAAAATTTTTTTTATTTCCTTGAGTCGAGGTTGTTTGTCTGACACCCTACGCTCCGTTTATCGGGAAGACACTAATTCACACTAGCTCAAGGACCATCGAGCCTGGGACTGGGTCACGGAGGGACGGTGTACGCTTACTTGCTGTCTGAATGGGCACCGGCAGCTCCGCTTTGGAGACTAATTCTGGGAGCGAGCAGAACAGGAAACAAGGGATCCGCCGTTACAAAGTACATTAGGGCGAAAACAGAAGGCAGGATGAAAACAAGGGATACCAAGAACAGTGGCAATGAAGTGGCTATTCCAACGTAGTAGGAGGCAGTGGCAGCGGCATGTCTTAATAGGATTACCTTAACCGGTTGGGGCTCCATGCATGAAGTCTTCTCGAAAACTATAAGGAAGGGGAGGTGCATGAGATCAGATCGAAAACTCAACAGACAACAGACATATTCCGCCTTACATGAATCGTTGATCATTGCCTTGCGACACGTCGTCCCCATACCACACCCGGCGCAGACTAGGGGGGAAACCTTCACCGCTGCCTCTCTCTGGTTCGAACGGCATGTTGGCTTGGTCTAGCTTCGAGGGATGCCTGGAAACTCTTCGAACGGGACAGAGCCGCCACGTTGATCCACGACGTCTTGCACCATCAACCCAAAGAGGGATGGGGAATGCCTGAGCCACCGACATGACTTATGAAGGTATGACGGAAGGCTCAAGGGCTCACAGACCTATCAGCTATCAGAGCTTCTCGGCGGGACTTCCGGGTCGCTCCAATCCCGTCAGTTCCTGGTGATTCTGGTCTTTTATGTAACCGGGCTCCATGGAGAACCGTAGTTTTGGAAGGTTTCCCATTCCCATTCGAGCCGATCAATTTTTGCCATCCTCGACAAATCGCATTCTGCACGCTGAATGGCAGGTATTTCCCTCGCCCTCCGACCCGGAGTGGGACAATTCCTTGCAAGGTGGGCTCTGGGAGCCACTGAGCAGCCGTGATTCATCGGAGATAACGCTGGCTATACCCACCTTTCATCTAATCAATCTCCCATCGCCGGTCAAGGGTCTCCATTCTGCTCGGGCTTCGTGTCTCGCTTCGGAGGTCTTTGCCTGGACAGGCCTCTCAAGCTAAAACAGTTCGTGTTTCTGGTTGGGTTCCCAATTGCACCTCTTCTGTCCTGGTGGTCTCCTCGATCACGAACAAAGCCGGCCGAGCCTCGAGTCGCCAATCATGATTAAGGTGAAATTAGGATTTGCGTCGTCATGGCAAGGATAGCTTAAAGCCGTGTGACTTTGGACCAGTTAACGGCGTTCTGTGAAAATGACGCACAGCGAAACCTAGCTCGAGGAATTCAGGCCGCAACAAAGAGGGTTGGGTCCCGCGGGCGATTGTGGTGCGGGTGGACAATATGGACCGGATTCTGACAACAATAATAATGCGGAATCCAGGGCACTCCGAATGGAACCGTTCCGAGCTCTGGCGAGTGACCTGCAATTCTGCAAGCGATTCAGGCCGACAGCCAAGCTAACTGGACCGACGGTGGGGATTCTCGTCGGCGCCAAGCGACAGTTGAAGAAAAAGTACCCCGAAGCATTTGGAGACATGAGGGTGACTCCTCTGGGTTCACCTTTTTTTTTTTTTTTTTTTTTTTCTTTTCTGTCTCTCTCAGAGCCGTCTACTTCGTATACTTCTCTCTGACCTCATCCAAAGCTTGCTGGCAGTGTTAAGCATATTTAATTGCAGTGGCCCGAGACTTTAATTCTCCCGGACTATATCCCTCCCGATGCGGCATGAGTCCCAGATTAATTCCACTTTTAATTTTACTTTCATTGTCTGTATGGTTTCTCCCTCGGGCTAATCCCTTCACCTGACGACGGCACACGACATATTGTAAACTGCTCCTGTGTCGATTGGCGCCGTGTCCTTGGAGAGCGTGGGGCTTCGATGTTTCGCCTCTACATGGGCGCTTGATTGCCCAACGTCCGGGGACCATGGTCATCTTCATTTCTAAATTTGACCACGATCTTGATTGACGGGGTGTGGATTCTTCACCTCAAACAGACTTCAGGCCATAGACCGTGAAGACTCGATCTGCTGCCGTCTGCCAGATCTCTGCCATGCGGCCGACAGCGCTTAAGGTGCAACATCAGCGCCAATCGGTGCGCTGCCTGACCAGGATGGCCGGTCTTTCTGCAACAATCAAGCTCCCCCGTTCCGTCATTGACGCCCGAAATAATGAAGAGCTCTGTCTGAAACCCGTAGGCGCCGTTACTATTTGCAGACTGCTGGATTCCTGCAGGTTGCGCTGATTGATCGATTGCACCCTGGACGTCCCCCGGAGCTCTCGACCGACTCCATCCTAGAGCCTCCATCTCCATCCCTTCGCGCCATTGGTAGATACTTCTAGGTCTCTAACGATCTAACCCAGCGAAGAGATAGGAGGTGATCGACTGATCTGGATCCGTAACACAGCGGCATGCAGAAGCTGCTTGGACTATGACGCCGACCCGGTCAGCGATTGGTTGACATCCTCTGTTTTTAGATCTGCGTCATTCACTCACCTTGACTTGGCGTCTCGCGAGACATGCTATTCTTCTCTATTGACCCTGCTTCTATAGGCGTGTTTCGTCTATTGACTCGAATACCCAATCTTGCAGACAGCCCGCCGCCATGGGTCTCGATTCATTTGATTTAAAACTGGCGGGATGTCTCCTGGTCGAGGGGAGAAGAGCCAGAAAACAGTCAAAAAAAGACCCCCGAGGTCACAAACGGACATTCCCTTAGTTCCCTTGGAACAATCGCTTTCTTTTCATTGTCACCATCGGACTTTCCCTTCCTTTGATTCCCCCACACTGACAGGTGCCGGCACCGTCCTCATAACAAAGAACATATACTGGAGAGTGCCAGGAAGCTTGCTGAAGCCCTTATGTCTATTTAAATCGCTGCTGCCAGTCCATCAACTCTTTTATTGTCACCACACACACCTGAACTGACTTGACTCAAGACTTTCTTGAAAAAAACTTCAACCTTCAATTCTCAATTTATCATACTCCGCTGGTCGGTTTTATTCGCTTATCTCGTTTTTACTACTCCTCAACAACCGATCAATCAAACGCTATCATGGTTAAGCCTGGAGTGAAGGGGCTGACGCTCTTTTCTGCCTTGGCTGTTACTGCGAATGCCCATACTTGGGTAGAGCAGCTCACGGTCATTGCACCCAACGGAACTTTTATCGGAGCTGCAGGTTACCCGCGTGGATATGTAACTCACGAATCGGGTGACGCCGCCATGACTCACCTGCTGTCGTCAACGGGTCCTATGAACCTGACCGATGTCTCTGGTGATATGTGCATGGACTCGCAGAAGAAGCAGGTCCAGAGCGAAGGGTATCCTCGACTGCAGGCAGCCCCGGGAGATGCCATCGCCCTTCGATACCAGGAGAACGGCCATGTGACGCTGCCCGAAGCCCAGGAAGGCAAACCTGAGAATCGCGGGACGGTGTATGTCTACGGGACCACGGAACCCAAAGAGAACGAGCGACTGGAGACCATCCACAAAGTCTGGAACAAGGAAGGCAGCGGCGGCGACAAGCGCGGCGTGCTGCTGTCTACCCAAGACTTCGACGACGGCCAGTGCTACCAGATCAACGGCGGCAAGATCTCCAAGGATCGCCAGGCCAAGTTCCCTCACGAAGCGGACGAGTTGATGGGCGCCAATCTGTGGTGTCAGCAAGATATCAGGTTGCCCGAGAATCTCCCGTCGGACAAGCTCTACACCCTCTACTGGGTCTGGGACTGGCCGACGGCTCCCGGCGTGGATCGTTCCTTGCCTCGCGGAAAGCAAGAGCTTTATACGACCTGTATGGACGTGCAATTGACCGGCAAGTCCGACTCGAAGGAGCATGCCCAAGCCAAGTACGTCGACGGCCAATCATTGAACAGCGCCGCGGTTAAGGCCCGGTTTGTCGGAATCATGGGCTCTAGCTTTGACGTTCCCACCAACGGCGAGGGCGGAGATGCCAGCAGCACCTCGCAAGCCGCGGAGTCGACATCCCTCCCTGCGACATCCGCTCCAACCCCGACCGGATCCTCGGATGACCAGGATGAAGGTGACGATGGGGATGAGAGTGACGAGACTGGCGACGGTGAAGAGGAAAGCAGCTCTTCGCAGCCCGCAGTATTTGCAGAGTCTACTCCTACACCTGCTCCGACTCCGACTCCAACAGCAGCATCGCGTCGGCTGGTTACCATGACCACATTGATGACGATCGTGAAGCACGCCGAACCCAGTGGTTGCTCGGAATCGGATTGACGAGATGATACCCCTTGCATGTACACCTATCTGGGCTAGCTTTGTCTTGGAGAGATTGTGATTTTTCTTTTATTTTGTTTTTCTTTTTCTTTTTTTTCCTCCCTTCAAATGAAACTTGTGTATGGCAGCCAAGAGATGCGCCATTCATTCTTTTGCATTTAGTATGTTAGGGTCAGGAGGGCCTGGCCTGTATTTTTTCTACTTTTGTCTTTTTTCCAGTTCAGGTTTCATAGCTGGACAGGATTCCATAGCATAGCGACGAGATATGTCAACATTGTGAGATTTAGAGAAATTAATTTTGCTGTAGAAGTAGACCGTAGCCATCGGAGGCTGGCCAGCATACTCCATCGGAGGGAAAGTAAGGAAGGAATCAGGCAGCAAGCGCCCGAGAAGGCATGGCGCCAGGCATCCGCAGGTGAAACACGCTAAACGCCAGCATCACGTGCAGGCAGGGAAAGCCGCCGGAAAAAGAAGCACGATGGAGATGCTCTTCTGTTGGTCTCTCCCCATCCAGTTCCAATTGCTGCTCACGATCTCCCTCTGCTCTCTCATTCCCTGTGACCCGGCATCTGCGGTGCGCTGCCTACAACTGCATCCTCCGTATTCAAGGTTGGCAACCGCAAGACCTCAGCGAGCTCCACCTGCCGACTGCGCCTCGTTGATCCTTAACGCTTCGGCTGCTCTTCACACTGTAGGTAATCTCCGGCACGCCTTTCTCGCTCTCGCCCTTACTCCCTCTCCACCGTCCAGTCCAGTCCAGGGCCTACCTACCTATCCTGCAGGCGTTGTCATGCACTCCGATTGATGCCCACCCCCTCTTTCAATCTCTTCTGCTGCTTCCTCTCCCACAACCCCCCCCTCTTCTGTCCTTGCTCTCCTCTTTTAGCCTGCTAGGCTATATGAGTAGTGCTGTCTTTGGTAATCCACTTTCTCTGACACTCACTGGCGCCTTAATGATTATTAAATTTTTTGGATCTAATTAATCTTTGCTATTATTAGAATTCCCCGTCTGCCCTCGACAACCTCGAACTCTCTCTCTTTCCCTCTGCAGCGCGGCAAACGTCTCCATCGTTGGCCACCCACCACGACTGGTCCAATCTCACTCGGTCGCCTGTTCGGACACTTTTCTTTTTGGCCCTTTTCCGCTCGGCGGATTGTTCTTCGATCATTGGAGAGACAATTCTCTTGTCTCGAACCCTTCCGAGGCGGTCTCTTGTTCGGTCTGCGATCGATAGCCGCACCTTACCTATCCTATCACCTATCATTGATCGTCACCCATTCTTGCAGCAACTTGCCGACCAGACCCATTGAGGCCACCTCGCTTCTCTGGCGTCTAGCTGTTTCCATTCTGATCTTCGCCGGCCGCGGTTGTCCCTGGTTTCAGGCTGTCTCTCCTCGTAGCGCAGCCTCCCACAAAACACCCCGACCTCCCCGTTCGGATCGTGCTTTGCAACGCAAGGAGTCCGCCAGGTGCCCCTCCAAGCTTGAGTCGCATGCTTCTCGCCGTCGTTTCACACGGTCCATCCCTTCAATTCGCTTGGCTGGACACTGCTTGTTGACATCAAGCTTTCGTTCCCCCGGTTTCACGTCTAGTAGAGTTTGTGGGTGGATGGTCTCGCGATGCCAAACTAGGGCGTAGAGCGTTTTTTGATCGTGAAATTCCCTGGTGTCACCTCTTGTCTCTGAGTTTCTGATATTACTCGGACTCAACTCCCTGACACGCGACCGTCAGTCATCTTTCCTTTTCTTTTCCTTTCTTTTTTTCTTTTTCTTTTTCTTTTTCTCTTCTCGTCCACACACCTGGTGGAAAACACATCCATGACTGCCACCATGACTTCGACCACGTCGCCACCCTCGTCGCAGGATCCCTCACAGAATCTGGCGGTGTTGCCTCCTATAATCACAGATAACACCGTGAAGCCGCAGCCGCCAATCCGACAGCGATCGTCCTCGTATGCGAAAGATCGTCTCTCCACGCAATCCAACCTCTCCCTCGCCTCTCAAAACCGGTCGCGCCCGGGATCGCACGTTTTTCCCATCTTCCATTCCAGTCTGCCGTACTCCCTCGTTCGGGATTTCGCATACCCTTCGATTCATCCGCTCCACTATGGCCCGCTGCCCCCACGTGCTTCGGGAATGTCCTCCCCGGTGAGCGAGCACCGACGGCTGTCAGACCCTCCGGCCCCATGGGACACGTCGCGTGGGCAGTGGTCAACCGGACCGTGGAGCACCGACCATAGTTATGGGCACCAACAGCTCCCTGCGATGTCGTTCGGCGACGGGCCGCCATACAGTGAGGATGAAGACTTGCACAGTCCGGTATTTACAACGCCCCGACACCGAAAGAATAAGTCTACCGGGACAGACTTGAATGGACACAAGAGCAGGAACCCCGGTGATCAGGCCGGCGTGGATTACTTCGGCGGCGCGGAGCGCGGAACGTTTGTGAGCATGAACGCAGATGGTAGCGAGACGTACTATGTGAACGATGAGGATTCGGCCGACGACGGGCCCGGGGGGGAATATGTCACGTACCCGGCCTCCGAGAGCCGATATTCGCACGCGGGCGCCTATGAAGGGTACCAGGGTTATGAACCGGAGTCCTTCGAGTCGGAGGACGACTATGGAGGGGACCGATACTCTCGAGATTTCCAATTCGCCGTAGGATGCCCCGACGAGGAGATGCATGGGAAGGCCGTTGCGCTGTTCGACTTCACTCGAGAGCACGAAAACGAACTCCCCCTGACGGAGGGCCAGGTGATCTTCGTCTCGTATCGGCATGGCCAGGGCTGGCTGGTTGCAGAGGATCCCAAAACCGGCGAGAGCGGCCTGGTGCCGGAGGAGTTTGTCCGGCTACTTCGAGACATCGAGGGAGGGTTGACCTCGCTGAACGGAGAGTCCGAGACCGAATTGACTGGGAACCACACGCAACACGTCAGCCCGGACTCGACCGACTCCCAGCAAGCCATCACGCCCACTCAAGACGACCAGCACGCCTTGGGGTCTGGCAACGAGTCGACACAAGTCACCACGAATGGGCAGACAAAACCGGATGGTCAGACGGTCACTACGGGTGGGGACTCGGATTCGAACACATCACATTTCCTCCAATCCCCATCCCAGCAAGGGGTCTCGACAACGGAGCCAGTCTCGGAGAAGAAACCAGAGGATGGAAACCAGGCCAACGTTACGAAGTCATGAGTTGATCCGGTCCTGTTGACTTGACCCCTTACCGCCTCTTCCACATCTTTACACCATTCCATTCTTCCGTTTTCTATCCACTCATCGGACCCATTACCATCATCATTATCATCATCATGATCGTCTTAGCATCTTTACCCCCGCTTCAATCTCTATTATTTCTTTTCTCCTGTTCCCAGGTCGGAACGGAATGTGAACTTTGAACTTGAACTTTGATTGGAATATACCTGAAAATGGTGAAATGAAACATTCATCTCATATCCACCATTTTCATACGAATTGGGAAGGAGAATCGTCCTGCGTTTTTCTTTTTTACTACTCACTTTGCATGCATATCACATCACTACACACCTACATTACTTACCTACTTACATATCATTATCCATGATCCGATAGAGTTCCATGATTCTGAATCATCCGATCCTATCCTGACAGTCCCTCCCCCTTATCTTTGCCCTGACCCTGATTCCCTAGCATGGAATGCTAGCAGTTATCGGAATAGTAAAGAAATCGGAAGGGGACGGGCCAGTCAGTTATCTACACGGCCTTGCCTTGCCTGGACCGATATTATCTGATCTTATCTACATTATGAAATTTTTTGTAAATACGGCTCACTGTGTTTCTTTGACTGTTTCTCTGTCTGCATGTGTTCGTTTGCCCTTTTCTTTTCTTTTCTTTTCTTGTCGTCTCCGATTTCTGTCCTTCGACTTGTAAGGAAGGAGACCGGTCATATCTGTCCCTGTTTTGTACTCTTCAGCGTCGGCGTCGCATTGCATTAGATTCTATCTATCTATTCCATTTCTTTTACCTATTCTTCACAATTATAAAGACCAAATGAACCGACTGGCCTTCGTTAAACTCAAGTGAATGTAAGTTTAAACATTGGTATCGTATTCGTGTTTCTGAAGCTTCTGTCTGTCTGTCTGTCTGCCTATCTGCTTTCTTTCCGGTTTTATCTGTGCGTTGCTTATGCGATGTGATTTCTTTTTGAGTTCTTTTTACTCCTACCGTGCCTGTCCTATCCACGAGATGGACTTTTTTGAGTTGAGAAGAGAAGAAAGAAAGTAGAAGAGCGGAAGGTAAGGAAAGAGCAAAAAGGCGGGAAAAAAGAATATGCAAGATGGAATTGGCAAGTAATGAAGTCAACTCATATGATACTGTAATGTTCCCAAGAGATCAAGTAGAACGAAGAGAGAGATAGAGAAAGAGGGAGTATAAAGCAGCAGACGGAACTGAAATAGAAGCAAATTAAAGAAAAGAAAAAAAAAAGGTACAGCTTGAGTTAATCAACCCAGCAGATCATCGAATGCCGAACCCCCCGGCTTAGACCCTTGCTGAGTCTGAGGAGTCTGAGGGGACGAGGCCGGGGCGCCCCAGATGCCGGCGCTGGCTTTCTCCTTGGCCATGCTGGCGAGGTTGGGGCCTTTGCTGGCGTTGGAGGAGGATTTCTGGAGACCGGCCGTGGCACTGGCGTTGGTCCAGAGGGAGCCAAAAGCGTCACCGCCGGAGGACTTGGACGCGGCGGGCTTGGCAGCGGCGGAAGAGGTGGTGGCGGAGCTGAAAGAGGAGGCGGACGGCATGCCAGGTCGGTGGCCGGAGATGGTGGAGGAGGACGGGGCCGCGTTGTTGGCGTTGACGGAGGTGAAGTAGTTGGGGGTGGCGGCCTGGAAGCCCGTGGGCTTGGGCTGGAGCGGCTGCATGGGCTTTTGCTGCTGGGGCTGCATCAGGGAGCTCTGCGACAGCGTGGGCGAGGCCATCGTGCTGGAGGTGGGAGTTGGGGTCATCGAGGTGAATCCGACCAGACCGTTCAGGTTCGAGCCTTGAGTCCCCGAGACCGGCTTGGGGGCCGCGAACTGAGTGCTCGAGGTTGTGCTGGCGGTCGAGGCGGGCGGCGGAATGCCGAACTGGTTCGACGACGACGCCGCCGGGGCCGCCGGGGTTGCGGACTGGAAATCGTCAAAGTCGTCATCGTCGATGGGTTTGGCATCGAGAATATCCAGGCCGTTGCTGTTGCCGGCCGCAGGTTGTTTACCGGCCGCCGTAGACGTCGTCGCAGGAGCCGAAGTGACAACCTCCTCGTCTCCGAAGTCGAAGAGATCCTGTTGCGGCGGCGCTTTCGGAGGCTCCGGCTGTTTGGTCTCTCGCCGGGGAGCAGCACGCGGAGGACTGGGGCGAGCAGCCGGAGCGGCGTCGGCTTCATCATATTCGTCATATTCGTCAAATCGGTTGCCGTGGCGCGCGGAGGTCTCCTGGAAGTCGCTCGAGGCACCTCCGAACCCGCCGCCATCGCCGAACACGCCCCCGCTATATCCGCCGAAGGACATGCTCTCGCTGCCAAAGCCGCCATATCGTCCGCTCGAGCCCGAAAATCCTCCTCCCACAGACGCGCCGCCCTCGAATCCGCCGAACTTGTTGCGATTGGCCCTGGCCTTCTTGCGCTCGGTGCGGATCAGGTCGACATCACCGAGCAGCTTAACCAACTCCGACGACCGGTTGCGCACGTTGATTCCCTGATCCTTCCCGTTCTGGTCGATGAAATGGAATTGACGGAGCATTCGGAGCAAGGACATGTGCGATCGGGCGTCGTCAACCACTCGTTCCGATCCGTTCTTTACCAGGAATTCCAACAGTTGGAGGCCCTGCCGGGTTGAGCGCGAAAGCGTTAGCACAACCTTGACGAAAACAACCGTGGATGGATGAACATGTAATGTACCTTGTAAATCTGTCGCCATTCCTCCGCGGTCTTGTCTGTGAAACGCTTGTAGATCAAGGGCATAATCTCGTTGAGTAGTTGGCTGTGTGGACTCGAATCAGCACCCGGTCTTCCTGCGCCACAAGGCGAAACATCTCGACGGGGAGGGGGGAGGGTGGAAGATGACTGACTAGCTATGAGTTCCGTTGGCGATTTCCTGCATCAACGTGGTCGAGGCGCCCCATGGTTCGTTGTTGGTAGCTTCTCGGACCTATTAAAGATGAGCAACCAAGACACCGAAAGCAAGCAATTCCCCGCAACGGCATCGAGGAACGGAGGACTCGGAGAGCGCGGAACTAGTTGGCGAAGTGACGAACCTTAGACTCCATCTCAGTGTAGTTCATCACCGCTGGAGAGAGTTAGTCAAAAGCTCTGAGCACGCCCAAGAATGGCTGCGCAGTAGAAAGCTGGGGACTCACCATTCTGGACCTTGCGGACGCCCGCCTTGAGGTCATACAAGGTCAGGTTGCTGACCTGGTCTTTGAGGTTGTTGAAATCCATGATGCTATGAGCCCAAACGAGAAGAATCTCACGCTTTCAATTGGGACAAGAGCAAGGACAGGCCGAGGGGAACGAGAGCGCGAGGGGGAGACGAGCGGGAGTCGAGGAAACAATCGATCCAGCTGGCATCGCCGTTGGGCTCCAAGACGCGGCGGTCACGTGGCAGCCCCTGAACTGCCTGCGAAACGTCCAGTTAATTAATTCATTAATTCCCTTCATGTCTGTGGTTTTAAATCGGAAGACTCCGGCAAAAAAGAGAGAATGATTAATTTCACGCCTACTTCATTCTACGGGGGGCCTACTTGCTGCCATGGAAGATTCAAAACTATCATTGCCAGGACGACACCATGTACTAAACACTACTACTCGATACATACATACATGAATCGTCGAAATCATCACAAAGAAAAAAAAAAGAAAAGAAAAGAAAAATAACGCACAGGGTAACAAAAATGCAGAGTCAATCATGTCATAAAACCAAAGCGTGCAAAACGTAACAAAGGGGTAATCCGAAGCGTAAACAATCAAGGAGCAGGTGCCAGTTGATACATCATGTTGGGTAGGCTTTTTTCTGTACCTGACACATCATAAAATAAAGGAGTATGTCCTGAAAGAGTGTGTGCATCATAAGCAAAGAGGAGAATAGAGAGGAAGTATTGAAAAGTCACAGGAAAGGGGAAGGGAAACAAAAAAAATAAACAGATAAACACCGTAAAATCCCGTCATCAAAACTGCAAGGCAATCATTCATTATAGAATTTCCTCATGATCAGATGAAGAAAAAGGTTGACGTTGACTCGTAATTGCCCCTCGAAGAAGTCCAAGAACTGCATGTTATTGAACTGGGCCTGCAGCAGATCGTCCAGCGGCACCTGAGCATTGGCGCCAGGGACCATCATCGGACCACTACTTCCATCGAGGGTAAACACTCCGACCTCGTTGCTTGAAATGGTCAGGTCAACTCGGTCCCATTGGCGCTCGGTGTATCCCTTCCAATGGACCAAGACACCCTTGTCTGCCAGGTTGCGGGCTGAATACTTGTAGGAACCAAACTTGAAGACTTTGCCGGACTTCTGGAGCTCGCGCTGGTGATCCCATTGCTTGGTAAACGGCATGAGGAACCGCTTCTTGCCCTTCTTGTTCTGCAGTGTCACCATTGCCTGTTCAATGTAGTCGTTGTATGTCTTCAGCTGTTGGTCCAGCCAACCAGCTTGGTCATTCAGTCGAGTCATTGTGAGGCGAGTACTTTCCAGTTCACGCTGTCGCTGAATCCGTCGGCGGTGTTTCGTTCGGATATCAATGGCGATTGCATTGAGAAGATCTTGGTAATAGTTGTCCCGGCGAATTCTGCTGCTTTGTTCGAGGTGGAGAATATTCTCAAGTGCCGTTCGCTTCAACTCCGCGTAGCTCATGGAGGCGATGTCGACCATGGTGTTGGCGTCGGAGTAGGCACTTTGCCGCGTGTTGTTTGCGCTTAACTCGTCGCGCACCAGCGTCATCCATTTTTCCTCGTCTTCTTCCGTCGGGGGTTTCACCATGATGTCCATGAGGTTGGCACCCGTTTGAACCCGGATGATGTATAGCACGCATCGTTTGGTTTCCATGAACAAGGCCTTGATACCCGCCTCCGGATCTGCATGAGTCAGGTTAGTCAATTTGTTCTTTGAACTGAGGATAGTTGGCGGCATTACCTTCGGTCTGCGCAAGCTTGGGGTTCAAGGTGAGATTGATTTCCGAGGAATTGACGCTCATCAGCTCGTTCTCGTTCGATTTGACATTTCCGAGATCACGTATGATCTCTTTCAAAATATCATCGGGATTCGGGCAGATGTAATGGATCTCCGAAGCGACCAGCTGATGAATAGAGAAAATATCGGACATTTTAATGTATAGAGTCGGCTTCGTCTTGGCGTACAGATCGTTGAACTCGTCGATATCAAAATAGGCCTCGGCGTCTTGCACCGTAATCACTGTAATCCGTGTCAGTTCTCTTCTTTCCAAGTTATGTATTGAACCAAAGCACTACTTACTGTCGCCCCATATTTGACCAAGACGTTGGATTGAATCTCCAATGTAACTGTTCAATGGCTGGAGATAGACATTCTCCGCGCCGAATAGTCTTCCGGATGCTACCTGAGCAATCACCTTGGCGATCTCCGACAGGTTTCGCTTCTGCTCCTGGGTAAGACCGCGATCAACAACGCCATACTTCTCAGGTTCCACCAAAGCGGGCTGGAAGTAGTTTCTCCACACCCAGTGGCCCGCGGTCTGGAGAATAAGTCCGGGGTCTTCTTTGGAGAACCGAGCGAGCAGGCTCTCATACATCTCCTTTGCGACATATCGAATGCCAAAGGGCATGCGGTAAAGGAGTTCCTCAAAAGCGGCGAAGAATTGATCAGCAATGTCACGAAGGTCCTGCAGGTGCTGAATGAATGTCGCTCTGGTCTCTGGGTCCCGAATCGCCTCTTCCCGAGGGATGTCCGGACGACGACGGCTTCTTTTGCCCGTTCGAAGTTCTTCGTCATTCATAGCGGAGCGATAGATCTGCATTGGGTCGCTCTCCAGGTCCAACTCGGGGTTGTCGATCACATTCTCTCGCACCACGGTGCCCAAGACATCACGCATGAACTTCCGATCCCGCGGCGATTTGATGTACGATGCGAAGAGTTTGTTCCAGAACGAGTTGCAGCGAAGGTACTCATGCAGCGAATCGAAGCTCTCAATCTCCTCCCTGGCAGAGCGCGCCAGGAGTTTAATCAGGTAGTACTCCTCACGTCTCTTCTGAGAGTATCCGAAAAGCCCCATCATCAAGTGTCGAATCCGCTCATACTCCTTCTCTGCCGTGTTCAGCTCACGTAATCGTCGGAAGAGCTTGGCAAGATATTGGGACTGCGTTTGGAGAAGGAAGAACAGCACCTGGTACTGGTCCAACTTCCTTCGTGACGTCTTGTTCAAGGCCTTCAGGTCGAAAGGGTCCTTTGAGGAAATTTCGCGGTTGGGCAGAAGGCTGCCGACATGGCCGCCGAAATGCCTCTGGTGCTTCACAACTTCATCAAGTGTGATCTTGTTTTTCACCAGAAGAGCAATCTTGATATCGAGTTGGCTGATGTATTGCTCCGCCAGTTCGTTTTGTCGGACCTGTTGTACGACCACCTTCCGCATGCGTTCGAATTCAATTTCCTCGTCAAAGTCGAATTCACTGTCGTTGAGAAGATGCACAAAGCCCTTGACCGTTCCGACCGGTGGATTTTTGCCACTTGTCAGGCTCTTGTATGCTTGTCCCTGTATTCTACCTCTTACAAAGCTCTGTGCCTTGATGACCTTCTCCATGTTGGCCCGGTAATAGCGTCTCTTCTCTTCGAACTTTGCGCGAACAAGGTGTCCTCGAATGTGTGACTGAAGATCGGTGATGACATCTTCCTCGGCAGCCAGGTCCGCTAGATCCTGTCCGACATCCACGCGGACAAGCATTGCCCGAATATGCGCCTGGAGTTGACTGATTTCATCTTCGCAGTCTTCCAGATCCTCGAGTATTCCACCCACTTCAATACGCAGAATCGCCGCTCGAGCAAGAGCTTGGAGATCGATGATGGTAAGTTCCTGCTGTTGCAAGGCATCCGCATCAGCTTCGAGGCGTCGCCTTAAGAGCACTCCGCGAGCCATAGACTGCAGGTCGAGAATTTGGGCGCTCTCATTTTCCAGGGCTTCCCGCTGCGAGTCTAGGTGTGCTCGGAGAGCCTGTGCCCGGAGCATGCTTTGAATGTCGACAATCGACGGCACGTGCTCGGCCAACTGAGATCGAAGATGCTCGAGACGCTCCCGGAGAGTGCCTCCACGCACTGCAGCCTGTAGATCAATGCATTGGTCCTCCGTCTTTGAAAGGGCTTCTTCCAGCTGAGCCTGGTGCTTTCGGACTGCCAAAGCTCTTGCCCCGGACTGAATTGCAAGGATGGATGGTGTCTCTTTGGAAAGCATGTCATGTGTGCGCGCCACAGAGCTGCGGGTCAGCATTCCTCGAATCACTGCTTGTAGGAGCTCTGCGTTGCCCTTGGCATCGTCTATCTTCGCGTACTGGGCGCTCATCTGTTGCCGGAGGAAGGCACCCCGTACGAAAGCCTGCAGATACTTCACACTGTCTTCGGCAGACCGAGTCGCATCGTGTTGCTGTGAGAACCGTTGACGCTGGAAAGCTCCTCTGATTGCGGCTTGAAATAGCTGAACTCCACCCTCTGCGTCCTCGAGATCCGCATATAGATCGCCCATCTCTTTGCGCTTCAAGGCTCCTCTGATTGCGGCTTGTAATAGCTGAACTCCACCGTCGGCATCCTCGAGATCCGCATACAGATCACCCACCTCTTTGCGCTGTAGGGCACCCCTAATAGCGGCCTGGAAATGCTTGACGCCGGATTCCGCTTTGCGCATCTGACTTCGAAGATAGTTCACTTGGGTTCTGGCCTTGGAAGCTCTTATGATTGATTGCAGTTGCAGTACATCGAACTCCTGAGCTTGGTAGCTTTCCATATCGCCCTTCTGGCGAGATCGCACGATAAATCCCCTGCAGCTGGCTTGGAGGTTGATGGCGAATTTTCGCATGTCCATTCGATACTGGATGACCTGACGAGCCCAGTCGCCGCGGAGTCGCGCTTGGAGCTCAACCAACAAAGGTTCGAAATCCCATAGATCGTTCATCAAGTTCCCAAGTTGCAGTCGCAGCATTGCGCCCCTAAGCTGCGCTTGAAATTCTGCGATGGCCGCCTCATTCTCGTGCAGTTCTCGGTGAATTCGATCCTCCTCAGACTCAGGCTCAGGCTCCGGTTCAGGCTCCGCGCCGAAGTTGGCCGCCATCCCCGAGAAACTGGGCATGCTCACACCCGCCTTGTCAAGGCCCTTTTGCATCTTCTCAAGTTCATGGTGCTCGAATTCCAGCTGACCAACCAGATTACCCATTCGAAACTCGACGAGCCCCTTCTTGAACAAGAGCCATGACAGCGCATGGATACAGTGGATGACCTTGGGGATGTTTTTCTTCTCGTACAAGTCGATCAATTCGAATCGGAAAAGCTCTGGCAGCTCGACCTCGTCCAGTAACCGGAAGAACAGGGCGATGTTGTCGGAATGGCGATATTGCAGTCTGGCGTGTCTGAATATTCGAAAGTTGCGGTTCGGATACATCGCCTGGACGACCTCTGCGAGAGTAACTCCATCCCGAAGAGCTTCTTCAAGCTGAACAATGGGCGGGATCTGTTTCTGGATCACTTCTTCAATCCACTCCTTGGCTTCTCCGATATGGCAAAGATACTCGTACGCCTGCAGGAACTGTCGCTGTTGATCCATCCAATTTCCAGCCGTCCATGCCGATGCGTTCTTCCTGGGTGTCGCAGCCGGGCCATGGCTGACAGATACTGAGTCTGTACGCTTCAAGCGTCGTCGTCCTAGCAAGCCCACGACGGACGGAGTATGGCTGTCGAGTGCAAACTCTTCGGTCTCGCCGGACTTGGCAAATTTCGACAACGTCCGGAGATGGCCAGTTGATGATTTTTGAAAGGTCTCCAGGTCCGGCGCAGACAAAGCTGTCTTGAAGGCAGGTGGATTTGACAAGCTGTGTGAATGGTGCGCTTTGGGCTGAGTGGGGGTATGGGGTGAAGCGGGTCGAGGAGAGTTATGTCGAGGCGAGCTAGTTGTTGGGGGAGTCTGCGAGGTGTACAAATCTTTTGACTTCAGAGGTTCAACCTCTGGATGATTTGGTGGGCGTGATTCGGGGGTCTGAGGGCGGTTCTCTTTCCAGTATTGGGGGTTATCGATCGTTTGGCTCCGTGAGTGCCGGTAGACGGACGGTTTGCTGACCGGCGGAGAGGCATTTGGGGCCTGGGGCAGTGGTCGCAATGAACGGCGAATGTTCTCGTACGTCGTGGCGGCACTGGAGGTACCCGCTCGGGGGGTCTTGTCGCCAGACATGGCGTTGTACTCGCTTTTGCCCCTCTTGTGGCCCATACTGGTTACAGACCCAATCGAGGCATTTGATGAAACCGTACTCGTGCGACCCGGAGCAAATGAATTTGACGAGATGGAGTAGATCGACGAGTTTGTAGATGCTGTGGACCCATGACGGAGCGGACTCGAGGTGTCGGTCGAAAAGTCCGTCTGTGTGCGTCGCAGGGAGGCTGGTGAGATTGTCATCACGGGTGGAAGCTCAGAGACAGGAGTGCGGAGATCAACGACAGAGTAGGAGTGTCGAGCTCAATTGGCCGCATGCCTGCTTCGCCAACCGAAGCAGTAATCCGACGGACTAACGCGATGAAATCGAAATGCGAAGTGCGAAATTCAAGGGCCCAACAGCGGCATGACCCTTCGGCGGAAATAATCGGGTTGGTATAGAAACGGGACCAAGACCTAGAGACGGGAGGGCGGATGGTGAGAAAAAGGAAATAGAAGAAGGGTATCAAGAAAAACAAAGTGACTGAAAAGTGGACGTGGTCTGGATCGCGAGAATGACGGGTCCGAGTGGTCGCGAATTCCCAAGAGATCTCGAGAGACAATCGGAAGGAGCGAGGGAGGGAGGGCAAGCGGGGGGAAACCAGAGTAAATCGGAAGGCACGTCCCAGGGAAAACAAATCTCCTGATCGGGCATGGTCGCTCCGTCAGGTGACTGCGCCACTGCCCGTGACGTCGATCCTCAGCCACTTTGCCTTAGAAAGGAATCAATTCATATTGAAGGCTTCACAATCGGAAGACGGTGTATATCGATGAGATCTATTTGCATTCTCTCATAGCGTATACATACTGTCTCATTACTATCTATCTACGGAGTATCTACATCGCAGGAATCTGATCGGTCCCAACGATCCATGACCCACTATCGGCCATTTTCCCCTCATGTCGAAGAGGAACGTGATAAAACCGGTCTCTGCCAAAGCTGGACCTATCACTTGTACCTGCATGTCTTGATGAACACAGCATTTATATGACAAGTATCCTTTCTCCGTCATTCAGCGGCAATCGGGATTATTAAGCTTCGTCAGACGCGATGCCAGTCTTCAGCGGGATCTATAGCATTACAGATGAGTTACGAAATACACAAAATTTATTTTTTTTTTGATTCATTACGCCCCACTCAAATCGGGATTTGACTCCGGTATATGTCATGCAGATGAAATCATATCCCCATTCTATCAGAACCATCTAATCTAATTGCCCATCTGAAAGAACATCCATAAGTCTATGACTCAGCCAGAGCCGGTCTCGAGTCCGGTTCCGCCAATCGACACCCGATCCCAAGGTCAATCCGGCACGAGGATTGCGCCACCCCCATATATCTGCCATGGGTTCTTGCAATTGGCTCTTATATCTGGAAAATGGGAGCCCAGGGAGGCACAAGTAAGATCGATGACGAATTTCCAAGTAAGCGCCCACCTGGGACCAGCGCATGCAGAGGGACAACCATGAGATAAACTGACGTGCTTGGCGCCCTGTTATACCTTATGTAACCGCAGCCCCACCACTTCCCCTCCATCTGTCATACTAATCTTATTATTCCTGCACAAATTCCAATCGGTCGAGAACCACACACCGGACAGCAAAATGACCGACGCCGAACCCGCCTTCGTCTACAAGGTCGTGCCGTCGACATCTCCGGTGCGAGAGCCGCTACCGGAGCGCCTGCCGGTCAGCGAGATCGACGAGACCTCCAAATTTGTTCACCTCTCCACGGCGTTCCAGGTGCCCAATACGCTCAAGTTCTTCTTTAAGGACGAGCCTATGGTCTACATCCTTCGCATTCCTTACTCCCGCGTCGCGCCGAATATTCGCTGGGAATCGCCCGAGGGCAATGTATGCGGACCGCGGCCCAAGGAGGGATTGTTCCCGGTAAGCTCTATCTTCAGGGCCCATTCTTATGGATTGCTGGAAAAAGCATACCATGCGCGTGTCTTGGAGGTAATTTAATGTTCTAATCGGCATCTAGCATCTATACAACGGTCTCAAGATAGGCAAAGACGAGGTTGAAAGCATCGGCATCTGGACGAATGATGCGGGATGGGACAAGGCACTCACGCAGGCCCGGCCGTGGCTTTTGTACTAGGCCTCTGCAATCAGGGGCATGTCTTACTGCTATCGTTCATTGTACATATCTTTGATACTATTTGTGGGGATGGCCATAACGTGGTCATGTGAAGACCCTTGGCTTTCTTTCTCCCAATTTCAGTCTTCTGGCTTCTCCCGACGCGATTCTCGGAGAAGCCCTTCTATTCCGAAGGAGTCAAAGGAAACATATATCCAGCTATACGGCGTGTTAGTGAATACGATTACTCACAAAGCGAAGGCGATTAAACTCACAATACAGTGAAGCCTTCGAGCTAGCCAAAAAGACAAAGCTTGTTGCAACCTCACTCGGCTCGGCAGATTGAAGCAGAATCCGGTTCCTGCCCCAGATTTCCCGCTCGGCTGCCCTTTGAACGGCCTTGTAAATGTCCCCAGGGCTATTGACAGTCAGCTTTGTCATCTCCGACCATAAGGCTCAATGAGCAAGACTTACGCTACACCATTAACCCGAATGCCTTTCGGGATCAATTGAGCCGCCAAGGACTGAGTAAAGCCGACCATGGCACCTTTCGTGGCTGCGTAATCTACCAAGGTATGCGAGCCGTGAGAGTGAATGACGGAGGTGGTGTTGATGATGCTAAGATAAGGTTAGCCTCCGCTGGTCTCATTTCAGGATAATCATGGTTATCTGTATTAGGATGGATGTCTGGACTCACGAATCTCCCCTCGACATAAACGGTAGTGCATATTTTGCCATAGCAATTGTCTGGACGACGTTGCCTTGAAAGACTGCCCCTATCCTATTGTGGTCAAGGCGTGATAGGTCTCGATACATATTCTGCCTCGACGCATTATTCACCAGGACATTTAGTTTCTTGAACCTAATGAGAGATCAGCACCCAATGTATCCACAAGACTGTCTCATGCGAGCTCCACCAACCTGCGAATATGCGCCTCCACCGCCCTCCGACAATATTCTCTCTTGGACAAATCCCCCGCGACGAGAAGACACGCTCGATCTTCAGATTCCACCAGTCTTCTTGTGTCTTCTGCCTCCTCGCTTTTTTCCGGGTGATGCGCAATCGTGATATCGGCGCCTTCTTTCGCCATGAGGATCGCGACTAATCGGCCGATTCCAGAACTATACATCATGTTAGACCTTGATGCAGTAATCTCGGAAATAAATAAAGACACATACTCTCCATCTGTAATTAGGATCTTCTGACCCTTCAGCTTCCCGGATCCCTCATACTGGATAAAAGTGCCAATAGGCTCCGACCTGCGTTGGACGGGTCCTTTACCGGTATCTATCATGTTTGCAGGGCGTGATGTTCAAACCTGGTATGGCAGGCAAGAAAGATGTCATTTCGCGAGAAAAGAGACAAGAGACACGAGACAAGAACAGCTCCCCAATCCCATTCTTCACCGTTACATCCAGCCTTTCCCACCCGTAGGTAGTAGATTCCATAGTTCCGCAAACGACTCCAGCAGACCGCCAAGCCGGAGATACCCCAACCTCAGCATGCTAATCTCCGAATCCACCACGTTACTGAATCAATCCTCTCCAGTTCCACTGCTGTAAGCATAACAATCATCCCTCTACCTACTCATCCACCACCCCAATTCCCCCCATCCATCCATCGCATCCCAACCAAACCCCACGAACCCAATCACCCAAAATGAAACTTCTCCCCACCCTCCTCCTCGCCCTCACCTCCCTCGCCGCCGCCGCCGAGCTCGGCATCGAAACAACCCACAAGGTCGACTGCACGCGCAAAACCAAGAAGCACGACACCATCCAGATGCACTACCGCGGCACCCTGGCCGCCGACGGCTCCGAGTTCGACGCCAGCTACAAGCGCAACCAGCCCTTGCGGTTTATTCTGGGTGCGGGACGCGTTATTAAGGGGTTCGTGATTCCCCTTTCTTTACCTCTATCTCTACTTGACTCTGGCCCTGACCTTGGTCTGGTCTTGTTGTTGTTGCTGTTTTTTTTTTCTGTGTTATTTGTGGGTATATGCTGATGCTTTGGGGTAGATGGGACCAAGGACTCCTGGACATGTGTGTGGGCGAGAAGCGCACGTTGACGATCCCGCCGGAGTACGGATACGGGGACCGTGGCATTGGGCCGATCCCCGGGGGCTCGACGTTGATTTTTGAGACGGAGTTGGTGAAGAATGAGGATGCGGATGACGAGGAGGAGGAGGCGAAGGCGAACGTTCAGGATGAGCTGTAGACTCCCGTCGCTTCTGTCTTCGTCGTTCTGTTGGGGTCAAGGAGGGTGTCTAGTACCACTCTAGTACTCCCGTACAGTATAGTATGATGGCATCATATGGATGTATGACAAGATAACGAGCATTGCAGCGATGGGTTTTGATCTTGTACAGCATACCAAAGGGTATCAATTCCTAGTCCAATATAAGAGTATCTATCAAGTCTAATGTACATGTCCTTTGCAAATCTATATATGCCGGATCAAATGGGCAAAGCGTCACATCCCGGACATCAAGACGGATCAATCCATCGCATCGAGCTTATTCTCACTCCCCTCGTCGTTCTCCGAGACCAGGATCCCAACTAAACACTCCCCCAGAATAGCATCCCAGTTCACCCACGGATGGATCTCGAAGAACAGCTTCGCCGAGTCCTTGCCGGCGCCGCGAAGCAACTCGCCCCTCCCACCGGGGTGGAACGGAAGGTACGGCGTGATGTTGTAGACCTTGCCCTGGTAGGAGGTCCAGGCGTCGGTGCCCTTGCGACCGTTCTGCGCCTTGAGCTGCGACGGCGTCACGCGGATCAGATGCGGCGGGAGGTTGGCTCCGCGCAGGTTGTTCTTCGGGTTGGAGGTGAGGGCAGCCCAGTCGAGCGGCGAGTAGCCCGGTTCGAGGACGGCTCGTTTGGCCGGGGTGGACGGCTTCGCGGTGAGTTTGGCCGGGGCGAGGCTGTTTGGCGAGCGGTTGGGAAGGGGGCCGCGCATGGAGGAGGCGGCCGAGGGGGGCGGACGGAGGGAGTTGGAGCCAGTGGTGGGACGCGGGGGGACTCGGCCTGCAGTCAGGGACGGTTGGGACGGGGGCTGCTGCTGATTCTGCGACATGTTCGGGCGCAGTCGCGGCGGCGGAGGGGGAGGCATTAACGAGGAACTGGAGGCGTTGGGCTGACGGCGCGGCAGCGGCCCCGTTGGCGGAGGCATCAGCGAGTCTTCGGGCGACGGTGCCGTCGGGATTGCGACAGGCTTTGCCGATCCATTTTGAGGTCGCTCTTCTTGGGGAGGGAGAGGGAGGTTCTCGTCGGGCGAGGGTTGCGCGATCGAGGATGAGCGGTCGGCGTCGAGACTGAACGTCGGGACCTCGAGGGACGGCGTGCTCGATGCGGACGCTTTAGGCGTCGACTGGGATTCCTCCGCGCTCGTGTCTTCAGCCTCTACGGGCTGTGACTCTGGCTGCTTCGTCTCATCGCTGATGACAGGCGGTTTTGGCTCGTCGGATGTCGATCTCGGCTGGGGCGGGGGGGAATCCGGCGTCCAAGACGCTGGGGGATATTTGTAAAGCACGAAACAGGCGGTCGCAATGAGTGTGACCACTCCTACCCAGCCCATGCTGGGAGTTCCGAAGATATGGGGAGAGACTGGGAGTATGAAAAGGGATGAGATGGAATCGATTATTGATTTCACCAAATCGAGACGGTGATGATGACTAATGGTGGGAGATATGTGCATAAGCATGCATAAACATTGGTTGTGCTCTGCCTTTACGTGCTCACGGCGCAGTACATCCTGTCTATTTAGAAAGCAATAGGTCGGTTTATTCTTGTTGCGACATAAATCAGACTTGAATCGGAGGTATTCTCTCAATCTTGGGCTGTCATCAGAGGTCTGCTGCATTTGCAACCTTGAACCGTTATACATTTTTGAGAATAGTACACAGTAGAAATATTGATTATCGGCAGTTCCATCCACTTTAACATTAACCAATAAAGTTAGCGCTGATTGACACCATAAAACCCGGAAGTATAACCCTTCAAATACCTCAATGACCAGCCAAGCACATACAAGAAACAGAACAGCATGTACAACCAGCAAACTATCACACTCTTCTCGAGGGTCGCTCTCCCATTCAAGATCCAGTCTGAGCACATGAGCTACAGACACCCGTAGGAGGTCCGAGTTGCGGTACAGCGTAGGGTTACATTCGAGAGCGTGGGTCAAGCTAATATTTCTTTGTGTAGGAAGGTTTCTTTGTATAGAAACTGCGGGATGATATTAATCTCAGGACCGGCTGAACTTCAGTCTGGCACCAAGGTTAGGGCCTATCTCCGGACATGCCACTTGTCCGAGTCAGTCATGTACATACACGGTGGCCCGACCTGCATGTACTACGGAGAACATCCGAAGCAAAACAGCCTATCATTGAGCGATAACTGCTAGTCTGTCTAGTCCCGTGGAACTTCCAGAAATCGTCCTGACCGAGATTCCTCGCCTAAAGTCCAACAATCAGATAACAGCCATCGTCGAGCCTGACCGGATCAGGCAGGAGAATAATCGTTCAGCCCCTCCACGAAGCATCAGCAGCGATAAAAGGAACGCCCTAGCTCTGCTCTCGACCAATGACCCCTCGAGCGGATGTTAGGCCAGCGCGTATTTGCCTTGGACCCTCGAGACTGGCCGGTAACTGCCGGTGATTGGACCCCATTAGGGCTTTGTGCAGACACGTCGGACGTTGTATCATATCTTCTTTCTTTCATCCTTTCTTCTGCGCAGTTGGGGTCCGGGCTGGGCTGGGGACGAGTCTAGTTTGAAATACAGTCAGCTGCGACGTGCACGAGACTCGGTTTCATGATCCTATAGTCGGTGTCACCTTGCGTCGTGGTGTTGGTTGCTCCGGGGAACTTCCTGTAAGTCTGTCCTACTTATTCACTCTGCCACCCACTCCATCCCAGCTCCATGTCTTCATCCAACCACCAGACCATCGAATCCTATCCTCACCCCTCCTCATCCTCCTCCCAAACAATCTAACCCGCCAAAATGACCCCCGCAGGCCACATCGGCCGCAACCACGCTCACCTGCGCTGGTCCAAGAACCTCGCCCCAGCCCAGACCATCACCTCCGGAGAAACCATCACCTTCGACGCCATCGACAGCAGCAACGGTCAAATCACGCCAGACTCAGACGTCCGCGCCCTCAGCGCCTTCGACATCAGCATCGCCAACCCGGTCTTCGGCCCCGTCTTCATCGAGGACGCGCAGCCCGGCGACGCGCTGAAAGTCGAGATCCTCGCCCTCGAAACCGCCTCCTGGGGCTGGTCCGCCGTGATCCCCAACTTCGGGCTCCTCTCGTCCGACTTCCCGCACGCCAGCCTGCGCATCTGGCACCTGGATCGCACCACCCAGACCGCCACCCTCCCCGACAACGACCGCGTGCGTGTCCCCCTCCGCCCGTTCCTCGGCTGCATGGGCCTCGCCCCGGCCTCGGACGCCGATCTGTCCGTGATCCCGCCGAACCCGGCGGGCGGGAACATCGACTGCTGCGACCTGACGATCGGGTCGGTCGTGTACCTGCCTGTGCAGACGGCGGGGGCGCTGTTCAGCTGCGGCGACGGCCACGCGGTGCAGGGCCACGGCGAGGTCTGCGGCACGGCTATCGAGACGCCCATCAAGGCGACGCTGCGGTTCGAGGTCTGCAAGGGCCAGGCGTGGGTGAAGACGCCGCACTACGAGATCCCGGCCTCGGTGTCTGTGTCGGCGGGAAATGCGGCGCTCAGTCAGTCGGGCCGGTATGCGGCGACGGGGCTAGGGTCGGACCTCGTGGAGGCGTCGAAGGAGGCTGTTCGCAGTGTCATCGAGTGGATGGTCGCTACGAGGGGATTGTCGCGCGTGGACGCCTACATGCTGGCTAGCGTGGTGGGCAACCTGCAGATCGTGGAGGCGGTTAATATGCCGAAGTATTTGGTTTCGATGGCGATTCCGTTGGGGGTTTTTATAGATGCGTGAGTCCGAATGGTTGGGGTGTTTCTTTTCTTTGGTTAGTTTTGGCGATGGTAGATACTGCAATATTTAATGAACGAGGGTCTTGCTGGCATTCGAGTAATCCTCAATGCATCTATTTTCACCATAATACCCATCATTTTTAACCCTCAACCCCCCATGCCCTTCACATACCAAACCCTCCCAATAACCACCTACCCAAGTACATAACATAACTACACCTCCCTAACCCTAACCTTACAAGGCAACCCATCCGCCGGATGCGCGCCCCCCAGTGGAATCTGATAAGCGCGCTCCCCAAACACCGTCCTTACACCATTTCCAGGAAGCGGATGAATCCGATCCCACTGCTCATACTGATCTGTGAAATTAAACGCCCTCACCGTCAACGCCAACGTGATCTTAATATCCAGCAGAGCGAGATTCTGCCCCACGCAGTCGCGCAGACCGTGCTCGAAGGGCCGCCACGCCCCGCGCGCCGGGTAAAGCGGATCCTCGGGGCCGACGAGCCAGCGGTCAGGGAGGAACTCGTGCGGCGAGGGCCAGTAGTCGGGGTTGCGGTGGATGGCGCCGTGGATGATCCAGATGTAGAGGTTGGAGGTGGGGAAGAGGGTTCCCTGGCGGTGGGAGCGCAGGTTGACGTTCGGTTGGCCTTCGCGCATGCCGGAGGCGGGAGAGAATAGGCGCAGAGTCTCTTTGATGACAGCGAGGGTGTAGGGGAGACGGTTGATTAGTTCGGGGGTAGTGGAGAGCTGAGAGGCGGTGGTGGAGAGGTCGGGGCCAAAGACGGCGTCGTGTTCAGCGCGGACGCGGGCCAGGATGTCCGGGTGCTTAGACATGAGGTAGAGGCTGTAGACGATGGTGGAGGCTGTGGCGTCATGACCGACGAACAGGAAGAGGCGGATGTGTTGCGTTGCCCAGGTTTTGAAGGCCGGGTCGAGGTGTGAGGCAGTGTCCTGCTTTTTCTTCATGGACTCTGCGATCACGAGGTCCATGATGGAGCCGACTTCGACGGGGTTGTCGCTACGCTTCCATTCCTCGTAGCGCTTTTCGAGCTCTTGTCCGATGTAGCGGTTCATGGTGCGTCCGTTGTGCCATTCGATGAGGGGACGCATGGGGTTCCAGCGCTTGAAGGGGTTCAGTTCTTCGTCTTGACAGTGCCATTCGATGGAGCTGCGCATGGCGGCGGCGAGGGGGTTGTGTTGGCGTTGGGATTGGAGACGGGCGTTTCTAAGAGGTCAGTTGCTTCTATACTCGACCGGATCAGGGGTGGTAGGAGACTCTATGCTAGGTCGGAACATACAGGGTCAGAACGCCGATGATATCCATCACATAATCGCAAGTGATCTTATCGAGGAAGAACATATCGCCTTTCCTCGCGTGCTCGCGCAGAACGTCAACATACACCTCGGCCTCCTTGACGATCTTCGGCGCCAGTTTCATCAGCACATTCGTGCTGAAGCGATTGTTGAAGAGATCGCGCGATCGCTTCCACTCGGGCCCGTTCTGCGTGAACATGGTCGGGCCGCCAGCCAATGGGTCCACGAACGCGTTGAGAATATCCGGTTTGGGCAGTGCGTAGGTCTGGCAGGCCTGGACGGCCAGGTCGGGCGAGGTCACGACCAGCAGGGGCATGGTGAAGGGCCAGAGGTCGATGTAGAAGCAGGAGTCGGTCTCGGGGAAGTTCCGCGAGAGGATAGTGAAGGCGTCTGACTGTTGCGAGCCCTTGGGAAGCTGCTTCAGGAGCTCGGGGAGGACCTTGAGGTGACCAGCGACGAAATCCCATGTTGGCATTGGCTGGGAGGCATGGGTTAGGATAGTATTCGATTATTTGCGTTGTTCTGGGGAGAAAGAGGACGGGGGAACCTACCAGGCCCTGTTTCTTTAGTCGGTAGAAGATCATTCGCATCTTCACCAGTTTGTACAGGAAGACGACGAAGGCGGATAGAGCCAGGATGGTGAGTGCCTGGCCTGCAATGGCCTTCCATTCGAGGTTGTACATGAGTGATTTTCGGTCATGCTATTTTCAGGAAAATATTGGAGTGTGGGAAGGGGATAATAATAGTTATAAAAATACTTAAGGCTTTTCTTTGTCTAAAATCCCACGGTCTCCGTTTCCACTCGTGTCATACTTCTTAGGGCTAAGCTGATCCGCTCTTTGTCTCTCGAAATGGCGCCGCAGGATACGGCTGGACGAATCCCCAAGAAATCGTTTGTGGGGAGTGGTACAAATCCGTCCTTTCGTTCAGATAGATCCTTATTGCGATTCCTTAGATCTCGACATCGGTTCTCCTCGGCCTTACGCTGGTGGGCGTTCTTGTTCGATTCCTTATTCGATTCCGCATCCAACGACAGCGACCGAATGTCGACGATGGCTTGCTGGCCATGGCTCTTGCTCTGCTCCTTATCAGTATCGGTTTTATGCACGAGGAGGTCATCGACCGGATGTACTTCATCGTCGCGTTGCAGAGAAAAGTCGAAGGAGTCATTCCCAGTCCAGATTGGATGCAGGTCTCGTTTCAATTCCACAAATGGGTCACCATCTGCCTGATGATGTCTTGGTCTGCCATCATGGCGGTCAAGTTCAGCTTTCTCTTTTTCTTTAAACGACTAATTGATCGCATTCGGCCCTGGTGGATTTTTGACCTTTCTCACAAGACCATCTCGGCTTCAATCGATTATCACACTTTTTTTGATCCTCCTCGATGTGCTGTGATGACCTTTTTGGCCCCCAGAAGGGAGTTCAAAACGCAGCCTGACACCGTCTTTGTTTCGCTGGTTGCAAGGTACTATTAACATTATAGGGTTGGCCAGGGACAAGGGCTTCATTGGCCCCCTTTTCCTTGGCCTGGAAGGATACTGAGCGATGTTACTGTCTTTTTTCTATCCGTTTGGGTCTCAGCCTCACGCACAGCCCGAACCAGATGCCAGGCTTCAGATTTGTGTTCTATTGGAACCCAATGAATGTTACTATAAATACCAGGCACATCTTGGATTTCTTGCAGACTGAAAACTTGATTCTATCCTACTATAGTCTAGGACCTTATACGCTTCAATCCCTCGGAGCCACCAGAATGTCGGATCTACGTCAAGTTTGCGTGTTTTTCTTCATTTTGTCTATTCCCTTCTTGCTGGGCTACCTCGTCAACTGGGGAGTATACCATTGGATCAACCTCCGGCGAAGGACCGCCACGCCAGGTAAACAGGTGCCCCCCGATTTGCCGGTGATCTTCCCGGTCTTAGGGCACACAGTTCAGTTTCTGTTCGATGGCACAGCATTCGTGAAGAACGCGACGTGTGTTTCTTGCATCCCTGTTCCATTGGTCTTGTTGTCTTCAGTACGGACCAGTAACTAACAACATCGAACTATCAGGACATACTGGGGTCAACTCACATGCGTGAGGATCTCACTGCTGTTCAATGGCATCTATCTTTTCCAAGAACCGGAGGCAGTTGCCGCTATATGGAGGCACCCATTTCTGTCCAGTCCTATCTTCATCTACACCGTAGGTCTGCGGTACCTCTTCGGTATGAAAGAGAAGGCCATCGAGACTTACGCCGCCGACGATTCGGGGCCATACCGCAGACCTCACTGGAAGAGCAATGTAGCGCCTCACAACCGTGTTGACTTCCTCACGCACGAATCACTCATGCATGGACTGTCAGGACCTGGCTTGGCACCAACGTTCCAGCGATTTCAAGCCGTCTTGGGCCGCGAGGTCGAGCGTCTTCCCATCCAGAACCAGTGGGTCGAAATGCCAGACCTGCTGCAATTCTTTCGGAACCACGTTGGCCGAGCGGTGTTGACGTCTCTCTTTGGGTCTGCGCTGCCGGACACCAACCCTACGTTCATGGACAACCTGTGGAAATTCGACGCAGCTACTCCCTGGCTGGCCAAGCGCGTCTCTCGACTTATCTACCCAGAAGGATACCGTGTTCGGGACCAATTGCTCGGACAGATCCAGTCCTGGTACCGGTATGCTCGAGAACATTTCGACCAGTCCCTTCTCTTCGCCGACGGGGACGGTGACCCCTTCTGGGGCAGCGGCATGATGCGCGAGCGACAAAAGTTCATCCTGAAGATCGACAACCAGGACGATGCCTCGTTGGCATCCACGGATCTTGGACTCATGTAGACAACCGTCACCAATGTCATTCCGTCCTCGATGATGTGCATCCTGCACATCTTCTCGGACCCTGTTCTTCTGCGTCGTGTTCGCGCCAGTCTCAGCGATACGGTCTGCCGCACCTCCACATCTGACTTTTCTGTTTCCATGGAGAAGCTCCTGCGCAAGGACCTCTTACAGTCTGTTTACGCCGAGACTCTCCGCCTCTACGTCCAGTCGTACGTGACGCGATGTTCGCCCCACGAGCCCGTCGAGGTGGCTAACTGGTACCTGCCGCAAAACGAAGTAAGCATGGTCAGTTCCTACGTCGCACACATGAACGACGCCATCTGGAATACCCATAATGGAGCGCACCCGGCCACTCGATTCTGGGCGGACCGGTTCCTCATAGACGCCAACGACGCTAGTTCGGGACCATTGCGCCCAGACCCCGAGAATACAAAGCGTGATTCGAAAGGCAAATCTCCCTGTGAGCCAAGGTTCTCTCTACAGGGTCTTGAGGGGTCTTGGATTCCATATGGTGGTATGCTAGCTTAAGTCTTTCTTTCATCCTTGATATCAGCCGACCCCTTTCTTCATCCCTGACCCGTTGCATATCCCACACTAACTCCTGGTTGTAGGTGGCTTCGGGGCTTGTCCTGGTCGTCTGCTCGCCAAGCGGATCATCCTGTTTACCTGTGCGCTATTTGTAACCCAGTTTGAAATCGACGTTAAGACCAGGGACTTCACCATGGATTCTTCGGGATTCGGGCTGGGTACACAGAAACCAAAAGAGAAAATTGTCTTTGCGATCAGGCGAAGGGAGAGCAAGACCTAGTTTTCGTAGGTTTGGTCTTGGTGTTCACCGTCTATTCGATTTCCTCTCTAATTTCTCGTCTTTTCTTTTTTTTCTTTTTTTTTGTCTATTCTCTTCCCCCTTTATTCCCTCCCCTTCTATTATTGTTTCTTTAGCTTCCTATTAGCTTCCTACTAGGTCCATAATATACGAAAAACACATTTTTACAACAAAGAAGCATATGTGACATTTAAAACATAACAACTCTAGGCTCTCGATCTTTGGCATGGATCGTTATCACTGGCCTACATTCTAACAGCTGATACAGCCTAGGACTATACGGAGTAAATGAGTATAGTTTATCCCATTAACCTTTGACGACAAGGCATTGAAAAACCTATCTGTATTCTTGGAAGTCCACATGTTGACTTGACTTGATGGGGGGGTGAATTAGGGATAGATGGCGGAAGTATACAGTGGGCCGGTGGCATACAACACGACCACAGTATCTACGAAGATTTACATATCAGAACTTTCGGAACATAGAAATAGAGCCGACCATTTTTCATACATCGATTTATTTACTTTTCTATCTTGTCCTAAAGAGATCAAATAAAACAGACCAAACCCTCCAAGCCAACCAATCACATGACTTCGCGACGGGCAGCGCGTTTCTCTCCACCGCCGCAGTCTAGATCCTTCCTCTCCAAGTCCAGCACCAGCCAACCCCACCCATGGATTCCAACTCCAACAACCCCATCAATCTCACCTCCATACTCGATGGCCTGAACTTCGCGCAGAGCAATGCGGTCGCCTCGCCCGCCCCAATCCTCCAGGTCCTGGCGCCCCCGGGCTCGGGGAAAACCAAGACCCTGACGGCCCGCGTCGCGTACCTGCTCGCGTACCACGGCTACCGCCCGCAGGATGTCATCTGCTGCACCTTCACCATCAAGGCGAGTCGCGAGATGCGCGAGCGGCTGGGGAAATTGGTCGGCGAGCAGGTCCAGTCGAGGCTTATTCTGGGGACGTTTCATTCGATCTGTCGGAGGTATTTGGTAAGGTATGGGCATTTGATTGGGTTGAGGAAGGGGTTCGGGATTGCGGATTCGAGTGATAGTTTGGCTGTTCTGAGGGTGGGTTGATCTTTCCGTTGTTTTTAACTTCTACGGGGAGGGCGGGAGTTCTAGTCCGGCTCTGTATGTTCTATGCTTATCGGGTTGCAGAGAATCGTCAAGCGCTTGCAGCTGAGCATCCAACCGAATACCGCCCGATCGCGTATCTCGCACCAGAAAGCCCACGGCGTCAGTCCCGACGAGGCGGCGGCCAAGTTTGGTCCCAATAACAAGGCCCTCGAGCATCGGGAATTTGTCCAGGTGTATCAAGAGTACGAGGATTATCTGGCGGCGTCGAACCTCCTCGACTATGACGACCTGCTTCTTCGGTGCGCCGAGCTCCTGCGCAAGAACCCTGACTGCGTGGCCAATGTCCAGGCCGTTCTTGTGGACGAGTTCCAGGACACGAACCACATCCAGTACGAGCTGATGAATCTGTTCGCGTGCCGGAATCGACGCATCACCGTCGTCGGCGATCCCGATCAGAGTATCTATGGTTTTCGGTCGGCGGAGATCAAGAACCTTGACCGTATGCAGAAGCTGTACCGCGACACGTCGGTCGTGCTGCTCGAGGATAATTATCGGTCGTCCGGGTCGATTCTGAGCTCGGCGCAGGATGTCATCGAGCAGGACTCGTCGCGGCCGGCGAAGAAATTGCAGCCGACGCACAGCGTGGGAACTATGCCGGTACTGCGCAAGTTGCCGTCGGCGGAGGCGGAGGCGCAATGGATTGTGATGGAGATTCGACGGGGCATGGCCATGTCAGGAAAGTTGTTAAACTACTCCGACTACGCCATTTTGCTTCGCTCGGCGGCGCTTTCGCGGCAGATCGAGTCGGAGATGGGGAAGCAGGGAATACCGTACAAGATGGTCGGGGGGCTGAGGTTCTTCGATCGCGTCGAGATCAAGCTGCTTCTGGATTACTTGAGGGTTATAAGTCAACCCGGGAATGCTGATGCGCTGTTACGGGTCATCAATGTACCCTCGCGGAAGATCGGCGAGGAGACGATTCGGACTCTTCTGAGTAGTGCGGAGAAAGCACAGAAAACTCTCTGGGACTTCATCAAGGATGTAGCGCAAGGTCGCAGGTCGACCGAGAAACCCCTGTCCAAACCCAGCAACCAAGGTCTTTGCACATTGGTAGGCCTCATCGAGTCGTCACGGCAGAAGCTCCAGGACTATGAGGATGGCTCGGCTCCGCGGAAACTTCTCGACTACGTGATCAAAAAGTTGTCATTTCGGGACTTTCTTACGACGACCTACGGTGCAAACGAGGAGAATCGATGGGCTAATGTGGAGGAGCTTTTGAACCAAGCGGACGATACGGCTGGATCCGAGCAGGAGGAGCCACCGGACGACAGCCTCCCCGAAATCCAAGGCCTTGAGCAGCAACAAGCTCATGCGGGAGAAGAGGCACTGTCCCGGTTTCTGGCGAATGTAGCTTTGTCTACGGAGGTCAAGCCGCAGGAAGGCGAAGACGGAGAACAGTCCCACGAGAAAGTGACCATCTCCACCATCCACGCAGCGAAGGGACTTGAATGGCCGGTGGTGTTTGTGCCGGCCGTGTGCAACGGCGTCATTCCTCACTCGCGTGCAGAGGACTGGGACGAGGAGCGACGACTGCTCTACGTGGCCATGACTCGCGCGCAGGCCTTGCTGTATCTGAGTTGTCCTCGTCAGCAGGCCCGAACCGACGAAGAGACGAGCGTGTCGACGTTTCTTCCGGATGCGCTCGTTGAGTCGCGCTTTCGAGCTGTTGGACCCAACTTGCAGGAAAAGATCATCTATGGGATCGCAGACATCCTGCGGCGCCCGAGGCCGTCCAACGAGGCGATGATCCAAGGCCAAGTCTCGCTGCCTTCCGTGCACGATGATCGCTGGACGGCGGAGGGCGAGGAGGCTGCCGACGCCGTGTTCCGATGGGATGGTTCACGAGCAGTGGAGGGAGTTGAAGAGCCCTGCGCAAAGAGACGACGATATGATTCGGAACAATGGTCGACCACACTGGCTGCCACAACCATGTCAACATCGGCATACACCATGGGAGGTTCGAATTACAGTGCGCCGCCTACAACCATGTCGCTTGGCTTCTCGACCGCTCGCCAGTATATCGCGACCAACCCAGCAGCCACCGACCAGAACTCGCAGCCATCGTCCAAGTCCGACAGCAGCAAGCCCAAGCCCAAGCCCCCCAGCGCCGGGGGTCCAGGCCGCCAATCCGACGGCCTGACTCAGAAGAGCATTTCGCGGTTCTTCGGCCAGCCTTCGTCCTCCGCCCCAACCCAACCGAGAAGCAGCGAATCGACACCGACAGACCGCCAGATGCTGAGCCAGGGCAACAGCCGAAGGGGCGTCCCGGGGGGAGCGGCCCACGCCGCGTCGTCCAATCCGGGGTTCAAAAGCGTCATCCCCAGGCAATATTCGACTTATCGACCGCAACCACAGCGACTGCAACCCACCCGACCGGTTCTCGAACCTTCGGACCCGAATCGTTACACGTGGCTGGGGGCGTCGTCGTCGCTGTCGCAGCCCGCGCCGGAGAAACCGATAATGCGCGGCGGTCAAGAAAAGGGCGGCAAAGAAATGTCCGACCAGAGCGAGGCAAAAGAAGGAGGGTGGGGAGCAAGCGAGGTTAAAAGGTCTGAGCAAGAGTCGGCCCCCGGCGTTCGCCCAGTGACCACGTATCACACGACCACGATGTCCCTGGTCCAAGGGGGGTCGGGCCTACCGCCTCCGCGACGAACGTTAGGGATTCGCCGGAGTATGAACGGATGGGAGGAACGGATGAAGAGGGCAGGTAATGAACAGTCTCGATAACGAGTCGGTTGGACGGACGAGACCCTCGACGGGGAGACGGAGGGGAGAGGGGGGAAGAGGATCCGGATGCCCCGTTTGGATCTGGTGAACCTGGCAGACGAAACGGGGCATCTGATAGGCGCCTTGTTTTTTGGGCGGCTTGTCCTGATTCGGGGGTACCACGACATATACCTAGGTACATGGTGTCTAGTCCTTAATTCTGCTATGTACCACTACTTCTCCGTAAGTACTCCGCCGATAAAAGCACGGACAGAGCAATAAAAGATGGGGTATATTGAATGGAGTCAACCTAATTTGTCTGATCGGTCTCCTCTAGCCTATTCGGTAGGATATTCATTATTGCGTGGTTATTGTTTCAGGTCCTGGACCCCGTCCGATTGAACGCTTTCCCAATAATGACGACGCAGTAGAGACTACGGAGGAGAAATGAATGACCTGAGGCGTTCCCAGTTCGGTTAGGCACCACCGCCAGGCAGCGCATGACTAAGCCTGCTTAGCTCAGCAGGCCAGACCGGGCAGCGGCCAATCAACGCCGCCGATCGGCTGAGTCAGAGAGTGCCGATCCACGCAGGTACAGCTGGCATTGACTTTGCGTTGTACGCAGTACGGAGTGGCAGGGAGTCAGGCAGGCAGGCAGGCAGCAGGCAGTAGTCACGGCATTCCCTCGGCTGTCTTCTGGCGGTGAGCTGCCAGCAGCTCGCATCAGACCATTGGATGGATTCGTTCGTTCCATCCGGTTAGTTGCCTGAGTCCTTCATCACGGGATAAGGTGAACTGGCCTGGAGGACGGACTAAGGTAGTCTACTGGTCTAGTCCTACCTACGTAATTGCTACCTCCCTCTCCAGTCTGCACTCGTTACGGCGTACGGAGCCCATTCCCCTTCGACTATCTGGAGTCTAGACCAGACCGGTCTAGTTCCAATTTCCATACGTAGTCGAAGCTCTCCACTTCGTTCCAACAACTGGAGACACCGCCTTAGACTGACCAGACTTAGCCTCTGGCACCTTTTATTAGTTATTACAGAGGATATTATTACGGAGTCGTTGGCAAAGGTACTAACTAACTAACCCTCCGTCGTAGTCAACGCTAGCGAGCGTACGGCGCTAGTCCCGTTCAGGCCGGATGAAGTGGCCGTTCTTGCCGGTGTATCCTGATTCCTCCTGCGTAATTCTTCTTCCTGAGCGACGTCCAGTTCCCAGAAGTGACTAGTCTCCTATCGGTCTAGACGCTGGCCGGTACGCATTCGGTCTGTACTCCAGGCTGTACTCCATCCCAACCAGAGTTGACGCTGCAGAGCGAACGGGAAAGAGGCAGGCGGCAGACACTAGTCAGGGAGTTTAGAGTTACAGGTTATCGGTGATCGACTGGTTGCTATAGGGGAGGCACGTCCAGCCCGAGTAGGGAGGATGCAATGCGATCCTAACGCCAGAAGAGGGTCCGTCAGGAGGAGGCATCAATCATGCTACGGGACGGAGAGCACGGCATGTCCAGACTCATACCTACCCAGACCCAACTGGAAGACTAGTTAGTCTAAGTTGCACCCAGAATAGCACGGCAGAAGTGGTCCTGCTGAGTCATCCGAGCTCCCGTGGAGTGAGGCAGCCGGGATTCTGCGTCCTGATTGGCTGGGCCGCCGTCCACGCTGTCAGGTGATGTTGTCGGTATTAGGCGGTATCAGGCGTAAATTACCCGGGGCACTTGGCCTGAAACCCGCCGACACGGCCCAATAGAAAGGGCGCCCGGTCATACAATACGGTTCCGGGCCATACAGTCTCAGCCACGTCTTTCTCCTTTCAGGCCCTCCGAATCAGCCTCATCAGGCAATGAAACTGTGGCTGGAGAACAGGCAGACTGACGGACCAAAAGTAACGGACAGCATCCTGGAATCAGGCTGGACTTCCGGTTTGTCGCCTCACCTGGTGCTTTTGTTCGTGATTGTTGCTTTTCTTTTTCTTTTTCTTTTTTTTTGTCTTGCCCCTGGCAGTGGCGGTGGATGGGGCTTCGACCAGACGTTCCAGATCCCATGTCTAGGCGGGCATCGAAGGGTCTGGCTTGGGGGATCTTCCAGAAGGGAGAGAGAATGGGGTTTCTCCCTCCCCTGCGATGGAGTGAGATGACGTCGTCGCCGGTTTCTTTTTTCGTTGCTGGACGCTGGTTGAAGGCATTATTCTGGCTGCTGTGACGATGATAGACATGGGCCCTGGCCCATGCAAGATGACTGATCTCTCTGGGTTTTTATTTTTCGGTTTTCTGATTGGGATTTAGTTCCCTCCGTCCAAAAAGTAATGCTCGAAATCCAATTTATTTTTAACCTAAAATAATAATTTCTGGGGACGTTCCATTCCCTTTTGGCGATTCCTCATACTTCCGGGGAAACGTACAAAAAGCTGCTTTCCTCCCCTGCCCTCTGCCTCCCGTTCGTCATCAATCAATCAATCTGTCTGTCTATTATCATCCATTGCCATCTTGCGAATCAGTCGACAATCCCTTTCAAAGCCTTGTCTCCTTCGTTCTCGTCTGTCCGTCCTGACCAGACTGAGAATCGCCTTGCTCCGCCACCCAGATCACCTTATATACTCCGGTCCCTTCCCTCGTTTCTATCTACTACGTCCGGTTCTTCGTCAGACCGACTTCTGCAATCTTCCATCTCCTATCTCTCGATCGATCGATCTTATCCTCCTGTCTATCTATCATCTCCCTCCTGCCACCTATCACAATGCCTCACAAAGTCAACGAGTCGAATTCCACGCTGGCCAGCTCCGGCAGTAGCGGTGACCGCGTTGTCGTCTCGGATATGCGAGGTAAGTTCACCAGATCCTGGCCCTAATTCTGACTAGGACCGTCACTAACGGGAAGCTCTTTGCGTCTAGGGTCCAATGCGGTTCCACGGAGAACGCAACCCCCGGTGGTTGTCCATAATCAGGGGGGTCAGATCTACGACGAAACGCGCCCGTCCGACTGGGACAAGCAGCGCTGGAAGTAAACCAGCCCTCTCTTCTCGCCCGGTCGCTCGCTCAGCGTTCCCCTGCTGGCTTTGGGGGAGCGGCCAGAAGACGCAGTGCTGAGCTCCGGGCTTGAGAGACAGGGAGACAAACCCCCAAGCTGCTGGCCAGCGCCCTAGTCTCATTATCGCCGGGTCTGCTGATTATCCGCGCGGCTTTCCAAAAGTGAGGCGGCCGATCGACACGACCCCCATTTTTTCCCTTTTCTTTACGATGATTTGATTACTTTCCCTTTTTTTATTATTATTCTTTTTTTATGATTTCTCGCGGAGTACGGGTACTTCTTCGGATGTACGATTCTGCGAGTTTTCTCTCTCGTTCTCGACCAGCTCTCGACGGGCGCTCTTGATCTGGACATTCTGGACCTCCGTCAATCAGTCACCGCAACAATGACAGGTGTTTTGATGCTTCCTTTGGTCTTGGGGGAGGGAATCCTTTCTCCTTCTGCCCCTGGATCGGTGGATGTACCGATACACCCCCTGTTTGTCCCCGGATTTGACTTGTCCTGACTGGTCTTGGTCCCGATTCCTTTTTTCCTTTCTTATTTGTATTATTTCTATTTTGATTTTCCCCTTTCTCGTCTCTGGTATATTACGAGATTGTCTGATTTCTTTTTTCACCCTTTCATTTCTTACTAATCCCCCTGTCTCATCATCCACGTGTTACTCTCTTCAAACAGGAGATTATTCTTTTGTTTGACACGGATGGATCATGCCTCTGTCCGGGGGTCCGAAAGAAAGGAGAGTTTCGCCCCGGTATCCCTTGCGTTCAGCAGAGTTACTCTGGGCTCGACCTCTTTCATCGCCACCCTTTCACTGGATGATGTTTCAGCTCTGTATTTTTATTTTTATCCTTTTGCTTTTCTGTTCGCATAGCGTCGGTTCTTTGGAGAATTTCGGGGTTTTCTTATTGGTGTCCAACACTGCTTTTGGTTCTGCTGGTGTCATACATCCTACTGATCATGTCATGTCATGTCGCTCTTTGATTCGCTCGTTTTATGATCTCTCGGTCTCGTCGGTGGATGGACGGTCTCGACTCGACTCCTCTTGTCGACGTCGACGTCAACGTCGACGTCAACTGTCATCTGCATCCGCCGGTCTGGCACCGATCTTTATGTCTCTATACTTACATTGATTTCTGGCATGACTACTTCCTCACCAGATTGTTACATCCTGATATATTAGATGTGATTTAGTGTATACTTATGCTACATTAACTATACTATTACAACTCTTCTCTAATCCTCCATCTTCCTTCATCCCATCCTCATACCCATAAAGCCCCCCATCTAATCTAACCCCCTCCGCAATACCCAGCGCAGTAGAACACAAAACCCAACCCCAACCGCAGATCTCTGAGTTGTCATCCACACCCGAACGCAGACTAATGTACCTCCTACCTCGACCGGCAGATGCCAGCTCAACTCAATTCACCCATCATGCATTCAAAGTATGTATGCAGCCGGTGTCTACGTAGGGTGCGGCGCTCCCACTCCCGGACTCCTCGGAACGCTGGCAGGCCTGAGCCCGCTATTTCTCGTTAACGGCGGAAACGGGATGGATTGGTTGGTTGGTATAGGGGTGTTGGTTATGCTGCATTTATGGCTAGGAGCGTTTGGCGCCGGGGTATGGTCTATACACTCTTGGGGGGTTGGGTTGGGGAGGAGATAGTGGATAGTGAATTCTGGGGGTTAGGGAATGTATCGGAGCTGGGTTTATGGATATTCACAGGTGTGGATTAAGTGCATGGTGGGTGTTGTAGATGATGAATGGATGGATTTCTTCACGTCATGGTGGAGGGAATCATTCATCTCTTCTGGGTTCTTCTTCTGGTTTCTTCCTATCTTCCTATCTCTTCTCTTCTCTTCCTTGCATATCACACTTAGCTACAGTCAGAAAGCCCTTTCTTCTTCGTGGGTGCATCCCGTGGTTTGTACATTTTGATCTGGATTTCCATTGGAAAGACGATACTTCAAGCACTACGCAATTCTCAAGCACTTCTATCTTGAATCAGAACTTCTTGTGGGATTATCTTCAAAACCACTGCTGGTAGTATATTGCTCTGTCCGGTGACAGAATCCGAGCAGGGTCCTCCCTCCACCGTGGACTTTCGGAGAGACGGCGGCAATGGCAAGTCTCTCGAAAACATGCATGATTAAAATCATTGAATTCCACGAGATTCCAAAAAATCCGGATTTCAATATGGCATGGCTCGTATTATGCCTCTTCTGCAGGACCTGGGTCTGGTAGGGCACGGGAAAGCTTTTCAAAGGTTATGAACCCATGATCAAATGGCTGTTTCGTCTATCGACATATTAGTTTTCCTCGATGCATTGGCCCTAAAATACACGCTCTGACGATGAGCTTAGGCTCCTTGTGCAGATAATGCCAGCCAGAGAAATGTGTGCTTACGAGTGAGTGATACCTTTCTGCTACCTGCCGTGGCTGGGCTAATTGAAACAGTTATATCTTTCTTTCTCCGATCACGGGGCCAAAAGACACGCAAATTCAAGCTTCAAGGACGTGTCGTTTCAGATTCTGAGGACCAAATCGACGACTGGAATCTGGCCTTTAATCCCCCCGTCTGTACACAGGAGGGCATTATCGCAATGGTTCATGGTTGCCGCTTCATTTCGGTCATCGACGCTTGCAAATTCCTCTATCAGTGGCCAGTGAGCGTCAACATCGGGTCGGACTGATTGTTATCTTCCCTTGCGGACAAGAGTCTTCAAAAACGGTGCCATGATGGGTACATCAATTCAGTTCCCTACGTGCAAAGAATCATGGACTGTAAGTTGAAGGAACTTCGTGAGTTCTGCCACGCGTACATCGATGATGTCGTTGTCGTCTTTGATACGTTTGACAATGACAACCGCAGAGGGCATTCCTTGGTTTTTCGTCCATCACTTTACTTGGACAAGGCATCCATCGCTTCGCATGGTCTACCGACCGATAACATACTGGAGAGCGGACCTCAGATGAGCCAGAATAAGGCTGCATTGCATACCCATCCCGGTTGGTTTCGACATACCACCAAGTTTACAAACTGCATTTCTACCTTGATTCTTCATGCACACATCTACCCGGATCGTGATGCGAGAGTGTCTGATTCTCTCGCGTTTCATCCTTGACTGAGATGCCGAATTAAGCGACGTTGAGAACAGTAGCCTGTCCGAGAACATTGCAGCGATCACTGGGCTCAGAACGCCATCTTCGCCAGACCCAGTTGATGTATGTTGAGCAGTTAACCACGGGGTTCTGACACAAATCAGGGATTCTTTGGGGTGTTACAGTACTTAACAGTACCCATGTCCATGTTGGAAATGACATGAATCTGAAGGTCAACGCCATGCCACTTAAAAGACTATTTCGCTGGTCTGGACACCGAGAAACGCCAGGGTCATCCCGAGTGTCGCAGGACAGCAGATCAATCTGTTGTCAGATCCGAACAAGACATGCTTGGGCCAGCAAATTTCTACATGCCACAGAGTACGAAAAAGTTCAGAATTCTGCTCGGCTTTGCAGAGGTCCGCGTGGAGCAACGCTCTGAGATATTATTGGCCAAATTATATTCCTGGGTGCCGGCCATGCGACAACGAGTTTATATCCGACGCCATTGTTATAATGATCTCTCTACTGAAATTGTTAGAGATGGTCCACCATGCTAGTAAAAAGGCAGGTAGAGAAGACACCATCATGTGGGGAATAGCTGCGAATAGCTTGGAATGGAGTATCCTGCAGCTAATAGCCTAGGTTCATGACTTCTTTCTTGATGTATGCTGGTCCGTTCAAGGTTGTCGGTCTGGTAGACGGTTCTTCGGAGACGTTTGAACAGTCGTGCGGTTCTTATATAAGAGCAGCGGGGGTCATCGAAGCCGATTTGTCGTTGCCAGTCACAGAGGACAGGAGATATTGGGGGTAGCGGCAACATTGACGACATTGGCATCGCGTCACGTAAACTGAACAACAGATGAAGACAATTCCTTGATAGTGGTGAGCCATCGTGGACAGGAGACATCCAATGTCGCAATCAGTCACCTCGGTCAATACGTCCACATCATGGATTCTTGTCATACAGACAGCCGTCTACCTTATTCGAAATCACGGTGCTGAATATCCCGCATAGATATCTACCTATCCAGTCTGCAGTTGTTTCTGCCGCCGGGTCGCTTGGGGGATTCTCGCTCTAGGGATACTGGTATCTGGGACAGGATTTCGGTCTGCTTTTTATTTCTGGACATTTTAATTTTTCAACCAGGGGAAACTGCGTTCTTGTCAACATATTTGGACCAGATACCTGTTCCCTATCCTGATTCCTGGGACAGGTTAATTTGTGTCATCCCGGATCAGTTGGATCTACCAGTGGCTGCTACAGTTAAATCGATCAATGAAGGTGTCATGCAGGAGGAAGGAGAGTTAGTCTCTAAGCCAAAAGGCAAATGGCGTGCCACTTCTGCTGGGAATGACAGTTCTACACGGCCCACAAAGAAGATCAAATCGGCGAAAGTTATTGATGACTCCGATGAGGCCGACGTCGACAATGAAAGCTGTCTTACTTCTGATCATGATTCTGACCTTGATCATACTGAACGTCGACCTATCTTGATACCTTCCCTGCTATTAAGCAGCCTCGACAGGTTAATCACTGGCAGGGTGTTGGCTCGATCACAAGAGTTTTGCAACATCGCTGTCACACTGTACAGAGTGCCAAGAGTCTCGACGGACTCATTGGAAAGGATATGTCCCATGTCCTTAGTGGATACTAGTGCATAAATGTGATCGATGTGAGGGCATAGATATGCCATGTTGAGTCTTCCGCGTGTTGTACCTTAACTACTATCGAAGGACCCGATTTTAATAAAAATATATACCTAACACCTCTTCGTGGATGTAACTATGCATAGAGAAACAAAATGACAATTAAATTATGACTCTGAAATGTTGATCGAGACCTCCGTATTGAAATTGGCAGTATATATAGTGGCGCCTTCGTAGGTCTCGAAGTTTTTTTCATCACTTGAGACTTCAGGCTTTGAAGGCAAGAGATTGGCGTCGTGAAGGTAGGACAGAATAGGTATTTTGCATTCAAGACCACTTTTGATTTTTTTTTTGGTTTCAAAATATATTTTACAAGTGGTGAGATCACACGTCGGTGACAAAGGCGAAGTAGAAGTGTTCTTGGAAGACGGCTGTCATATTTATCATGGCGTCAATCCGCATCCATAGACTAGAAACTTATTACACTAAACTTGAACAAATGTCCAATAACAAATAAAATCTCTCGTTCTGTCTTTCTTTGTTTATTTATCTCCAACTATCATTAAATAACAAAGCCATGGTTCCCTTTTTTTTAGGATTTTGGGTATGTAGTATAATGTATCAAGCTGCTCGTCTCTTGCGCTTGCTTCGCTTTTTTTCATGATTTTTTTCTGTTCGGTGGTCTTTTTTTCAGCTTTTTTTGGAGCGGACCTTTCTCTCCATCAGTCAAGAATTCCGAACGATGCAGGTATTTCCAATATGTAATCCCGCTCGCGTATGTGTACATCGCACATGGGGAGGGTGAGAGAATGAGGCCACATTAAAAGGTCTGGATAAGGGAGAAGAGGGGATGTGCTGGGGAATGAAAGGGGGAAGTAAGGGGAAAGTGAAAATGAACAATCGAATCAGCCCCGGTCCCTGTCACTGCATGGACCGCAAGGCATCGCTAAACTGAGAAATGAATTTGCAACTCCACACATGGCTTTGAGAAAAGGAAAAAAAAGAAACGGGGGATAATCTCAAAATAAGAAGAAAAATGCAATCTGACTCGAACGGCTCGCGCTTGCAATGCTAGATATATGAATAAAAGAAGTAGATGCAACTTGGGCGAACCCAAGAGATGATGAGATTGTAAGAGAACAAGAAAATGGGTATGCAATTTTAAAGGAAAATGACACAAGGAAATGGGGTCCCAGCAGTGTTCTTACAAAACAACCGAACTGGGTGGTTGATTCAGAGTTCAATGATAGACGATAAAATCATGTGAAAATATTGCACAATATGCAAAAGACAAAGAAATGGAAGTGGCCATATATCGTTTGTCCAAGATACTGATCCACTTCAGAAGAGGTTGCTTTCCTCATTCAATTGGCTTAATTCAGTAACCAGTGCTGAATCCCATCTGAGGTTGAAGGAATTGTTGTGGTTGAGTAAATGTGGCCTCCGGCTGATAGACCTGAGAGCTCACATACTGCATGCTAGGGGGAGGAGTGGGAGACGGGGAGCAGGCACTGGTGCCAGCGACCCCCTTGACGAAGTGGGGGTTAGCGCCGTTGGCGTAGGCCTCGGTCTCCGGTGTGATTGGCGGCGTGATATAGCCATGGGGCATGCTCGAAGGGTGCGCCTTCTGGGGGGTAGCAAGACCCATTTCACCCTCATACGGCTTGGACTCCGTAGTGACGTCCGAAGGAGGGCTCGGAGGAGTGTAGCTCGCGATGGAAGCCTGGCGGGCCAGGAACTGCTCCAGGATCTTGGCGACCCGAGAGTAGTGCGTCGACGAGTACTTCCTAGATAGCACCTGAGAAGGCTGGTGAAGCTGTTGGGACAGGCCCACCAGGGTCATGGAGTCGTATTGCGAGGCCCATTCCGTGTGGCGGGGCTGCGGCCGGTTGAGAATGCAACGGGAGAGCGCCAACGAGGCCCGGGCGAGGTCCGACGATGGCTTCGAGACAAATTCCCGGTGGAACAGGGAGATCTCCGAGATGTACAAAGCCATGTGCTCGACCTCAGGGTCGTAAGGGGTATCCAGGACGGCAACCTGAAGGAAGCTGTCCACGGTGGGGTGTCCAATGGTCCAGCCCAGAGTCTGCAGAACATGCCACTCCATCTGAACGAACATATCGTCATCATACAGGGAGCAGCACATCGACTTCAGCTCCTTGATGGTGGGCACGCGGTCCTTCTTGTCACCATACTTGGCCGCAATGAGCAAAGCAGCACATCCGACCAGCTGGTAGTGCCTCTTGTAGACGACACGCTTGGAACAGTATCGATCAAGGAGGTTGATGGTCAAGAACAGCGTCGAGGGAAGGAGCTGGAAGGCGGTGTGGGCTTCGATGAGGAAGTCCAGCAGGTAGGGGCGCATGAACCATTGGATCTCGGTTTGAATATCGATGGATTCGACGTCAGGAAGCGTGGTAGCCTATTTTGAGAATAGTGCCGTTGGTCAGCTTTCAAATAACATTTTCGACCTGATGCCGGCCAAGGCAGTTGTGGAAGGGAGCACTAACATCCATGTCCAGCATGTGCGACAGAATGTCATCACGCAACTCCTCGCTGGCCACTCTGGACAGCTCGTCGGCAATGGCATACTGACGCTCGCGAGCGATCAACTTGGCATGCTCCTTCGGGTCCATGCGAGGTGCAGGGAAATCGTCATACGATTCCACGAAGAAAGTATCGCAAGGCTGGTAGCTGGAGGTAGGACGCTTCTGGTAGGCCATGATGTCGAAAGTGGTGAAGAACACAAGCAACAGATATCAATCCCGTTATTATTAAAAGAGTGTACCTGATAGGAGACAATGTCTTATCAGGGAACGACGGAATTAAGAGAGTGACAGTCGTCAATGAATTAGTATGGGAATAATGAGTGGAATTAGTTGGGCAATATTAAGGAACGGCCAGCACAAAGACGAGAAGTCCGAAATACTGGAGGTAATAGAGTGATCAGACAACCAGTGGAGACAGCCTCTTGGGTGGCCGGAGCTATTAACAAAAAGATTATTAGTAAAGACGTCAGGAAAATAAATGATTAAAAAAAAGATAGTATGAAAGGGTAGTAAAGATCGAACGAGTCTGGAAAAGACAAGGAAGACAATAAAACGAAAGTGAGAGAACGAGTGGTAGGATCCAAAAGAACGAAAAGAAAGAACGTTGAGGATGAAAGGGGAAAATCTCCAGGGGATGGAGAATACTAACCCAGATAAAAGGCCTTCGGGCAGAGGGCACGATGCAACCCTTACCGTGACGGCGAGTCTGGCATCTAGGCTGGGGCAAGACGCAGGAATGATCCGTCAAGTTGACTCTGGAGGATACCAGTCCAAAAGGCGAAGGACGACTGAACGTCTTCGCCCTAGGAACCAGTGCTTGAACTTGCAAGTCTATGTGCACTCCCGGAATGTGGAACGGGACACAGGCACGAAACCCTGCCAAGGGATAGGGAGATCGTCAGGGGGGGAAATGAACATGCAGGCAAAAAGAATGATCACACAACGTACGGTTATTGGTTCAGTGTCTGTTCGTGTCGACGTTCTTGTACAAGATCGAAAGGCGACGATGTGAGGTAGGTTTAAAAAGCCCGATTCCACATCGAATGAACGGAGTGAAGTCGAGGCCGGATTAAGAGAAAGAACAGAAAGTCTCCTAATAAGCGTCATGGACAAAGTCACGTTAGCCAACCAATCTTCTCCAATAATCGGATGCTTCCTCTATCATTGCGCACGAGACCAGGATCTTGAAGGGTTGTTGCGGCATCCGGGGTATGTGATGGGCTTGGATCGTCAATCCCCAAATATGCAGATAACCCTACACATTCTTCCCACACACACCCTTGGGCGACCCCTTTAATCGACTTCCATGAAAGACAACAGGTTGCTCCGGTTCTTGACGGCAACATAATCCGTTGATATATTTCAAAATCCGTGCAGGAAGGACATGATCTTTTGAACCCCTTTTGATATCTGTACGCCTTTCCGTGCCCCTTTCACCAAGCCATTGTCCATGTTCCAAAGCGGTCGACCAATTGCTTGAGCCAATGCCACCTTTCCACGCCATGCAGAATGACAGGTATCGATGCAATGAAGGTTGAATCCATTGTGTTCGTCTTGGAAGCTTGCGTGCCCGAGGGGAGGGGGGTCGAACTGCGGCCAACTTCGGGGGTCTCAACGAGCAATTGCCGAATCCGCTCTCGAATTTGATTTCACCGGGTACTCGAGGGAATCGAATATTGAAGCTCACTGATCTGAGTTCGGTAGAAGAGCAGGAAGGTAGGCCAGATATCATTTCGATTGTCCGGCATACACGGGCCATTCGCACGCCATGAAGTTCGGAAACGCAACACCCGGAAGAGGGGAAGGGAATTGACAGAAAAGGAAAACTTTTTCTCTCTCACCTCGCAAAATATCACAGCAAAAACCAAATCATGTACAATGCAAGCGGAACAACGAAAATAACGGAACCCTTCTTGCTGCTCTTCTAACCGGCAGGAGCTGAATCAGGGGAACTAACTGTCGTTTCCGGATCGGACGGCGGCAGTCAGATAGGGGGGAGGCAGGGAGGAATCGCCGTTTGAGTTAACAAACGTCGACAAGGCGAGGGACGTCGAAGCAGGAAAGCTGACGGACACGGCTCGACTGGAGAGCTGGTGCAGCGGGCAGAAGATGAGGTCGACAGATATAGGAATATCGTCAACGGACTCTTGTCTTGCGGCCTGTAGACCAGTCTCAGATCTCTCCGAAAGAATTGGCGGGCGGCAGGTGAAGGGGGAGGAGGGGAGAAGGGAGGAAAGGGAGGAGAGGTGAAGATAGAAGAAAAGGAGGAGGAGAAGAAAAGAGGAGGAGTTGGCTCTCTCTCTCCAGACGGGTGTAGAAGAAGAAAAGAAAAGAAGAGAATAAGAAGAGATGGGACGAGCCACAGATAGAAGGCTCTCGAGAGGATCGCTGCAGGTTAGCCTGTCCGTATCGTAACCGTGACGCCGGCGGTAACACCGTACGGGATACAGTAAGTAATTATCAGTAAGTAAAAATAATCAGTAAGGTCCGTAATTACTAAACCTACTGAATACCGTACAGTCACCGTTTCACCTCGTCTCAATCCATCCCTCTCGACCCGTCCGGCGTTGGCTGAGAAGCCCTACCGACGGCGGCAGGCTGGTCGTCCCTCGAATTGACATTTGGTCCTAAGCACCAGGAGGTCCTAAGACACCCTAACCCGACAGATTGACAAGGTCGAAGCGACGCTGTCTCATGTCTAAAATCCCAAAGGCCAACCACCAACGCTTCTGCGAACACCGACCCGTGAAGAGGTCGGGCGCAGGGTTTAATCAAATTACCTCATCTTACGGCGAGTTAGTCCCAGGATTCGAGCTGCTCCGGCGGTAAATAATACCTAATAATTATAATTATAATAATAATAATAGGTAATATTTGTCACTCGGGCGTCTCCAACAAAGTACGCCCTCGATACCTCCTATTTCCCACGCCCTCACGCGGCCTGAGCCCGGAAAACAGTGGCCCTTACTGTAAGACCCTTCGGTGGTACTGCGTACTGCAATCCAGGTACCGTACAGTTCCCCGTCGCTGGGCTTTATGAAAATGAAAATACTCCTCCATCCATTTCTTCGACTCCGTAGAAATCCTTTGTCGTGCCCATGAGGGGTAGTCTGTAGATACAGGTTACGGTGGAATTGTTAAACATTTTTTTTGTTGTTTTAATTCTTTATTGCATGGTCGCCGACCTGGGACGTGGAGGGGGCACCAATCCCTGGATTCCTATCGCAGTAAGAGACCAGGGAGGTTCCAGGTTGCGATACTGGCTGGGAGGCTATTGCCACCCCGTTTAAGCCCTTTCCGGCTCTGCTCGTATATAGGAGGCAGCCAGATGAGTGGCCTTTGTTCGCCCGTAGGGGATGCCACCGAACTCTCTAAACTAACCTGCACGGCGTCCAGCACCAGCACTCCTTCGGTGGGCTTCGGAGTGGGGTGATCTCCGTCGGTGTCGGCCAGTCTTCACCAGCCATTTCGCTCCCTGATTCAGGCCAGGAACACCTCGGGTCCTTGGCCTCTGGGAGTTTTTTCCCTTTCCTTCGTTCCTCCTGCGTACGTAAAAACGGAGGACGGATAAATCGTCCCCTTCCATTCGCATCCGTCATGATTTATGCCGCTTATTACATACGGGGTATACTGCGTAGGATCATCGCCTTCACTACTGTAGAAGCTGCGTCACTATAGCCACACTACTGTGGTCAGTCAGCATTGGTGCTGCCACCGCAGGCTGCACCACAGTTAACGAATAATGATAATAATTGCAATTATCGAATAATCCATCACAATACCACCAATATTAATACGGTGTAGTTGACGAGCAGCGAGGCCTGCTAGTCATCCGACCATATTATTTAGTATTCAGTATTTACTCCAGAGTAGGGATTTAGTCCCCATGCGGCGTCCACCCTAGCAGAACGGCGGTAGAAACGGTGACACAATATGGGCAATAGTCCTCCCTCCTACGTAACTAACTCAGTCGCTACTCCGGAGGGAGGACATATCAAACGAACTACTCCGTAGCAATCAATCATTCATCCCATGGTAGCCCTACGATTTTTGGTCCCGAAGCTGCACCCTCAATGCTCTGTCGTCGGCCGCCTGTCCTTGCCTATCATTGACCAGGGATCATTTGTTCCCATGTCTTTAGGTCGGACAACCCTGTCTAGTCTAATTCGAGCATAACATCAAACCGGCCTGCGATTCGACGACGGGCTCTTGGTTGCCCACAAAACTGCGGAGTTGCCGGCCTGGTTTTTTAATTTTTCTTTTTTCTTTTTTCAGCTGCTGACGGCCCGTAAAGTCGACTGTGGTTCGCATTTTACTCGGCAGCAGTCCAGAATCCACTGTATGACCTGGTATGGGACTGTACGTACATACAGTACCTGCCGCTGTAGGCAAGTCTGTACTCACGTCGGTCGCGTCCCAGCATCGTCGACGGGCGTCATTGACTGCTGACTGGCTCACCACCGGAAAGCCTCTGACCACCGTCGATTTGCTCGCGTTTCTCCGCCGCAGCCAGTCAACTTGATCGACTCCCCTCATCCGAAGAATGTCAAACTCTGTGCGCCTTCCTCGCAACCTTCGCCGCCCGTGTCTTCTTTGTCTCGATGCGATCGGGCAATTCTAGAATCTGCCTCCGCGCAGATGGGTAAGAATGGTACTTCGCGGAAGAATGAATGAATGCCTGAAAGCCTTTTCAATCCGTAGAAAATATCAATCCCAGAGCCACCAGGCGTGTCAAGAAGATAAACACGGCAACAATCCATGGTACGGCCGAGGCGTCTATTCGCGTGGATTCGGTTCCATGGGCGCGTCAACACGGTCAGGGTTACTACGAGCTTCTTGTACTTAGTTACGGAGGGGACTTATGCAACAATTGGCATTGGGTTGCAAACCACATGCAGGGGGCCAGAAATCTTCTTTTTGTTTGGTATTGACGGCCAAGGAACGCTCTCCGGACTATCGATCAGCTCCCAGGGAAAGGGGAGGACGGCGTGATCAATCTGTCCTTATATCAACAAAAACTAAGGCCGATGGGTATGGAGGTACAGGTGCCTTCCATCTCTCGGGCCCTTTCCAGCACACGCACATCCTCGCGTCAATAGTCAATCGAGACCCAATCGAATCGACGGTGTGGCTGTCAATCCCAGGACATGTCATTCGATCCTGATACTCGGAACTCCGCTGGCTTTGTCTTGGAGACTGCGGGGAGAATACCACCCTCAGTCCAGCACGACATACTCCGGAGTACTACGTAGCTCTCTGCTCCAAAAGGATAAACTCCTTGCCCAGCATCGATTCTCAAACGGAACCACTTCTTGCGTCGTGATGGATCATGATTACGACCAAGGGATTCCGGGCATCCACCCCCCGCAATATCGTGATCGGCCAACGGAGTCGGTGGATGCGTTCAACCGTTATGGTTAACCAGTGACACGCAGTCCTGTAACAGTCACGTCCCGGGATGAACTGGTTGCGTCTATAATTGTCGACGCCTCTCGTCCAGTCAATTGGGTTGCGCGCTTTGTACAGTCTCGTTGGTCTCGTCGGACGGCGCCGTGTTACCTCGACGGTTGACTCCTTATCTTGGGGCCAAGTACGACAATATCGCACGTCTACGCAAGGGAGTCAATTGACTGGCCAGGAGGCGACATTACATCATCTCACTCACTGACTGACTCGATGGTCGTCGTTGACCTTCGCCATCGTCAACTCCGTACTCCATCTGACGGTCTTCGCCACACCGATTGTGGGGAAAGGCATCAGATCCTGGGTCCAGAATATCGCAATAATAATCAGCAGGACGCGGATGCAGGATTCCGCAGCACCGCCAGGCTAGTCACAATTCACAAAGCGTATTGCATACATCCAGCCTTTCCCTCTTTTTCTCCCAGAAATCGGCTGTGGCTGATGTGGCTGGCACCTTGGTTCCTTGTCATTTGTCCCTCTCTTCTCTCTCTTCGCTTCGTCCCATTGCCCGGTGGCTCACTTACGCTGTATCCCTGCGGCCGGAGCTTCACTGTTCAGTCGTAACCTGCTCCGTAATGGATTTCGTGGGGGGCTAGCCGATCGTTGCCGCCAGCAGACTTCCTTTGTCGCACCGGGTCGACCTCGGAATGCATGTGCAGCTCATCCGTGGTACGCTACCGTGCCAAATGGACCTCTTCTCGCCGGAGTTGCTTCGAAGACGGGAATGCTGCACATCCATGCCCTTCTAGATTCGTCGAATTCACGACCCAACCGACCCCTTGTCCTGGATGGTATTTTTCTTAGCCTTAGCTAGTGTCATTGTTGTTTTCCTTTTCCCGTGGAAGCATTCATCAACGGATCTATAGCCTCGATTCCCAATAATTAAAACTCCCACGCCGTTCAATCAATTAAAAAGGGGGCAAAAGGGGCACTGCTAGCAAGGATGTTTGTCTTCCCCCAAGCCTCCCCCATTTTGAGCCGATCGCGGATTTTAGCAGCCCGTATTTATTAATACTCGTGTAGGGGGTGATCGAGAAGAACAAAAAAAAAAAAAAAAAAAAACTTTGACAACGCACCAGGGAGGAGAGGGGGAAAGGGCTGAATGAGGCAATCGTAGGATCTCCCTCCTCGAGCCAGTACGCATGTTTCCTGTCATGCAAACATTACTCATGGGCATATCAAAAAAGGGGGAAAGCGGTTCATCTGATGAAGCAACTGTGCCCCGAAGTTGAATCCCGAAATCCCTTGAAGCGTCTATCACGTCTCCTTGAAACTGCGGTTGCAGAATCGCTTGATTTTTAGGTTTTCGCCGGCCCACCAGATCGGTTGGGATTGGGAATATAATAATATCGCAGAAGTCTATCATGCAGCTTATATATCTGGAGATCTGGA